CGGGCTCCGTTTGGACCAGAAGCTCCGTGCGGACCTAGCTATCCAGCTGAAGTCAATCCTCCCTATGGAGTGAGGGCTCCGTTTGGACCAGAAGCTCCGTGCGGACCTACGTATCCAGATGGAGTCAATCCTCCCTATGGAGCGAGGGCTCCGTTTGGACCAGAAGCTCCGTGCGGACCTAGCTATCCAGCTGAAGTCAATCCTCCCTATGGAGTGAGGGCTCCGTTTGGACCAGAAGCTCCGTGCGGACCTACGTATCCAGATGGAGTCAATGCCCCCTACGGAGAGATCTGCTTACTGGGAGGATAGGAGACAGGCATCCGCCCAATACCAGTACGGATCACCCACTCCAGTTGAGTGCAGGTTGCCACGCCATTTTCGGCGCGTCTTCCGCAGCCGACTTTATCGGCGTTGATGGAGCTTCAGCCCCACCCGTATCGAGGTTGAGCAGCCCTGCAATTGCAGATCCTTTCCATATCTTTTTTCGAAGGGACTCCAACATTGTTAGACGCTCGGTTATTAGTCGTCACAGGCCTATATATTAACGAATATGGGAGCAGCGGCAGGTATCTGGGTCGTCCTGTTGCCACCTGAATCTCTTTGCCCAAGATTTCGAAAGGTACGCAGTATACATAGACGTCCCTTCCGGTTAGGCGACTAACGATAATAGGAAAAGCCCGATTTGTCTCGTGTCGACATGAAGTGCAACGTGACTTGGACCTGTGTCGTCCATAAGGATCGTTATCGCTACAAGAACGTGTGTACGAAAGCGATTTACAGTGACCCTGGCGGAAGCCTAGTGACTACTTTCTCATATTTTCTCCCCGCCAAACGAGAAATCTGCATTCACACATTGTGTCGGGCATGCATTAAAGCTAAAGGCGTATATGGGGAGGAAGAGCAGATGAGAACCGTACACAAACTCACCGACCAAGAAGATTTCGCTAGAGGGGTGGTTCATTGGAAGAATAGTGAACTGCGATGGTGTTATCCGATTGCAAAAGTTGAGGAAATTGTGAAAAAGATTGAAGCAGGGAAAGAGTTAGAGCTTCATCAATTCTGCTCAGCCATCTTAGCCTAGATTTCCTTACTGGCAGGAGGGTCCTCGCAACCGCTTAGGTCGCATTCTTGTTTTGTTTATATTGTCTAAACTTAGTCCTGTGGGTTCTTATGCAAGTCTATTGTTCAATATTACTTGAGCTAATTGAGAGACACGAGAAGACAGTCGCTGCTAAAATATATTGACTGGATGCTATGTATACGCAGTCAACCTTTCCTGGTCTCTATGTAGCTAAAATAAAGATAAACAATCACGGCTCTTCTCCCACGGCTGGAATTCTAGTTCGTAGAGCTCTACCCTCCGTTGCACGTACCTATTCACAATGCTCCTCATGATATCTCTGACGGAATGCCGAGCAGAAACTTATAGATGCACTGTGTCAGTTAACAGCGAAAATATTGATCAAATGCCGTGGGCAGCAATACCTGTGACGAGGAGAGTACCAATTTGCTTTTCTAGTTCAACCGACAGTTCATCTTCCCAATTAACGTCCCCACCATATACAGCGATAAGATCATGATGACCCACTGCTCCTGGGGCCTCTGATGGAGATCCCATCTTGTTATAAACCGTGACTTTGAGCATCTGACTTGATCGTTAGCCTCGAGGTGCTCTAAAACAAAATCAGGAACTTGAGGGTCAGGAGTGTTGTGGAATGCGCGTGAGCAGGGACGGAGACAGTCTCTGTCCAGTCGGGGCCATAGGAACTACTTACATAACTGTCATCATGCTTAACAAGAGCTTGTAGCAGGTCACGAGCCAGTTCATAGTCGCCCTCCTGCTCGAGTCGCCAAACGAGTGATATTCTTCGTGTTCGTACCTGACCTTGGCGTTGCCCATCTAAAAGTTCCTTGATATAGGGAAGCTGAGCAACGATGCCCATACCTGTCGCCACCATAATTATGTGGCCATAATCTCCGACCTCGGGAGAATAGCCAAAGGTGGAGGCAGACGAGGGTCCATAGGGTCCGTCAATCCAGGCCCAGCCTTCGCAGCCAGATTCGATATGATCAAGAAGCTTTTTAGTAAAGCCGGATCGAGCTCGAACAATTAACGTGATTGAAAACATGCTGCCGTTTCCGTCGTCCTCCCACCAGGCAATCGTGAATGGATGCGGCTGGAACATGTATAGTAACCCTACTCTTGGTATACTGACATAGACGCGTTGTCCAGCGCGAATTCTCCAAGGGCGCGGTAAAGACAAATTCAGCCGGAGCGCATCAGCTCCACAATTCTCTGTTAGGAATTTCACGGATCTCCGATGTGGGATGTTGCGGTACATGATACGGATGAACTGTAGTGCACCAGTCACGGCAGATAGTATTGCCAGAAGGAGCACCCAGCGTTTGCTCTGTGAAGATGAGACATGTTTCCAAATCGCATATAGCGCAAAGATGGCGCATCCTTGATGAGTCCTTAAAAAAAGCTCATATATACGCCGCTTAACCAACGGAAGGAAAAACAGTGACAGAAACATACAGCCAGCCTGCGAGACTTAGTCCATAATCAAAAATGGTTAGAGAGGGTCGAGCCTACAAGCAGACCGTAAAATTGAGAAGAGTCGGAAGCAGAGAAATGGGTCTGTTGAGCTGCAATGACAACATGGATGGCTGCTTCAATGACTGCCACAAAAGCAGCGATTCGGTGGATGAAATGATACGTTGCAAGCTCTATGCCCAGAATAAAAGCCCCAATCTCGTGATCTCCGGTCCAGCAGAGCAACAGAAGAGTTATCATCGAGATTTGGGCGGCACGCACGCCTGCTTCGGAGATGGAGTGCACACCCACGGTATTGCAGACCGCGGTGCCCGCAAAGTACGCGAAGGGAAAGACGAGTTGATATCGAAGCACCAGCTTTATGCCAAAAAGCCGTAAGCTTGCATACGCATACTCCAAAACGAGGCACCAGGGGCGTATATGGAAAAAGAAGAGATTAGAGACAGCGTGAAAGACTCGTTTCAATATGAATAGTGCAGCAATTGCTGCAATAGCAGATGCGTAATATACCACGATCGACTGCATTGCACGAGAAACTTTTCCGTTGTTTAGTCTAGGGATGCTGAGAACGTTTTATATAGCCGTAGGACGAGAAGGGTGTTTAATGGCCCACTAAAGACGCCCCGTGGTCACCGAAAGTTAGAAAACGGGAGTACAAAAAGGAAAGCGCCGCTTCTCTCAGGTGGCCAAGGCAAAAAATAGGTTCTTGGAGAATGCACTTGTTTCTTGCTCGTTGTGTTGTCTCTCCTTCCAAAAGATAGTCCACAAGATAGCAGTACGGAGAATAGTTTTACGGGGAGCGACCTTGCCGCTTCAAAAATGGCGTGCAGATATACTCTAATCATGGCCTTAAAGGGCGCGGACGTATTGGTCCAAAGTTTAATGGTATCTTTGGGTTGATTGGTTATCATTACTATGCCAGTTTACTACCAACATTGTACATACGAGAACGGCAAACGACAACGCTCATCAATAGAGTTGGTAAATTTATTGCCCTGCTTTGCACACTGCACCTTATCATGGTTTTGGGACGTCTGCCACGCCAACAAATGAAGACGAAACTAGGAACTATTGATACTATTCCCCATAGATTAACCTTCACGGCAACACCGCTACTTGAGATTGGCTTGCCTACCAAAAGGCTCAACGAGAAAGGCAAAAGCCACCTGGAGATCTCAAAGTATGAAAACGGACGCTGGATACTCTACTGTCATACTCACGGACCAGCCTGTAACGCTATTCAATGAGCTGTACCTGATCGTAAGAAATCAGTGGGTGTTGGTATCACCAGCTAGGTACTGTGTACACAGTTAAGTGGACAGTGTGTATGCTCGTAAAGCAAAAGTCAATTGATTCATGTAGATAGATAGATAGATCGATGTTCTTTCTTCGTATCAGCGTCGGTTCAGGATGCCCCTGAATCCCAGACGCTGCTAAGCGTGAGATTATGTCATCAGTTGCTAGTCCTAATACATGAGTAGCGCATACTCAGGCCATAGGCAATGCCAATGATTGGCATGGCCATAGTAGCAAGAGTGAATATGTTCCGACAGTGGGGTACTTTGATTGAGTAACCGAGAGCTCGTCGGGGCCAACACCACCGTCAAGCATTTGGTCCAATTTCTATTTAGTAAATACACTGTCAAAGATCTCCTGATATTCGTACCGATTCACTGCTTCCTGATTAATAGTGAGTTGGCTTAAGACCTTTCCAGCGCGGACCTTAGATAACCCCTCGACTATGGTTTTGGTGTTCCCCAAGCTTAATGATATACCCCAATCATGAATCGTCTCGGACTGAATCCATGTGTCCTGTAAATGCAAAACCCGAAGGGTCCCTGCATGAGCGAAGATGAATTGTTCAAGTTCTGGTATCCAGAGCCAACAGCTTTCCAGAGCGAATCTCTGCAAAGAGGGTAAATGTACGTAGGACATGAATTCCAGCATGCTCGGGCTGTCGATAAGCTGCAGGTCTTCAACGCTGCTCAAAGCGTCCGAAGCTAAACTGGGAAGCTCAGAGTTGGATACCAACAACCTTGAATAGAATCCTGAGATTTGGAAGGTACGGATTGCGACGCCGTTGTCCTTAGCTCGGATCATTGCGTGAAGGATGGACTTGAAACGGTCCGGAAAGGAATCCTTCCAGTCCACAAAAACACGGCCAGCAAACCAACGGAACGGCTCCTTTATCCCTTCAACGAAATGTAGTTGGATAGATTTCAAGTTGACTAGACGTGGCAAACACGTCTGAAAGGTGACTAAGTCTCTTCCCCTTTCGAGTATTCGTTGTTGCTCGTCCGCTAGGCGACTAAAGTAGTTTTGTATCGTCGTGTAGGAGATACGGGTGCCATAAGAGTTCCAGTAAGCATCTCTTCGATCACGAGCGTACTCGGAAGGAGTATAGACACAATTGCGGAAGTAGTCGTGATGCTGAACGACTGGGGACGTCAGTTAGAGAATGAAAATAGCTTGCAGACGACTAACGTGGCTCAATAAGCTCCGTGGGTTCGTAGCGAAGAGTCCTCACATGTGCTGCTAGGTGTGACGAGGAGATGTGACGCAAGCGCTCTAGGCCAGCGAGGGAGAATGGGATTTTCAGCTTCTGGAAAAGATATGGGCTGCAAATCATGCGAAGCCTTTGGTTGACAAGTGAGAGGGACTCGACAGAGTCGAGTAATGAAAGTTCTCTGACTATGATGATTAGAATCTCAGTTGGGAGCCGGTGGATGCAGCTGGGATCCTGAGACAGGATCATTTTCGCAATGCTTTACATCAACGCTCAAGTTATTGCCCATGATAACCGTACCCCGGTCTGAATTATGTATGACGGAATTGTCTGCAAGAGATCGTTCATACAGAATCTTTCGCCTTCTCCAAATTCCTTTGCGTCTCGAACGCGAAAGCGCTGATTGGATGAAGTCTCTACTGAGCTATTTCAATCTCGAAATCTGGCGCACTCCAAAATCGGCGCGGCATTCACAAACGCAGAATTCTGTGGACTAGGAAAGCTTTCAATCATGTCGACCCGAATTAAGATGTGTGGGCAAAATGCAAATTCCCTGTGCTGTAATAAATGATCGAACTCTCTCCTGTTCTAGTTGGGGAAGATGAGATTCCGATCCCATATTCCTTTGCCTACACGTTCAAAGACAACAGCAATTGAACTTTAATTATGCAGAAACCCTCAGCAGGTCACCTGGAAGGGCTTGTTAACCACCACTTAGAGATGGTTGTGAGAGCGAAACGACCTTGCTTGCGGCCGCCAGGACAGGTTCAGAGCCTGATCCCTCGTCAGTCGGAACTCATCCATCATTGTTCTCCCGCATTTCTCCAAATCTATTTACCTTTTTGGCAAAAGCACGGATTTCTCTTTCATGGGACAGTGGGCACTGTTGTCGACTACGATCCGTGCCCTTCAACGGATGTTTGCGATCTGGAGCTGTTGGCAATGGCCCAGAGAGTCCGGTTCCGTCTGATAAGGCTTATGCGTTACATGGGATTTACTGAGTCCATACATTCGGAGAATTCTCCCAAATTACAGAACGCAGGACAAACACACGCTCCTGCTCAGAACAGAACTTTTTCAGTGACCGAAAGCACGATGAGACGTATCTACGCAGATTGGGATGATGTGAAGAGTGAGGTGCGGTGCAACCGTCGGCGCTAATACCTTAAGGAGAATCGACGTGCAAAACGTTGGCTCTTAGCAGCATCGAAGCTATCTTTTGGAGTGCTTCTCGTTGGTAGCAAACAACTGGAATCGCACTTGTATGTATGGTTACTTGCTTTCATCGTCTGGAGACTAAACTCTCTACAGGAATGACACTCGTATGAGTGATAGTTATCTCATTGCTTTCTTGGAGGGGATAGCAAGTCAGTATCCAGACGCTATTGAAGTTTTCCAGCTTCTGAGCGGCAGCGTACGCAGCATCTTGGCCCATGAAGGCCCAATGCAAGGCACAGACATGGACCAGGTGGTGGCTCGCATCAAGGCGGTTTTGGGAGAGGATGACGGACAGGATGAGCTTCCCTCGTTGCACAAACCATTGGAGAGAGCGTCATGCGAGACGAAAGAGCTTTCCGGGGTCCACAATGGGCATTCAACTATCCAGGTATTGAATGGCAACAGCCCAATTCCCGCAGATTTCCTGCTCGCCTACGATTTCAGCTCGCCTTGATATAATGAGCGCTGTATTTAAGGTCCATTCTATCAGTGACTATGCAATCATGTGGACTCAACTAGCAATGTCCATATGCCATTTTTGGTTCTTCATAGAGTTGCAATTGTTCAGGCACGACTCTGATGAAAGGGTAGTGTGTTCTCTCGTTCTTCTGTGCACTCTCGCCACTATTCCACAAAGCTATATAGTCTATGTATGACATTGGGCTTCTTTCAAGATGGAAATCAAGACTATTTCGCACGAAACATAGTATGTTCGTCTTCAAAGAAAGAGTATATAACACATATGGTAGCAAAAGGTAGGATATCAGCTTGCATCCTGAGCTTCTCCTTCCCGCGTCACTGCAATGCTCCACATACTATAGACAATATTTCCCATCCTAGGACTAGAATGTATCTTAGTTTAAACTACTTCTGTTTCTGTATGTTCTGCAGTGGTAGGGATCTGCGGTAGTGGTATCTGATTTTTTTAAGTTCAACACAAGGACCGTGACGAGTCCCACTCAACAAGTCGCGCCAAATCTGGCGTGGCTCTTTACGGCTGTCTCGAATTCGTTGCGGGGCAATCAAAGGCTATTTTATATTATAATGAAAAAATATGATATATAGATGTATAGCAGAGGCTTAGGACACCCTAGAGGTCCTTGATTCTCAGATTCTGAACCATACCTGCAAGTTTAACCATCAACATGTTGTCCATTTCGACCATAGTAAATTATATACTGGCGTTTACAACATCACTGCGCACAGAAACAGTATGTACCTATGCACGACCTTAAATGTGCAGCCACAGGCTGATAGCAAGAATAGCCTCAGATATTATGCAAACCTGCAGATGCAAATATCAACGGGTCCCACCTCAAGACGATCATGTCCTTCCTAGAGGGACACGGCTTCCAACATATGTACCCAGAAGGATGCAGCAACGTAGCAACACTGCAACGAACTGCAATCTACCTGCAAAACATGGTAGGTACTAATTTCACTGTCAGGATGATACCCTGATGTGGCTTACAGGCTTCCACGCCACAATGTGTTCATACTGATGAGATGTTGGAACTACTGGCTCCAGCTCTCAGGAACTGCAATGCTAAGAGTAGCATGTTTATCAGAACAGGATCCATCATAATCCATGTGGCAGATCCAGTGAGTCTCACCTCCCATCTCACCTGTGTTTCTCTTTTATGATACATCTAATGCATCCGAGCTTAGTTCTATAAATGTGTCAGTTTGTGACAGAGTTACCTCTTAGATAACGGCGGAATGCGCCGCTGGTCGCGAGAGGGCGGGCATTTGAATTCTGCAGGATCGACCTTATGTATTGGCTCATCCATGGCCTTTATTCCATGGCTTTGAAGCGCACAATAATTGGAGCAGTGTGTTGTTCAATTAAGAAATGCCTAGAGTAGGAAATGGCTATTCGTCCTCAAAATTGGCCATGTCTGAGCTATCATGTTCATTCTATAGGCCTTGTGAGTTACGACAGCATAGAAAGACTAGCACAATGCGCCTCTTTCACCATAAGTCCACTTCGTTGTGATGTCATTACGGGTTGGCCTCCTGGTCTCAAAACTATTACCACTAGGTTGGACCTAACCGTCATTTGCGTTCAATCTGGGTGAGGAATTTCTTTTTCCGACAGTAAGATATAACCATTCGAAGGTTTACAGGCATGTAATGTCGAACAATAAGTCTACGGCTGTACAGGAAAAAGTAAGGGAGTAATACTATAGAGCCATGCTCGGACGCTATGATCCAGATCTTACAAAGAATAACCCTAAAATCACTGGCTGGGAGGTTGAAAATCACGGCCCCGATAGGCAGAGATAATAAGCATGGTTAGAGGGATCGGTTGCTAATACTATCAAAACTCTCTCCTACCAGACCAAAGACCTTCCCTAGAGGACTAGGTGATCAAGTTCATGTGATCACCATCTCTTCCTCTCTTCGGTACTACAGTATCCTGCCCCTACATAATCCAAGAATCGGAAGACACGGGTAGGTCGCATGCACAGTATCGCCTGTCAAAAGCACAGGCAGCAGGCGCCCAATACAGAAAGAAGAGAAGCCCCCAAAGAAAAAGCGCTCCCTAGCCACGTTGCGGCCAGCATATGCGGCCCGAGGTGAGAATGGACCCCAATGTCACCTAGAAAGGTTTGGATCCCTCCAGATATCAAGCTGTAGAGGATCGTCACAGTAATTGATGCAGTGACAGTGGATATCGAGGCAACCTGCCAGCAGGTTAGTCTTCTGCCTTTTCATCGCCTAGGTAATTAGCTTACAAGGGAGCATATGAGCGTCGGCACTGGGCCCCACTTGAACATGATTGTAAAGGCCTCCGCCACGACAGTCAGGGTGGTTGCGGCCATTCCAATGATATATGCTGCGACGGCCAATCTGGAAGATTTCGAGAGTCCAGGAAGCACAGCCTTGCTCGCCTCCGGCAGTAGCGAAACCGCACCTGGTGCGTTAGACTCCAATATTGCCACCAAGTCAAATGAGAATGACAACGTGGGCGTGGAGCAACTTGAATACTTAGATGCACCCTTCTCGCCGCTACAATATCCCCAGAGCCCCACTGCATAATAGTCAGGTAGGGTTGACCAGATATTGCTCCGCAGGTCTGATAGACTGCTGCTGGCGTGGGTTAATGCCTCGTGGGCGGAGTCTGAGAGATTGGATGCTTGGTCGGACAGACTGAAGGACCGGACGATTCTCTGATGCAACAAGCTTGTCCAATCTATCTGAAGGTTGCATTCCGTCAGTAATTAGCTTTATGCATTGGGCAATTCTTTACCTCTAGGAAAAATAGATCTCGGGGTGATGAAGTAGGTCTACATCCCTCAAAGACCACGGCCAAACATATCAAGGCAGCCGCGGATAATGCTACGGGGAGTAGCTTCAAAGTATTTCGTAGCATTGCGAATTGGCAAACAACTGGTACAATCAAACGACGGATGTCCTTTATTTACCTCTGTTTTACTAAGTACTACCGCGCCGATTGTGGACAGCGGACGTAGCAGCGATTCAGACAACGCCATGCTATCTAGCACTCATGGAAAGTTATCCTTATGGTAGGGTCGGTGCTAAATATAAGGGCCCGCCTTCCTGGACCAATAGCTACCAGTAGCTACCAACTAGCATGTGGCCGCGCCAGAAGCAGCGTGCACAAAGGTCCATTAATCCGGGTTCTCCCTCTGTATCACCACATGTAAGTACTTGCATTGTGCACTGCCATAAAGAAAAAGTGTACTCAACAGTTGTCAGTTTGCTTTTCTAGAACCGAAGATGAAGTTCCGACATTGATCGCAAGTTCGCAACTGTTGTAGCTTGCGTTCCGGCGATGGCTTCTCGCGATCAACGAAGAGACTCTTATCCAGTAAGTCATGTAGCTGTCCAGCTCTGTGCTTTGCACTTACACATTTTCAGGATTATTATGGCCCACTAGGACTTAGAGCTTGGACCAAAAGCAACTGCCAAGGGGAAATAGGCTTCACCACCTTCGATAACATCAGCTTTGCGCGAAATATCTCCAATGCATACGTATCCCGCAGCTTTAAGCTCTCCCGATCACTGCAAGGTCAGGGGCAGTTGGATATTTCTGTACTATAACGCGCGAATTCGAAACCTAGTTCTCTGACAAGGATCAGCTATTTCGACAGTTCATCGTGTGACAATTTCCAACGAAGCTATTTTGCTCTTAATAAGAGCACGGATTGTCAGAATACACCCAACTTTACCTGCCATCGGTCATGGATCAATCCTGGCCTCCAAACATGGTTCATTCATGTCGGACGTCCTAGCCACTTGATATGTAATACGCTTTAGCAAACTAAATTTGTACGTCACCGCAGTAATCAAGTAGAGTTATAGCTACTTGGATGAGTTTGCTCTTGGAACAATGTAGTCAGGGCTCTATTGGCCACAAGGAGGTAATATGTGTTTAAGTGTGACTGCTAATCGCGCTCTCATGCCCACCGTGACAGGCTAAGATAAGGGGGGACTCTTTGACTCGACAGGCTCTTCGCTGATTCCATTCAATGCTGGTCTCTTAGTTGGCATCTCCGAATCGTCAAGACCGCAAACCCACTTCCTCTTCCGAGATACACAGTTTCGACGAGGTTCTTCAATAGAATGGGCGTCAAAAAAATGTCGTTGTAACAGCAGGATACCATTGTATGATTTGCTCTCACAGCAGGGATGAGGGCATTGAATAACCTCATCCTTTCCTTTGCCAGCCAAATGTTTATTATCAATGTGGTTGATGAGGGTGGACTTGTCCCGCCATTGTTGGAATCGTTCCACGGGGGATTTAGTTTGGTCACCCAAGCAGAAAGGACAGAATCCAGGCGCAACCAATGTAAAGCGGAATCTCAATAGTCCACACCGAGGTTGTAGATGGTCCAAATGGAATCGGCAGTGCTCAGTCCAAGCATCCTCTGTATCGAGCCATTTGGCGCATAAGTAGCACCATTCAAGAAAAGATCTCTTCGCTCGTCGATGAGCTCTCTTGCCGTTCGTATAGAGCTGCTGGTACGGTGCGGCATTCAAGGACTTCCTTCTGCACTGTAGAATGTGCTTCGACCGGTTTGATAAATCAATACTGTCGAAAATTAGCTACCGTAGGTAGACTTAAGATGTTTGAACAAACCTAGACATTTCTCTGGAACATACTGGGCATCTCCCATCAATTGGCAATTCACAAGGATAATATGCCACTCTCTCGTCGTAGATGCAGATATTCACCATATCGTGTAGACATTGTCTTCCAATCTCACTACCAATCGAGGCTTTGGTGAAGAGGTTGTCGCGTAAACGAGCTCTCTCAGGCATATACTTGCGGCAGATGGTAAAGAGGCACGTTGGATCGTGCTCACCAAACTCATTCCCTGCAATATATTCATCATAAGAAGATCTCCACCAGTTGTCAATGAACTCGACCTTCTTGGCACGGCGCTTCTTAGCTGCTTTTGTGTAGAGCTTTTCCCTCTCAAGTGCTAATTCTTCGTGTTCAGCAGGCTTTCCTCCGATTTGTTGAGTAATCTCATCGATCCTGTGGTAGATCTCTTTCATTTCATCATCATTCTCAACCTGCGCAGTGGCAGCAGCGTCAAGACGTTGCGGAACATTAGTGTCGCGATGATGAGCCATACTTTCTTCCATTTCCAGACATTCATAGTCTGGCTTTAGGTTCCAGAAGCTGGCCTGGACGTCAACACGCTTAAATTTGGATTGATACTTGAGGAAGGTGTCTGGGTTCTGGTGATCCAGTGCTTGGCTTCTCGCCGCTTGAGACGCCTTTGCTACGAGCCTGTTACTGTTTGCTGCAAGTTGGTATAATAGAGGAAATGACTCACGGTCAATTGCATTTGCAACGCCCCCTCTAATCCCGTGGATTCTCAACCGGTCTCGGAAACAGGCCCGTTGCGCAAGCGACGTAAAATGGTGCCGTATTGATGAAAATGTCAACGCACGGGTGGGGTGTGGTCCATCAGCAGTCACCATGCGAAGCACTGGTAGGTTTTGTACGTGCGCTTCCCATTCAAGGGTCCATGACTCTCTCCCTTTCGGTGGTCTTTTATCCAATAACTCGTCGGCTGTGTGGATGCCCCTGAATGCCTTGTCTGCGATACCTGCAGCCATAACATAGAATACGAAATTTCTTCCAAGTATATCTTGCTCTGGTATCCAGTTTTTGGGACTATATCGCCGCAATCAGCTGTGTAGCCTTAAGGATAGAGAAGACAAATCTTACATGACAGCCTCATCATCGTAGCGATGGCCTTTGAGGAACTCTGGATCTATGGTGACCCAGTACTTGACTTCTATATTTTTTGAATCCCATTGTAGATTGAAGGAAAGATGCTATATAGTAATTAGCATGGGACTATCAGATAAGTAGAGCGATGGGACAAACTTTATAGTAGAGACACTCGTTGGTACCTCTATAAGAACTTGATTCAACAATTGCACCTGCTCTCGCACCAGAACCGGAGAACAACGAGAGCGAGAATGCATCTTGAAATCTGGCACGCTCATGTATGTAATCATGGTCATCATCTTTAAATAAATGTCGAAGAAGTATATCGAGATCCCTGCTAGTCACCGGAAACTTCTCTCGATGTTTGGTCTCAAGTCCATACTTCTGAGTAAGTTCGTTCCGGATATGCTATGTAAGGAATTAGCAGTATATCGTAGCATACTTGTCTAGGGTAACTCACATTATAAAGATCATTCTTCACTGTATCTGGCAGTTTTCTGCAGGTCTTTTGCTGCCATTCAGCGATAAAGCAAGAGAGGTTAGAACAGACAGTCTGCTGACTAGGCAAGTCTCCTTTGCGCAAAGTAATAAACGCCTCTGAATACAGCTTCAAGATTTGAACGGGGGGATCAGGTTGTTCCTTCGTGAAATATCGATCACCTGGTTCATTTTGAGAAAGCATCCATCTATATGCCGTCAGCAACTAAGCGCAAGTTAATAAATAAACGTTTATTTGTACACTTTCCAAAACGCCACTGAATCGCCATATTTTTTATCGGTAGCCGGAGCCCTTTTCTTATGACTGATTTCGTTTGGTTTACTTTTTTGTTCTTCCTGGTACTCTGTTGTGAACCCTCTTAATTCGGCAAACTTGCGGAGCTCCTCCGCTTTTCTCCTCAGATCAAAATCATTTGAAAACATGTCACGTGACATGCTGTGGAAGGATAGAAGGAAAAACTAAAAGAAAATAAATCACAAAAAACCGCTTGTAGATAGGAAAGGAGACAATGGTTGAGCAGAGAGGGGGCCCTCGTATTTAAGCTGGCCATGGAGGTACTAATAATGGGCTACAGGGAGTCCAGTCACCACAGAATCACTCTGTCACCCACTGATCACCGACGCTCACCCATGCTGTTGGATAGCATCGCTCAGCTCACCTTCACTCACCCGCACTCACCCTGTGGTTTAGCGTCTCTCACCCGTAAAGCAGCAGGCCTTCAAGGGCGCATATAACTTCTGGCCGCGTTGATAATACTGGCTTAAGTACGGCTGAGCGGACGGGAAGCCCTGTTTTCCACACCCTATGGTCGTATGTACCAGGACCTTCAGAACTATTCTATACATGCTAATATTTATTACAGCACATCGCAAGAAAGCGAAACTGAGGGCAACCTGTGGCCTGTTTGCACAAATCAGGCGTTTCCGCGACTTCCAAGGTATTGATCTAGATCTACTCCGTACTCGGGGTAAATACTCAGTGTCTGTGGTGCTATTTTACCGCAGGGTGGGCGGCTCCAGCTTATGCCTCAGGTTTTTATGCGCTAAGCTTAAATGGTTGTCCCCTGTGAACTCGAGTCCAGGGTGTTGTGTTAACCAGCTTGCTATGAATCACCCCCATCCCAACAGATATGGCAGCCTCGCTCCCATTCGAACTTCTAGGCGAGATCGCAGGCTATCTTAAACATGCAGGCGCTTCCCTAGTTGCATGTACAGCTGTCTGTCGTCGCTGGCAGGCAGCATTTGAGCCGATCATCTACTCCACGTTGAATGTTTACAGTGAGGATGGAATCAACGGGGAAGGGGAGTACCGTGGGATTTGCCTTAAACAATTCCAGGCACTCACTTCTGGGCCAGGAGTCGCACGACGAGCATGGATTCGTGAGCTGTGGTACCATATTGTTGTCCCTTTTGATCTGCCAGACTGGATGGCGCGTAAAAAGGAAGGTTATAGCACCAACAACGCTGTTCGACAGGCAAATGACACTGCATTTCAATCAGCAGTCATCAATCTATTCAGCACGCTAGAGTTATGGGACAGGAGTCATCGTCTCTCTGTCTATCCGGTACTCCTAGGACGTGAGCTAGGCCAAGGATGATGAAGCTGGACTGTATAGGTGGGACTACACAGATGGGCGCACGCGGTCTGTTCCTGTGTATCGCGCGCGATTCCATAATAATGGTGCATCAATGCTACACGATGTTTCGTGTATTGATAAACTATCATTTCTTGACCCTATAAGGGTCACCACGGTATCATCAGATATGGGCTGGAGCAGCTATGCAGATTGCTCAGCACTGTCCGACACTCACAGAACTATGGTTGAGCCTGGATGAGTATATCAGACCAGATCATCTGGAATACATGAGGGAACGCCGTCAAGGTATGAGGCTTTCTGGTTCCTCAGAGCACTTTGGATTCCTCACTGATTCACCTATAGCTGTGCCTGAAGGCCTGAAAGATATCTCCCCTACATTAAGGGCTTTTCACTTCAAGAACCAAGATGAGAGGAATTGGAAGGATACCATGCCCGCCTTGAATGTTCTATCCTCAAGCGTTGATATCCTATCCATCAGAATGCGCGATCTAAGTCTTTCCCTTCGTGAGCTGAAACTGGTTCAAGTTCCTATCTCTCTGGATTTTCTGTGGCCTCTGGACGAGAAAGATCATTCTCTGCCAGGTAACACATCTTTATGCTGGCCCAATTTGGAAATTTTGACTTTAAATCAATTTCAACCCTGGCTTCCTTCAGGTAAGAAATTTTCCTCACCTTTTCTTTATGTGTTGTACGGGTATTATAGATGCAATATGCAGATACACTCAAATCACTAAGTTTCTCAATATATAACAGGTGAATGGATCGTCCGCCCTACTCCAGAGGATGAAGCCAGGATTGCTGAGATCGAGGACTGGGAGGCAGAAATTTGCGATGTTGAAGAAGGATATATGGACCGACCCATTTTTGAGCAAGAGCAGTTCCATCGACTATTTATCTCTTTGGGTTACGCCGCGAGGTGTATGCCTCGCTTGAGGGCCATCAATTTTGATCTTGAGCACGTGAGCCTTTTGAAGTTCCGGTTTTCAAATGGAATGGGCTTGATTAGCGCGGAGTGGGAGCTAGAAGATCATGACACATATAGACCCGATGATCGGGTTATTGCCGCCTGGGGCTTTCATGATAATCTGCTGGTCAAAAGTTGGGGTTTCCAGCTTCTAGCAACTTATCAAACTGGCCAGCAGATGAGGGGAAGACTCTGTGATTCTAAATAACTTAAAAGATTGGCATTCCACTAATGGTAGTCACCTATTCATTAGCCTAGAACAAGTCGGCTAAAGCCATTCAATTAACACACCCTATAGCCATCTCAAACCTACTAGTGTTTGCTAGAAGTTAGTATAATAAAAAAAGATAACTTATGGTTAATTGCATTTACAACACCCTCTAATCCCATAGATTCTTAGCCATCTTAGAAACAGGCCCATTAAGCAAGGGACATAAAATAATGCTATATAGATGAAAAGGTCAACACACAGGTACATTAGTAGTTACCATGCAAAGCACTAGTTAGCAGATTTTATACATGTGTTTCCCATTCAAGGGTCCATAACTCTTTCCCTTTTAGTAGTCTTTTATCTGATAACTCATTAACTACGCAGGTGCCCCTGAATGCCTTTTTTATAATACCTACAGCCATAACATAGATTATGAAATTTCTTTCAAGTATATTGTACGAAGGATACTTCATCGAGCTCCGAGGAGTAGGTCAAGCCGCATCGTGGTGAGAGGAACCCGAGCGATAAGTCATGCCCGAGATGGACACCAGTTTGCCTCAATTGAGGCTATTCATGGAAGAGAAAGATGATTGTACTCGTCACTTAACTAAGACAATGTAACTAAGAAAAGAAGAGGAGAGAGGTTCCCCTCCTTCCCAGCAGCGATGTTGTTATGGCGCCGTCCATCCACCCTAGGGGTTGCGCCCTGGAGTAGGCATTACACAACCCAGCCCTAACTGTGAGACCGGTGCAGGCTGGTTATGCAACTCTACATTAAGGCTGAAAGATGACCTTTTTTATCTATGATGGCTTGAATCCAACCATTCTGATAGTAAAGTCTATAATATCCCTTGACTTATAAATACCGCATTCATACATGGAAAATATTAAGAACATTGGTATGCCACGCGAAACCCAGAGCAAGGCTATTCAGGAAGATTCTGCAAGCCTATGGATGTATGATCCCAGAAGTCGCAAATGAAGGGAAGATTACTCACCAACCATCATGATGTCCTTTACACTATTTGCCAAAGTGAGCAACTCCCTAATTACAAGCCTAGTCGAAAAGGCAGTGTTCAGCACCATCCATATGTACAAGGGGGCTATATCAGTCTATCTTAACAGACCGCATAAGAGGTCCAGGCTAGATGAGGTCTGATTAGTCGCCTATCTACTTCAGCCTTGTCGACTGTGCTAAAGGAAGGGATGACTTCCCCTCGTCCCAAGTGCGCCAGGAGACTATCCCACTTCCCTTTCCCATGTTATAGTCAGCAATGTCATTCGCATGGCCCACTCATCGCCATGCCTTCAACATTGCGATCATCTGTGCTCTTCCGCTGGAGGTCGACGCGGTCATCGCTCTCTTTGACCATCACTGGGAAGATGCGGAGCGGGTCTACGGCAAGGCCCCGCGATCCTAACGCCTACACTGCTGGCATCATTAGCTCAGACAACATCATGGTGGCACATATGCCGTACATGGGCATAACAGCACCTCGAGAAGAGCGATGTTGCCGAAGACGATAATGCAGGGGAGCGATGTGAAGAGGAAAAAACCACTAGGCCAAAAAGGTGTCTAGATGGTCACTTCAAGGATAGTCGCATTATGGTCAGGGATTAGACAGGGGCTTAGAGCCTACTGGCTGAGTCATTATACCCCTGCAGCTAACAGCCCTGTCTCCTCAGACAGATTCTTCCATGGCTGCAACCTAAAGGACGCGAGCATTTTGTCGACCAGTATCAGTCGCGCCATCACCGCCATCGAGGACGAGAAATTATATGTGCGACTAAGCAGGTGGGACAACCGGAGCTACCGTGTCGTCGGGACTATCTACAAGGTAAGAAATTCCGGGACTCGTTCTGGCCGGAGACGTACCGCGGCCTCAGACATGTAGTGCAGACTAGTCGGCCGGACTTCATCTTCGCGGATTACCAGCTGGATGCTGCGCGAGATATCGCCAAAGGATACTGCATTGGAACTACCGCTCGAAAAGTTTTCGTTGTTTCAGTTCAGTCATGTCCTCGGTCATATATCACTGCTCTACTGTATCATTACTAGTCATAGATTCGAACTGTGGGCAAAAGATAGACAAGGGTGATATAAATCGTCTACTGAGCGTGGCCATTCTGGTGTATCCCGTTGCTCTCTTCATCCAGCAATCCGCTCCCAGACTTTCGTCCAAGAAGCCCTCGATCCATGTACTTTTCCTTCAGCCACTCGATAGGCCTCGCATCCAGCCCTCTCTCCTCCACATAATGCTTCTCGATGTTGTACACCGTATCCAAACCCACCCGATCCATCATCTCACACGGCCCAACCTCAGCATGAAACCAACCCTTGAACAGTTGATCGATATCCTCCGCAGTTCCCACGCCTTCAGCCATGACCAAGAGAGATTCTCGCTTGATTGCAGCCCAGATTCGATTGAAGATCAGCCCCGTGGATTCCACCTTGGCATGGATGGGAACGAATCCCGCTGCGGAGGACTGCTCCATCAGAAACGCAATGATGGATGGGTCCGTGTATCCGCAGGTCATGATCTCGAGGTAGTTCTGGTCCGGAGGCATGTAGTAGTGTCCGTTACACACGCGGTATTTTCGAGAGACGTGCTGAAGCATCTCACTGGATTTGTACGAGGAGGAGTTGGTGGCTAGAATACAGTCGGGTGGTGTGAGTTGGTCCAGTTGGCCGAACAGTTCAATTTTCAGGGGAAGGATCTCTGGGATGGCTTCGATTACCATCCAAGCGTTCTCAACTGCGTTCTCCAGAGACGACGAGAGTAATACACTCCCTTGTTTCGTGCCGAGTTTGGTGGACTGTTGGGGCATGGCGTCGTTGATGTACTTTAATGCCGCGCTGGCGACTTCGGGGGCTCTTTCGTACAGATGAACAGTATGTCCTGCTGCTGCCCACATCATACATAGTCGACGCCCTAAAACCCCGCCGCCTATCACGGCGACAGGGCGGGTTGTTGTGTCGGGTTCGATCCATGAGGTTGAGATCATGGCGATAAAGTCAAAGGTATGTGGTAGGATTTATACAGTGCTCTAGCAATTGAGAAGCAGAACTTTCATAAATGCTATAAGTACAGGTTCAATCATGCAAGAGATTAGCAACCCAGTGGCATATCGAGTGTTTCTAGTCTGGACATAGTACGATAGTACATATGAGGAGACCCCACAGCCCCAGGTCCCACATGGCCAACCCCAAATCCACGTGATGCTTCTATCTTCCTCTTATGATTGGCTCGTACCTTACGCTCTGACTTGTTAGTGTTGGGGCAGTGGGGTAACCGCATAAAGGCCTCGTCTCCCACATGTTGGGGCTAATCTTTCCTACAGCCATTCCATCATGAATGATGGCAACCCCGTCTGGGGCTTACTTGCCCACCCGATCATCACCTATTCTTGAGCCAATCGCCCATTACCCCAGCAATGTCGTCCCAGAAGAGCGGGTCACGTTACGCATGGCGATCCTCTTATCCAATGGTTTGTAATTTCAGGCTTCACTAAAGTCTACCACATTGCAGATGGCTGATTGATGGCACAGGAGTCCGCGTAGATCATCAATTCACATTCCCCGCCATGAACATCGCCAACTGCATCATCCACGGCGAAGGGGAAATGTACTCGGTGGAAATAACCCACCGATGCACCTGCCGACGTCTACTCCACGAGGAGCTCGTCCGGATGCTCCCCGGTTTCCTCCGCGAAAATGACGTGTATTGGTTCCGCACCAGGAACCCAGAGACAAACATCCAGCACACCTGCTTATTCGACGGCGCGGAACTCGAAATGCAGCTCGTGACCTCGCATGTCCCCGAATGTGGCTTTTGCTTCGCGCGGCGAGCGTTTATTGCCGAGCGGGATGCCTTTGACCGGCAGCAGAGCCAGATGCCTCGGGGACCGGGATCGTCGACTTCCCCGCGCGACCAGAGTCTGAGCTCTGGGTGGACGTTCCGCGAACCGTCGGATACGGAACGATTACGGGTGAATCGTCACGGGTGGGAGATTATGTTTGTTCTTCATCCTGATGCGAGGGAGGGGGCTGTGACGATCTCGAGGTTGAGGATGGAACTGTGTCGGCTGCTGTCCATTGCTGACCCGAGGCGGATCATCTTGACGAGTGGTCCGTTCACCTGGGGAGGAGACTTTCAGGAAGATGGCAAGGATTACTACAGTACTTATTTTGTAAATGATTTGATCGTCGAGTCGCGGAGTATGAAGACGCCGAGGGGAAGCGCTCTCATGTATGTACTCGAGGCAGATCCAATAGGACGACCATTCTAGCAAATCACCTATACCTTTGATAACGCCCGAAGAATCCTTTGCCAACTGATAAAAGGACATTCGAGCTTTATGAAAAGAAGGCTCTCATGATTGGTGGCACTAAATATCACAGACCTGGTGGATCAGTCAACCCCGCAGTGCCGCCGCCACAGGATTTGTCCAGAGTTTGTGTTCTCCTTGGCGAATCCCCCAAGGACACTGGACACCGGGGTTTAAGAGCTCAAAAAGCGTAGTTCCACCCCACGAGATGCTTCCAGACTATGGACTCTCCCCAACTGACACCCCACCGGCATGTCGACTGTTCCTGAGAACCCTACCCGTCCCCACCGGTGTGTTTACTGTGGCCTCAGCTTCAAGCGATCAGAGCACCTGAAACGCCACGTGAGGAGGCGTACGTCTCGTCTCATTTTGGACACCTGACGAAATATTGGTGAATCGCATACTGACAGTTACTTAGACACCAAGGAACGACCTTTTCGCTGTCGAATATGTGGGGAGAGCTTTTCCCGTAAGGAATTGCATGACCGGCACCAACGCACCCGCCATGGCGCAACTTCAAGCATCCCGTTACCAGAGATAGTAGAACCAGAGCCATCTGCAGCAGCTACTTATCCAAATTCGTACTCGCCCGGACATGTTGATCCTTCTCAAGGCGACTCGTCGAGCCGATCACCATTCACCTCCTTCGTGGAGGAGCCGGCGGGTCCAGCTTTGCAGGCTCCTTTAGCGCCAGACACACAGCGACAAGAAAACATTTATCTGACCGGTCCTCCTGGTAGTCCTGCATTCCAGGAAAATGCATACTCTGTGATCTCCGATCGGCGTCGGGACTCGAGACTCCAAACTCCCCTAGGAAGCGAGACTCCTCCCTGGTTGAAATTACCCAGCGGGCTGGAGTTTGCCTCGCTTCTCTCAGCATTGAATAGATCGCCATTATCTACAAGTCTTCCAACACCGCTGCGGCTATGCACACCGCAAAGCGAGGCGATCTTTGAACATGATCGGAATGAGACTGCCCGCTTGGGGATCGAGAAAGCGCTGGAGGGGCTGAGGGTGCGTTCTGCGGGATACCAATATCGGATCATGCTGATTCAGTCAGAGTATCAATGTCGCAGGGGGCGAAGAATATTCCCATCGCTTCAAGATCCCGGAGATGGATTCCCTCTACCGGTACTGGCACATGTTCTTCGAGATACCTCACAAGAACCTTCCGTTTGCTCATCCGAAGTCCGAAAACTATCAAATACCTGGTATAACCGTTCTTGCTATTCGAGTATATTCTCGCTAACACAGAGTAGCAATTGCAATCGGTGTTCTCGCCGACGGTGCCATGTACTGTGACGAACCCGAGGTCGGTCAGATGCTGTTTGAGGCCTCCCGCCGCATTGTCGCTCATCACGTAGGTACGATGCGTTTCTCCAAGGGCACAGACTTATCGATTTATAGTTGAACACGCTTTATACCCGGGAAAACAATACGATACCCATCTGGATCTTCACCACGCTCTTGCTGAACTGTGTCTTTGGTCTACCCGGGGGCAAGTCTAGTGAGAGCGACATTACCCTTGGCAGCCTTGACAGCTTGATCAACCTCGCGCGAGTTATCGAATCGGGCCCGGCAATGGATCTCGTCGATCAGGCGTCCACAATGGAGGAGAAATGGCAGAGTTATATCGAGGGAGAATCTCACCGCAGGTAAGCTGTGTCGTACCACCCGCGCCCGGCATTGCTGACCTTCAGATCAATTCTTTGCTTCATTGTTGTGAGTGGGTTGTGGTCGGTGGCATACGAGCCCATCGTCAATGTCCTGGACTTTCCATTCAGTCTGATCGAATTCCCCTGGTCGGAGACATTGTGGAATGCTCGCTCAGCCGTCCAATGGCATGCGCTCTATCAGAACCCTCGAAGTCGATCGCCTGGCAGCTGGTCGGAGAACGTGGAGGCGCTGCTGTTCGGTAAACCCCAGCCATTAAACGGTCTGGCCTCTCTCTGTCTTGTAGTTGGGCTTCTACTCTACATCGACGGGCTCCGACGGGAAGCAGTTCTCGACGTGGTCGAGATCAACTCGTACCTACAGCATGCTTTGGACCAATGGTTTCAGATGCACGATCGAACGGGCCTGGAGAATCTGGCCCTCAACCATCTATGCTATCCCGCTGCATACTACCTGCGCATCTCCCTGGTCCTGGACATCCGCCAGACCATGGACCTCATGCGCAGTAAGCAGTTTTCAGCCATGCGAAAGGTACTCCGGGACGGTGATTTGGTCCAAGCGGCGGCCTTTGCGCGAGCCGCTATGATTCCGTGGGTGATCAGCCGCCGGAACCAAACGTCCATGGTCGCTATCCCGTGCGGTAAGCCATATCCCTCGGTGTTATGAAGACAGTTGTATTGACTTTCCAGGGGTGGTTATCACGGAGTGGGCGATTGACGTGATGGACAACCAGCCCGAGGATTCACCCCAACGGGAAGTGCTTCGCGGGTTTGAGTACTCGATCCGAGAGTACTGGCCTGTCTCACCCTTAGTGACCGCTGTGGATGTCTGGAGGGCAGTTCGGAGAATTATTACCAATGGACCAGGTATGTTTGCCGGGGCGCGATGTTTGCAAGACTAACAGTTGCAGTTACAACGGCTTTAACAAGGAGTATGGATGCATACGAGATGTATCTAGCATTAGCTTAGATGAATTGATAAGGAGTTAGATTTGAACCAATCAAAAATGTGTAACCTTGCATAAAGCGAATAAAAGCAATACTCCCCTCATGCCATGCTGGACGAGTAAATACGAGTGCTACTGCATCCTTGGCTGGCAAGCTGCTGATAAATCGAATCAGCTGTCCCTATCAGCATCAAGCATACCGGTAGTTAAACTTTACCACCTACGCCAGCCACGCCACGGCAAGACCTCGCACTGGGCCTGGAATGACAACATGCCCCCCGGGAATGCAGCCAGCAGCCACTGCGGGAATACCCCACAGTCTGGGGTAAAAGTTGGGGTAAGCGATCAACCCGGGGAAACGAAACCGGCGATATAAGTAGATCTAGACACCCTGCACTGCACTCTCGCCTTCTTCCTCAGAGGATAAGTCTGCATGTACTATCACCATGTACAACGCAACCGAAGCCGATATCGAGAAACCCACCACGATGGGTGTCGAGCATGTGGCCGAGACCCCTGGCTCCGGGTCCGTCAGCGAAAAACACTACCAGGATGTGGAGCAAGTCCCCCACTTCACGCCTGAGCAGGAGAAACGCGTGCTCCGGAAGATGGATCTTCGGTTGATTCCCATGCTGTCTGTTTTGTATCTACTGGCCTTTCTGGATCGAGGCAATATTGGGAACGCAAAAATCGAAGGATTGGTGGAGGATTTGGGCCTGACTTCGCGGGAATACAGCTGGTGTTGTATGTTTGACTCTGGACGTTGAGAGAGAAGTGCTGACCGATGACCCAGTGACGGTGTTCTTTTTCACGTACTGTGCGTTTGAGATGCCCAGTAATCTGCTCCTCAAGAAGCTGCGGCCGTCGAGATGGTTGCCGTTTCTGATGCTTGCTTGGGGGATTGTCATGGTATGATCTGCCACGGTTGAGGATGGAATACCTGGCTGACGGAGTAGACCCTGATGGGCGTTGTTCACAACTATGCTGGGCTTTTGTCCACGCGAATCTTTCTCGGTGTTGCTGGTGGGTTTGCAGCAATATTGATATGCAGTCAGTCATACTGACCCCGTCCAGAGGCTGGTCTATACCCTGGCACCGCCTACTACATCACCATGTGGTATCCCCGAGAAAAAGCCCAGTACCGACAGGCTCTCTTCTTCAGCTCGGCCAGTATCGCCGGTGCTTTCTCGGGACTTCTCGCTTACGCGATAAGTGTATGTGTCTGTGGCCCTAGCGAGGACGAAGCTGATAGAGGAATAGAAAATGGACGGAGTGGGCGGGTATGCCGGCTGGCGCTGGATCTTCATCCTGGAGGGACTTCTCACCGTCGCGGTCGCCTTGGTCGCCCCCTTTGCGATTCACGACTTCCCCGAAACCGCCACCTTTCTGACCGAGGAAGAGCGCCGCTGGGTGATTCACAAACTGCGGTCTCAATCCGGACGCGACACCACGCAAGACGGGGCAGACCACGAGGAATCGCGCTTCCGCGTACGCTACGTGATTGATGCGTTGACGGACTGGCAGATCTATGTCGCCTTGTTCAGTATGTGTTCCACCTCTGCCTTACTGCAACGACTCGATGAGACTAACTGGTCAGTGTACTGGGGCATCACGACCCCTCTCTACGGTATCTCGTACTTCCTACCGTCCATCATCAAGGACTTGGGGTATACGTCTTCAACAGCGCAGCTGCTCACGGTGCCGATCTACATCGCGGCGGCCATTGTGGCAGTTGGTGCGGCCTGGCTGTCGGATCGTCGCAAGCAGCGGTCCCCGTTCATTCTCTTCTTCATGTCGTTGATCGCCATCGGGTTCATCATTGTCATTGCCTCCACCGGCCGTGGAGTGCCAGGGGTTGTCTACTTTGGTGTTTTCGTCGCGGTCGTCGGTAAGTTGCTTTTCCACGAACACAGCTACCAGTCTGACAGAAGCTAGGCATCTATCCTGCCTTCCCAGGCAACGTCACCTGGCTCAGCGTCAACCTGGCCGGGGACTACAAGCGTGCGGCCGGAATGGCCATCCATATCGGGTTGGGTAATATGGCCGGCGGTACGTCTCTCGTCTTGCTTTGAAGTCAGAAAAATGCTAATTGTTGCAGCCATGGCATCAAACTTTTACCGCGCGCAGGACGCACCCAGGTATATTCTGGGCCACTCATTGGAACTGGGGTTCGCGGTGGTGGGGATCATTGCGGTGGTGATTCTGCGATTCTCGTATCAACGCATCAATAAGAAACGGGATCAGATGGATGTCTCGGGCTATGATAATGCTCAGTTGGCCAGAATGGGCGATCGGTCGCCTCTGTTCAGGTATATGCTGTGATGGATGGGCTGTTGGTTGTTGGTTCTCCGACGAGGACATTGATAGTCGACTATGTGATAATGGACAATGAGAATTTTGCTTTGCTCCAAGCGATGTAGACAGTATGTCAGGACTATCCGTAATTCCTAATGCGATTTACCTGAAAGGGAGTTCGGATTTAAGCGAGATGAATTCTGGTTGCTGTGTGCTGAGTGGCTGGGTGAGAGCCCCTATGGACCCTGGAAAGGCTGCAATCAAATCTCTGAAGCTTTGCACTAAAACGGAGCAGTTTCAGGCACCAAAGGCACTAGTGGTCTTAGTACTTACTTGGCTGCGCTCTAAACGGCCATGGCTAAGTCCAGGCTCGTTTTCCGTTCTTGGCAGATGGCGCTATACGAATGATGAGGCTCGCCTCCTGAATCAAGTCCCAGGAAGCTAAAGTAGGAAATAGAAACAACATAGTGCTGATTGGTCGTGTCTCACATGGGCTATTCTTCCTTTTCTTAAAATGAGCCTCTCATTCCCACTTTGAGCCTCTTATTCTGTTCTCTTGCTGTCCGCTCAACAAGTTCAACCGTTCACAGCATCATGGCCGGCACCGGCTCCCTTCGCGGACGAGATTGGATTCACTGTGGCCTGCGCATCCTCTTCTGCGCGTCTGGAATCGCTCTTCTCGCCGTCACAGCACGCCTGGCAACAGGATGGGGAGGAGACGATGAGACACCCCGGATTCTGCTTCCCGTTGTGCTAGCCACAGTGAGTTCCACGCCTCTTGGGGGGAAAAAGGTGCACATGGCTGACCGACTGCAGGCTTCTCTAGCTATCGTTACAGACATCCTCGCTCTGTTCTTGCTTTTCCGGTATATTGGCTTCATCACGGCAACGGCCATTCTGGACATCCTCATCATCATCCTCTGCGCTATCGGGATTGCCTCCATCTCCATGGGGAACTTTTTCGTCTACTGGGGCCTTTACTATCGCGATTACAGGTTGGCGTGGGAACAGGCGGAGATCATCGTCTTTGCTTTGAATATTCTGGTTGCGTAAGTGTGCCAGTCGCTGCGTATGGATTGGGACTAACAAAGGGGGTTTGCAGGTGGGAGAGAATTCTTTCCATCGTCTTATGCTCGGTTTCTCGCAGGGGCCGAGTGGTGGTGGAGGATGCGAAGGAAGTACAGGTGCAGAGCAGCTAGCACTAGTATATTACTTCTTGGATGTTCCCCTGTAATGATGCACTTGACGATAATACATTGGCATATCCAGGCGGCTGTCCACCTTGAAGCTGCTACAACGATGTCCCCTCCGCCATGACCTGTGGCACCGACAACCGCCGTCCCTGCTCATCACAGACCTTGACAACCCTCGGCGTAATCACCACTCCCTGTCTCCCGGCATAATCCCAGACAAACTCAAAGGCACAGGGCTGCGCGAACAACCACCGCCCCAAGTCCGCCGCCGCAGAGGCTACGGACTTCAAATGCTGGAGGCGCTCTGACCTGGTATGTGCGGAATTGGCATAGCCGGTAAACGTGTCGACAAATCTCTCCGTTAGCCTGTCGATGGCGTGCTCGTCTGCGTCGCGAGTGGCCTGCTGATGCCGGTAGAGGTACGCTGTCAGCATCCGCCAGCTGAAAAGCGCATGGTCTGTCTCTGTAGTCGGTCAGTTGCTTCTCAACAATTGGTTGCAGGGCGTAACGTAAGGCGATACCTGGTGTTTGATCCACCACTTGCGGGCAGGACGCGTAACATGCAGGCAGAAGCTTCCCCTTTGCGGGTCCCGGGGTGATCTGCTGCAGTAATTCCCGAACAAGAACATGCGTGAGGACAGCGCGCTGTCTGCCTGGTTTCGCCAGCAACGTTGTGATCGTTGCCGGCAGGTACGGGGACTCGTAGCTTGAAAGAGGCGTAGCCGAGTCGTGCAGATTGGATGCCGCGGCCACTCCGGAAGAGTAGTAGTTGTCGACATGGAGACTGGCATGGTCGAAAAGCGTGAGGATCCGCGCGCGTACTGTCTCATCGTCGGCAGGATGAGGAATATAAGGAAAGGATGCGGAAGCTCCTAGACCCAGTGGTGGATGCTGTGGTGGCTTCTCTTCGGAGAATTGCGCCAAAGGCCCCGCGCCTGCGCCTTTTCTGCGCCGACGGAGGAAGAGAAAGGCACCTAGGATCGTGAGTGCCGCGGTGCCGATGATGCAGCCGACAATTGCGCCAGCTAAAGCACCCGTGCTCACATTGTTCGGCGATGGGCTGGGTAGGGTGGCTTGGGTACTCGAGGTGCTTGACGAAGTCGGGACTGTGTTGCTCGAGTTGGGAGAGCTGCTGGGGGGTACGACAGAGGTGACCTGCGATAAAGCTGAGGAAGAGCTTGTTGGTATAGATGTACTGGTTGACAGTGCTTCTGAGCTTGATGCGGAGGTCGCAGACGTGCTTGTCAAGGATGACGTGGGCGATTCCTGACCGGGTAAAGAAGGGGACGATGTTGTCGACGACGATGTTGTGCTTGATGGAGTCGCCAAGGGCGTCGTAGTGCTGGTGCTCAAGGAGGATGTCGTAGTGGCAGCCATTCTGTGGAGAGATCCAGACGGACGTGTGTGCACTTTGGGATGGATCAGGGAGGTGGCTAACTCTTATGAAACCAGGGTCAACCATGAATGCTTGCACGTCCTCGTATTCAGCTTAGTGAACCAACACAACTTATTCAGATCAGGCTGTGATTTCCGGTCGTTTTACCACTTCGAGGCTGATAAACGACTTTGGCTGGTCGCTGACTCGCTAGATGCATCAACCCCGGTCAGGGGAATGCATGCTGCTTTAGCACGGAGATTGCCAGTGCCATGGCCTTTCCCGGCAAGGGTATTTCTCTCTCCTATCTCCAGGGGAGCAGCCTTGCAAAAATCCTTGAGCATGGCCAGCGTTTCTTCTCTGGTTGACGATGGACGAGAAGGAAGTTGTGGCAATCCATAAACCCTGGGACGATGATTGGAGCCCCGATATCGTAGTTGGGGTTGATTTCGGAATGACCTGCACAGGTACAGGGTCTTCAATGAGCTCAGAATATTTCACGACAGGCGCTTATGATAAACAGGAGTCGCCTATTCAATCGGCCCAGAATGGTTACCGCCGAGGACCATCCAGCGGTGGCCGGGGAAGCTCATCAGCGAGTTGGCCAACAAAGTGCCCACTGCGATTGAATTTGGATCTGCTTCGCACAGCGTCAAGTCGTGGGGGTTTCTCTGTAATACCGAGGATCCGGCCTCGGACATCAAAGAGTATTTCAAGCTGCATCTGGCTCCTGGCCCTCACCCGGACGGACAAATCACCCGCACAGAGGCACAGCGATGGCTTCAAGACTATATCCGTTGCATCTGCCAGCATGTCACTGCACATTTCAAAGACACTCTTCCCTCTTTTGCCTCTTGCAAGGTTGAATGGGTATTCAGCGTGCCCACAACATGGAAAGATGTTCGTATGGTGGAAGAAACGCGGCACCTACTGCAGCGAGCGATCAACACTGGCAGTCCGGGAATGTCGCCAGAGCATAATCGCGCCGTCATTGGCCTCACCGAGGCAGAGGCTGCAGCTGTGTATGCTTGTAAGGAACATTATCAGGTGAGACTACGGATAGTATAGCCCACCCTGCGATCACCATGTTCACTGCTGCAGGTGAATGATATCGTCCTCGTCTGTGATGCAGGAGGCGGAACCACAGTAGGTAGAGCTCGATCTGATATGAAATCAATCGTCCTGCGGCTGCTAACTGTGGAGGACGTCAACATTCTCCAGCTCAAGTCCGCGCGCGGCGAGCCGACAAAACTCGATCAGTTCGGCAGCGTTGAGGGTATGTCAGCTCAGAAACTCTTTAAGTTCACAGCTGAACCTAGTCAGGACGACCCATCGGCTCTGTTTTCGTCGACCGCGGGATGCATAGTCTCATCTGCGAGCGGCTATCCAAGGTTCACCACAGATTGAATCTGTCTCCATCACACACGGCATGGAGGATGATCCTCGGCCGATTCCAAAGACTCAAATGCGCGTTCGGTACCGCTGCAGCTGCAAATACTCCAAGTCTCAAGTTGGATGTTCCTGGCCTCAAGCCGGGGCCCGATCTGCCGGAGGTCGAGATTTACGACGGCCAGATGAGCATTTCTTGGTATGTGACATGTTCACAGACAGAGTGTAGAGAATCACGGCTAATCTTCCAGGGACGATTTGCAACATTGCTTTGACACAAAAATAGCCGAGATGTTTGACTTGCTTGATGGCCAAATCCGACAAATGCATGATAGATTCGCAAGTGAACGTATCGTACGGCACCCCGTCCCTAGCTAACCCCAGACCTCGAACTGACGCATCCAGTCATACCTCATTCTGTCGGGGGGGTTTGGCAGCTCACCGTATGTTCGGAAACGGCTGATGGAAAGGTACAGCAGTGGGAACAGGAACGGACACGGTAGTACAGGAGCGATGCGGGTCTTGATGGCCGAGGAACCGTGAGTCCTGCGTCATCAACTCAATTGCCAGCTGCTGACATACGCAAAAGACAGCTTGCCGTTGTCCACGGTCTCGTCCTGGATCGCATCCAGCTAATCAAGCGAGGCGTCATCACTTTTGGATGCCGATGCTCCCCCGTCAGCTATGGGATCATCTGCGATCAGCTTTACGTCCCAGAGAAGCATGCGGGCGAGCTTGTCCGGCAAGATCCGCACGATCAGCTCAGGTATGCCATTGACCAGGTAGATTGGCTGGTTGTCCAGGTACGCAGACAACACATGTCCCGAATCACTATCCCATTAGTCTTGACAGCAATAGGGCTCACCCATTCCTCCAACCGGACTCACAAAAGAGTTCCAGCTCAAGCTGGAGCCCGGCCGGGAAGCTGAGACCTTCCAGGTCCATATTGTCATGTCAATGTATCCGCCCACACAGCTCCCCAGGAGCATGTCTCACAAGGGCATCGAGCGGGTGTGCACACTGCACATTTCAACCGAGGGGGTAGAGAAGAAGCTCAAGAACCGCCACTGGTACAATCGAAAGCCGGTCTTCTGGAAGGGCACCTTTAACGTCAGAGTCGTGGTGGGGCCTGCAGATTTGGCTTTTCAACTGTGGTCCAAGGATCAGAGAATCAGGAGCAGCAGTCATCCGCCGATTGCAGTGAAATGGGTGCCTGCCGGGGTCTAGCGTTAGTTTGAACAACAAGAGTAAGTATGAGGTTGGAGATATAGTGTTTCTCTTGATTGTATCTATGTACTAGAACAGAAACGCAAACTGTATGTATACTCAACAGAATCTCATGCGAATCGATGCAAGTCCTCAAACCTGGACGACAATCTTGGTTCCGCTGACTCCCTGCCTCAAGGTGTCCAGCGCCTGGTTCAATCCCTCCAAGCCTCCCTCCATCAGTTGCACATGGGGACTAGGGACAATCTTACCCTCCGCAAGACCCGGCCCCAGCCAGCCCTGGTATACGTTGTAGAGATGCTGTGCTTGGGCAGTTTCATCCATTTAGCGTTCAGCCAGTCTGATAGCCGACTCAATGGCTGAAAAGTGCTGAAGATGATTATAATGACGATTGAGGCAAGACATATAGAGCCTTTATATTGAGCGGGATCTGTTTGATATCCTGTCAAAGAGCTATCCCGTCGTTTAGGATCCTGGTCCGCATGGACAAAGGAAGATAAAGATGGAAATATGGACCATATACAGGGGTCAATAGCTCATGTCCGGCTGCTCATTTATGCAAAGACTTCTATAACAGAGGGATAGACTCAGAATCACCGAGTCACAAAAGACACCATTCGAGTAAGAGCAGACGATCTGCTGTCTTATTTTCAGCCATGAACGGATTAGATTCCCAAACGGAATGCGATGAACAGATTCACCCGGCCCCAACGAATATCACTCATTTCCCCCGGACACAGCAGGAACCCGGTTCTCTGGTTTTCTCTCTGCAACCCCCTGTCCACTGTTCCCCTTCTTCTCCTTCAATCCATAGTCCGACTGCACCGTCGTGCGCATCGGGATCTCCTTCTCCAACAAGGTAAGCAGGAACGCCAGCCCACAAAACCCAATACAAACCTGCCACACGTTCTTCAAGGCCGCCAGATACGCTCCCACAACCTCGTTCCGTGTCTCCTCCGCCAGTCCCAAAAGATACCGGCTCGAGACATGCGCGTAGGCATTGCCGCCCCCCAGCGCGCGCCGGATCCCCTCATCGCTCACGGCATGCACATGGTACGCAAAGCGGCTGTTGAAGATCGCGGCGGGGATAGCGATGCCCCAGATGCTCCCGAACGCGCGGAGGTAGGCCCATGTGGCGCTAGCGGGCGCCACGTCCGACTGGGGGAGGGCGCCCTGGACGGCGGGCAGGAAGGTGGTGAGGAGGATGCCGCCGCCGACGCCGGCGATGATCTGGTAGATGACGATCTTGGCCATGCTGGAGTGGGCGTCGAGGTCGATGTACAGGCCCGTGGCGAGGGTCATGAGCGCGTATCCGCTGAGATGGATGGGTTTGTATCGGCCCCAGCGGGAGAGGGCGAAGCCGGAGAGGATGGCTGCCGGGGCTGCAGTGAGGACGCTGGGCAGGAGGAGCACGCCGGACCGTTGCGGGGAGGCAAGCAAAACACCCTGGAAGTAGAGGGAGAGGAAGTAGACGCGCCAGAAGGTGAGCATGGACGAGAGGAAGGTGTTGACGAGACAGACGGCGCTGGTGCGGTTGGTGAACAGGCGGCCGGGGATGGTTGGCACCTTGCACCATTGGGTTGTCTCAAAGGCATGAAAGACACACATCCCGGCAAAGCCAACCAGCAATGGGACGAGAATGCGCCAGCTCGACCAGGGGTATCTGGTGTCTGCCCAGGAAAGTGCGAGGAGGATGGCAATCATCGACCCGATGAGCAGCAGGTTACCGATCCAATCGATCTGCCTGATCTTCTGCTGGAAGGTGAAGATCTTCCGGTAGGTGATTCGCAGAAAGATGATCTGCAGCAGCAGTGTCACCCCTCCCAGAGGCAGATTCAGCCAGAACACCCATCGCCAGTGCCCGCTCTGCGCAATGGCACCCCCGATCACAGGTCCGATGGAGATGCCGATGCCGAACGTGCCGAAAATAATGCCCTGGTACTTGCCCCGCTCCCGGACAGAGACGAGATCGCTGATAATCAAATTCGTCATGGACCCGATGCCAGCACCGCCGAGGCCCTGCACGAGTCGTCCTGCGATGAGCATTGCGGTCGAATTGGCACCACCGCTGATGCCGCTGCCCAGGGTGAAGATGGACACGGCCACCATGGTGGGCCATTTGCGGCCGAAAACCTGGGCGAATTGGCCGTAGAAGGGGATAAAGACGGTGCTGCGCGCATGTTCAGAGACTGGGGTCAGAGAAGAGATGTAGAGACTTACGACGTGAGAAGGTAGCCATTCAGAAACCAGACATAGTCCGGGCCAGAGTGCAGGGTAGCCGTGATTTCCGGCAGCGAAGTCGATGTCACCGTAGACTCGAGAGCAGAGAAAAGCGTTGCTATACACAGTGGAGGGAAGATGGCCCAGAATCGCCAGCCTCGGGCGGCAGGCTGTGAGGGAGGGTTTGGTCTCTGTGCACCAGGAGCAAGAGACTGTGCGGCAGACTGTTGTTCAGGGGGCTTATCGGATTTGATCATGTCAATGGAGACCTCATTGCGGTCGTGAGATGGCGCTTGAGATGCCATACTGGATGCTTTCGGCGACTATAGTTGATGGACGGAAGCGACGAGAGGTGGAAAAGTAGGAGAGGAATATGGACGATCTGACCTTACCATCGGGTGTCGGAATCTCTCTCCTTTGTCCTGCAGCAGCGAGAGACCGGAGTCTAGGAGGTAAGACGCATTAATGCCGGGTGCCAGGGACCAACAGGGATCTTTATTGGGTTGAGATGCATGGATTGCATGTGCAGTATAGGTAATGCTGCTTGCTTCTGAATGCTACATATACCCCTGTCCTGACATCCTTCTTCCTCCAAGAAATGATCGAGCATAAAGATCCAGCTAATACAGCATCAATGCCGAATAAAAGTCGCCGTGGCGCACACAAACATCATCCAAGCAGGAATATTCACCCAACACATCCTAGCTGCATTATTCGCCAACCAGCCACGCAGTGCATCGTAGTTCTTCTCACCGATATGCTCCTTGCTCGAAATCCGCGCATTCCACATCATCGACCACGTGCCAAAGTAGAAATGCAGGATAGACAGGACCCTGCCGGCAATGTAGAACCCTTTGGTCTGCGGATGCAGCCCGGCGCCGGGGGCCCCAAACGCATTGATGAGGGCAAAGACCAGCGCAAACGGATACGACAGGATGATGACCCATTTGGTCGGCTTGGCGAATTCCGCGAACCAGTCCACGACGACGTGGGCGCACATGTCGCCGGGTTTGCGGAGGAGCTGAGGCGCCAGGAAGGAGCGGAAGGCGTTCTGTTGGTCCCAGGCGCACATCAGTGAGGCGGACGAGATCATCAGCGGGCTGAGCCGGAGGAGGGCCGTGGCGAGATGGGGGAGGTCGATGGGAGTGGAGGCATAGCTGGCCATGGTGGTGGTGGTGGAAGCACTAGATAGGGAAGCAGTAGAAGCTGCAAGTTGGACTTGGACGAGGACAGCAAAGTGGGGGAACTAAGCGAATAACAGCGGAAGCTTGACATTTCCACAGCGTCGTCAAGCCTTATCAAGCCTTATTAGCTTCACGCTGGGATCAGAATCATCGCCGAAGAGTTATCGGCGTTCGGACATGGGCCCGGTGTGGATCTCGACTCGGAGGTAGCATCTGCACCTGCACGCTCCTCGTAGAATCCAAGCATATAATTCATCTGATTCGTTTGAGTCTTCCGGGATTAACCGTTGGCCGGCGTTAAGCCGGATTTACCGTGACCCCTGAGGGGTTTGATACTGCAGGGAACGGGAATCTCATATGATGGTGATGATCATGAGACAAACGCCTACGAAGTTTGAGTGGATTGAATCCGAGGTCTAACGGTCCTCGAGAAATGATAGACATGTAGCAGACTCGTTGTGTAGATAGTCCCATGCACTGATCTAAGCAAAACACTCCTACCCTCTATCTAGACACCCTTTCGGGCTCCCATTCGTACTCGAACGCCCGCAATCACCTTGAAAATACAGCCTTCCCTCAGCCGAAAGTCTCGCAGTGAACTCTCCAGCGACCCTCCCGGCCGCCAGGGGACGATCCCGCCACCGCCAGCACGCAAAGACCTCCCCGTCGCGCGCACAATACAGCCCAGGTGCTCGCTCATGCTTCCCAGCATGTGTTCCACTGTCTCGAGGAAGACGGCCAGGCAGAGCCGCGGGTGCGGATTCAGCGTCGTGGCTCCCACGGTGATCACGGGGAGGTCGAGTCGCGGATGGGCCGAGGCGCCGTCGTCTGCAGTGGACTGGTTCACTGCTTGTAGCAAATCGGACAAGGTCTCAAGGACGCGCATGTAGGACGAGAGGATCATGAGCACCGATCCCGGGTCGAGAGGGTGGGTTGGGCCTCCTCCTTCTCTGGCCATCTCCTCGTCATAGGGAGTGTTTGGGCCGTCTGGCTCTTCGCCGTATAAGTCGCTCAGCTCCCGGAGCAGATCGAACAGTCGCATTGATAGACCGATGGCGTCATCGAGGGCGCTGCTGCTGCTGCTGCTGCTACTTGGGCCAGGACGATCGGCGGGTTGATCTCGATTCCGGAGAGGGCCAGACGGGCCAGTTGAGGTTTGCGAGTGGTTGAAGAGCTGGACGTTGATGTCAATGGTCTTCAGCAGCCAGCGTCGGTGCGAATCGCCGGCATCAGCTCGTGGCGGTATGGCTTCAGGGGGTACTTTCAGGGCGGCCGTGGGCGGTTGCAATTCATCCAGCGAGGACTGTCCCAGGTCGGCGAGATCGAGAGCCTTCGGGGTCGCTGCTCCTGTTGGGATCTCATCCGGTGCGCCCAGCCAGGTACTGCGGTTGGTCAATGTGGGTGTGATCAGGCCCGAGGAATTGGCGCCACTGCTGAACAGGCTGTGGTGCAGTTCTGCATCGGACAGGGAGTGGAAAGCCCCCTCCAGGTCGCCCGGATTGTGGTTGATGGTACCATCGATCGGGGTGTGGGTGTAGGGGGAAAACGAGTGGGCATTGGCGAGGATGCCCATGAGCATGGGAGAGAACGAGATGTCGTCCTGATTCCACGGCCCGGCCGGGGGCTCCAGGATCCTGATGATGTCGCTGTGTTTGTATGATGATATGAATATGAAGTCTCATCAGATGCCAGCGAGGAGTAGCAGCTTCTTCTTACCCATAGCGATGGCATCCTGCTCACCCTCGTGCTTATTTTCGTCCTGTCCATGGCCCTGTTCAAGGGGATTCGCCTGAGTATTGCTGCTGTTCTCGAGTCTGGTCGAATTCCGTCGGTTCCGCAACGAGATGCTCCACGTGCAGGGCTTATCAGCTTTCGTACAACGCACACACTTGCGTGCGCCGGGAGAGCGCTGACAGCCCAGCTTCTGCGAATGACATCGATCACAGGCCTTGCGGAGGCGAGGGTCCGAGGAGGGACTGGAGGTGGTGCGACTGTCTGACATCTCAGACGCTGACAGGTACCAAGACTAAAGCCAAGGAACAGTTGGCAACGTGGGGATGGACGGGGGAGGCCTGATATAAGCTTTGGCGGCTTGACTCTTGAGATGCTGGTGGTACTTTTTGTTCGTTCGACATATCCTTTCTAGAGAGCTGGAATAGTCCGTCCTGTTGGATAAATTATCGCCTACCCAGCTATCCCACCACGCGCACTGAAGCCAATGGACTGTGGATAGTTACAAACAGGGCCTTTTCGACTGAGAACTCGACTCGAGATCTTTTGGTGCGCATGCAGGGCGGGGTCCGCAGCCAACAGGCATGGTGTAGACGAGGGGCAATCAGACAGCCTCAGAGATGACACTGGATTACTACCTGGAGCGGATAATCTGACTGACGCAGAGGAGGATTGGAATCCCTGCTGCACAGAAGAACAAACAAGATAGAATAGAGACATCCAGCAGGTGCTTGGCAGTTATGCATACAACATGCATCTATTAGTATCCTTCTGGGACTGAGATCTCGTTCGGGAGTTTCATGGCTAGTTGGCTCGTTCTTGTCTACTCGTTCCAGGTATGGTGTGCTATATTCTCACTGCATAAGATCCCCTGTTACGTGAGGGGCAGTGTTCCAATGACAAGCTCGCGAAAGGACCAGGGGAGGCGAAGCCGCAGTCAACGCGCAGTCGCCATGTCTCATGTCAATACGAGCCAGATCACGGCGATACAGGCCGACATGACGCCCACGCGCCAGGGAAATCCACAGTGGGCAATTCGGCTAAATCTAACCCCTTCCAGCCAACAGCTCAGCCCTTCGGTCATGCCCGCTGGAGTGCTACCTGCACCCCCTTCGCCGATAAGACGGTCAGAGTGAGTAACTCGGTCCAAGGGGTCGGATCTCTGGCCTCGATGGTCGTGAACTCCTGTGCGAAGCGAATCAGTACGTACAGGGCCTCGGTCATCGCATACTGTTGACCGAGACAGATCCGGGGTCCTCCATTGAAGGGCAAGTATTCCTGTCAAATGGGGCCTTGTCAGTATTTCCACTTTATGACCATAGATAGACATGACGGGGTATTCAGAAGCCCTATTAACCATACCCAGGAATAACGCTGTGTCTCCCACCGCTCCGGTCGGAATTCGTCGGCGTCAGCACCGAACAGATCCACTCGCCGGTGCATGGCGTACACCGTGTAGATCAAGGTACAGCCCTTGGGCACAAAGACCGGGGCATCGCCACGGGGCCCTCCGCCGCGGGGCAGGACGGTGTCCCGCACCGCCAGCCGCGTGTTGTTTGGCACCGGCGGATACAGCCGCAGGGTCTCGCTGATACAGTGCCGGGCGTAGGGGACGCTGTTGCGCAGCTCGTCGTAGCTGGGGATGCGCCCCTGCAGCTGCTGCGTCACTTCCTGGCGCACCTTTTGCCAGACGTCGGGCCGGCGGGCCAGCACGTGGAACAGGCTGCTGAGGAGACTGGCGGTCGTGTCTCTGCCCGCAATGAGGATGTTGAGCAGCTCATCGCGGATCTTGTCGCGATCGTCGGTGGCCTTGGCCAGCTCCCGGAGGAAGTAATACCGCTGCTGATTGCCCGCGTCCTCGCCCCTTTTGTTGTCGCGGTAGGCAATCGCCTCGTCCACAAACCCGTCCACGTACGCGCGACACGTCTCGTACGCCCGGGGAGCCTGGGGATTCGCCCGGCGCAGGGCTCTCCACGGCCCCAGCCGGAACTGCAGCGCCATATCGTCCAGCGCGTAGGCGAACGCCTCGCCAAACCGGCGATCTCTCTCCGTTCCCTGCGTCAGAGTGTGCAGCGAGTGCCCGAAGAGAAACTCGGTGGCCGAGTCGATGGTGAAGCGCAGGAAGAGTTCCTGTAGGTCAACTGTGGTGCCGTCCCGCGGCACCAGGGGCAGGAGGTTCTTGAGATGGTCCTCCAGCATGCCCAGATCGGCTACCTGGTCGCGCACAAAGTTCGGCCGCAGCAAGGAGCGCGAGTGCGACCATTCCTCGCCATCGTTGACGAAGATGCCCTTGCCGAGCAGCGGACCCATGATTGCCGTGCGGTTTCCTAGGGAGTAGTCCTTGAACCGCGTGGACAGAATGGTTTTGATGTTTTCCGGGTCGCAGGTGATGATGCCGCGCCGGTAGAATACCCGCACGCTGTAGGTCGTGCCCAGGTCGCGGTAGCGGTTCAAAAGCTCTTGCAGATAGACATGGTTCCGGAACGTGCGCACATTCTTCAGGACAAAGTCGAGACCGAAAATGGGATCCTTGGAGGGATACCGAGGCGGTGGCTGGCAGCCATGTTTGGCCACGATGTGGCGCCGGGTGCCTCTGTAGCGCAGTATTGCATAGACGACGGCGAAGAGGGTGAGACCGATTAAGAATATACTAAATCTGCCCAACAGCTTGGTAGGAGCCGAAAGCACGTCTGGCGCCAAAGGCATATCGGCCGATATGGGAAGGAGACCCATGATGGAAGGGCGTGTAATGGATCGTTGAAGAGACGTAGGGAGAGCTATCACAGGGAGGAGGTGGAGAAGGGCTAGGAACCGTAATGGACCCGTTGTATATAGTTTTTAACAGTATATTTGGGCCCTCTTCAGCTGCCGACTTCGGTGATAACCACAGTAGATCAACCGGAGGGCATGGTCCGAGAGGCCGCAGGAAGCGATCACTAGTTCAGTCGTCGGCTTTCTAACGCCGAGTGGAAGCCGTCGTGTCTGCCTGTTCACTGCTACAGTCCTATCCGTCTTTGAAGAGTCGTACTAGCTCCGACTGCAGCAAACTCGGCGTTGGCATTCGGGGTAACATCCTGAGAAGGCCGGGGTGCCCATCGGCAGAGACTGCTCACCAGCTAAAATACCCAGACCATACGATAAATTGACTGTAGAGGCAGAGTCCCATCATCAAACTAGACCCAGAAATTGAGATCCAACATCGGATGGCTTACATTCCACCCACCTCTGAGCCCATTGCCATTATCGGCAGCGCGTGTCGCTTCCCAGGGAATTCGACGTCCCCAGCCAAACTTTGGGAGCTCCTGAGCAATCCTCGCGACCTTTCTCGAGAGATCCCCCAAGATCGATTCAACGTCCAGGGGTTCTACCATCCTGACGGAGAACACAATGGGACGACCAATGCCCCCAAGGCCTACTTCCTCGAGCAGGACCACCGACAGTTCGACGCGACATTCTTTAATATCACCCCAAAGGAGGCAGAGGCCATTGATCCGCAGGGCAAGATCCTGCTCGAGACCGTCTACGAAGGCATGGATTCCGCCGGCATCAGCCTGCAGGAGAGCATGGGGAAACGGATTGCCGTCTTTGTGGGCACAATGACGGCGGACTATGACCTGCTCACCGGCAAGGATGAGCTGATGTTTAGCCAGTACTGCGCGACGGGAACGTCCCGGGCGATCATCTCCAACCGTGTTTCCTACTTCTTCCACTGGAACGGGCCGTCCATGACCATCGACACCGCCTGCTCCTCCAGCCTAGTGGCGCTGCATCAGGCCGTGTTGAGCTTGCGGAGCGGCGAGAGCAGTATGGCCTGCGTGGCGGGGACGAACCTCATCCTGGGACCGGAGATGTTCATCTGCGAGTCCAATCTGCACATGCTGTCGCCGAACGGGAGGTCCCGCATGTGGGATGAGGGAGCCGACGGATATGCGCGCGGCGAAGGTGTGGCGGTCCTCTTCGTCAAGACACTGTCACAGGCCCTGGCGGACGGGGATCACATCGAGTGTATCGTTCGAGAGACGGGGGTGAATTCCGATGGCCGGACCAAGGGGATCACGATGCCTAGTGCAACCGCCCAGGCAGCCCTGATCCGAGACACGTATGCCAGGTCGGGTCTCGATGCCCGCAATTCGCAGCATCAATGCCAGTATTTCGAGGCGCACGGCACGGGCACCCAGGCCGGGGACCCGGTGGAGGCCGAGGCTATCTACACAGCGTTCTTCGGGGAGGCGAGTGAGGACAGTCAGGAGGAACATTGCATGCTTGTCGGGTCTGTGAAGACCGTCATCGGACACACCGAGGGTGCCGCAGGGGTTGCAGGAGTCATCAAGGCGATGCTGGCCATGAAGCACCACCTGATCCCTCCCAACCAGCACATGGCCCGCCTCAACCCCAGGATTGCTCCTTTCGCAGCACGCCTCAAGGTGCCCACTGTCCCCTGGCCCTGGCCTCGTGTGTCCACCGGGCATCCATTGCGCGCCAGCGTCAACTCGTTCGGCTTTGGAGGCACCAACGGGCATGCCATCCTGGAGCACTACGATCCTGCGATTCACGGGCGAGGACTAGTGCAGCCAACTGTCCTAACGCCCACTATTCAACACTCTCCCATCCCCTTGCTTCTCTCCGCGAACTCGGAGAAGGCGCTGTCACGGCTGGTGAGGAGGTTCGCCGATTATCTATCCACCGAGACAGACGTTAACCTCGCGGCTCTAGCCTGGACAATGGCTGCGCGTCGATCTGTGCTCCCTCACCGGGCATCCTTCTCCGTGGCATCCGGCGTCGAGACCCTGATCCAGGATATGCAATCACAACTCGACGCGGCCGAAAACTCCCAGGCCGGAATGGGGGTCCGCGCCAAACCGACGGACCAGCCCAACCGGATCCTCGGGGTGTTCACGGGCCAAGGCGCGCAATGGCCCCAGATGGACAAGCAATTGCTTCAGGCCTCTCCCGTATTCCAGCAGTCGATCCGAGGCCTGAACGGCGCGCTTACCACATGCCGTAACCCTCCAGCCTGGTCGATCGAATCGGAGCTACTTGCCCCCACGTCGTCCTCCCGGCTAGGCGAAGCAGCCCTCTCCCAGCCTCTATGCACTGCTGTGCAGATTGCCCTGGTCGACCTTCTCCGCGCGGCGGGCATCACGTTCGCCGCCGTCGTGGGCCACTCGTCCAGTGAAATCGCCGCGGCGTATGCGGCAGGCCTGCTGTCCGCGCAAGAGGCCATCCTCATCGCGTACTACAGGGGATACCACGCCAAAGGGGCGAGCGGTGTACATGGCGAGAAGGGCGGCATGATGGCGGTGGGCATGGGAGTGGAGGAGGCGATGGATCTCTGCGACCAGGCAGCCTTTCAGGGTCGCCTGTACATCGCAGCGAGCAATGCCCCGGCCAGCGTGACGTTGAGCGGCGACTGGGACGCCGTGCAGGAAGCCAAGGCGCTCCTGGATGAGCGGGGCAGGTTTGCCCGCGTGCTCAAGGTCGACACAGCATATCACTCCCATCACATGGACCGGTGTGCCGTCCCGTATCACGAGTCGCTGTCTGAATGTGGCATTCGGGGGTCGGCGGAAAGCCATGGAGGATCCTGTGTCTGGGTATCTAGTGTCTATGGGCCAGCAGGGAAGCCCACCCCCAACGAGCTGAAGGGGAGATACTGGCGCAACAATATGGTCCAGCCCGTGCTGTTCGCAGAAGCCCTGCGTCGCGTGCTTGTGGACGAGGGACCCTTTGACCTGGCGCTGGAGGTTGGCCCTCATCCTGCACTCAAGGGACCGGCCCTGCAGACGATGCAGGAAGCCATCGGCAAGACACTGCCGTACACCGGGGTGCTCCACCGCGGCCAGGACGACGTGGCCGCTTTCTCTGATGCGCTGGGCACCGCCTGGACCGTCCTTGGATCTTCTTCCTCCCCCGTGCGCTGGGAACCGTTCGCCGCAGCACTGGGCGTACACCTCCCCTCGGTCCAGCGGGTGATCAAGGACCTCCCGTCCTACCCCTGGGACCACGCGCAGCCGTTTTACCGACAGCCTCGCCTGCAAAAGCAGTATGTGCAGCGACGTGCACCACCCCACGAGCTGCTAGGGGTGCGGACCAGCGACGACACCGACTCCGAGTATCGCTGGCGAAATATCCTGAAGCCCGACTCGCTGCCCTGGCTGCGTGACCACCGCTTCCAGGGCCAAATCATTGTGCCCGCAGCGGCCTATTGCGTGATGGCGGTGGACGCGGCGCTGGCCATGGCCGCGCCAGGGTCGTTTGTTAGGCTGGTGGAGGTCCATGATCTTCGGATACAAGCCGGGATCAGCATGGGAGATGACTCGCAGGGGGTGGAAACGCTGTTCTCCTTGGCTCGGACGGTTCATTCCAAGACGTCTGTGTGGACAGCTTCGTTTACTCTGGACTGGGCCCCCGTGGACAACACGCTCCCCATGAAAACTGCCGTGACGGGTACTGTATGGGTGGAGATGGGAGACTCGTCCGCCGATGTGCTACCCAAACGGACAGGGGGACATTTGGATCTGCACGCGGTAAACACAGACGAGTTCTACTCCTCCATGCAGGATATCGGGCTGGCGTATACCGGCCCGTTCCGAGCTCTGACCTCCCTCAAGCGCCGTCTTGATACAGCCCATGGAGTTCTCCTGAAGCCGCACGAGGAAGATTTGTCGACGTTGGCCATTCGTCCAGCCCTGCTCGACGCATCTTTTCAAACTGCTTTTGCGGCTTTTGCTGCTCCCGGTGATGGGTAAGTACTCTCTCCTGGTACTGGATTCCTGAAAGTCAGAAGTGAACCTGATTGAACGATCAGTGCCATCTGGACGGCGTTTCTCCCGCAGTATATTCAGCGACTACGCTTCAATCCAATACTGTGCACTACCCAGTCTGACCGGCAAGAGCCGGTGGATGTTGATGCCACCATAACCAAGTTTTCTCCGGCGTCACCAGAGAGCCAAGCAAGCTTCACGGGAAATATCTGCGTCTATAACGGGCAAGGGCAGATGGAGATCCAAATCGAGGGCATCACCGTCGCTTCTTTTGCAGCATCGGTGGCCAACGACCGCGATCTATACCTCGAGACAGTGTACAAGGTCGATCCCTGGAGTAGTTTTACCACGGCCGATGATCAGGCAAGCAGCATCATGGACAATGAACTCCTCCTGTCAAAGGTTGGCTCGGGTGATATTGCTGATATCGAAGACATCCTCTCGCAGATGAGCGTGTCGCTCAGTGGCCAGAACCGGGAGTTACTCTGTGTCTGTGCCAAGCAGCTGCCGTCTCTCGTCCCTGCGCTCGTCAAGGAGATGACGCTGGAGTCCAGCGAGCAGCGCTCCCTTCGCCACCAGTTGACCCACGTCGTCGATCAGGTTAGCCATCGATTTCCTCGCCTACGAATCCTCGAGATGGACCTGAGTCAAACCGGAACCCTGGGCGCTCACTTTGGGTGTTCCCTGGCGGTTTCGTTCGTCTCGTACACTCACATATACACCGATGGGGGCATACTCCCGCACTTGGACACTGGAGAACTGCGACGGCAGCCTCACAAGATTCGAGTAAAGCAGCTTCCGTCGGGTCAATCGCTGAGCGATGTGGACTTGGAGGAGGAATCCTATGATTTGGTGGTCGTCGCTGGTCTATCCGACGACCAGGAAGTCCTCCATCACCAGCTGAGGGAGATCCGGCATGCCATGGCTTTGGGCGGCTATCTGCTCATAGTCCAGACTGCGCGTGTGTCGCTGCAGGAGCGGCTTCTGCACTGTGTGTCTCCCGGTACAGCGATTGTCTCTCGAGATGCAGAATCCTTGGATAGTGGCCTCCTGCAGACCGTTCAGTTCACCCGTGTCACCTCTGAATTTCACACTCCACGCCGGACCTCCTCGCTTCATGTGGTCCAGGCAACCAGTTCAACTCTGGAAGCCTTCCGTTCGCCATTGGCATCCATACTGCCGGTAGATATGCCCGGACAAATCCTCCTGCTCGGTGGAACCAAGCCGGAAACCCACCAAATCAGATCCAAACTGGCCGACATCCTCCCGCTTTACAACTACGATGTCATCACGGCACAATCCTTGGATGCCGTTCACGAAAGTGTGCTGCATAATGCTAGCGCCGCTGTCATGCTGTCGGATCTCGACGAACCGCTCATGGCCAGTATGACGGGAACCAAACTCGCTAAACTACAACAGCTCTTTGCGCCCAGCCGCTCCATCCTCTGGCTGACCCGCGGCTTCCGCGAGGATAATCCGTACCATTACGCCACACTCGGGCTGTCTCGCTGCGTGCGGCACGAGACGCCACGGCTTCGGCTGCAGTTTCTGGACGTCGACACCCTGAGCGGCATTGAGGATCTGGTCGCTGAGGTGTTTCTGCGCCTGCTGCGGACCGACGACGCCGAGATGGCAGCAGCGCTCTGGTCCACCGAGTACGAATTGGTGCTGCAGGACGGGCAGCTCTTGATCCCACGGGTCCTCCCGATGGAGGACCTTAATCGGCGGTATAACTCCGTCCGCCGGGTGATAACTCCTGAATTGGACGTGTCTCGGTCCGTGGTGGAGATTGTTGGAGCCCGCGACGGTACAGATGCTGTATGGCATGCCAACGACACCGGGGCTCCCGTGGCGCGGCTGCAACCGCTGGATCCCACTATTGTTGTGCGGATGCGGTACTCGAGCGCGTGGGCCCTGCAGATTGACGAAGGAGTATTTGCGTTTGTCGGGATTGGGGACACGCGGGACCTGAGGCAGGTGCTGGTTGTCTCAGCGTCCAATGCATCCTGCGTCTGCGTGCATCGCGAGTGGACATTTGATGTGGGACACCTCCTTCGTCAGGGTCCGAGTTTGCTGGCACGGGTACTGGCAGTCCTCATCGCAAAGGCCATTCGGAGACAAAGTCCGCACGGCATGGTCACCTTGTACGAGCCCACTCGGGCGTTGATGGATGTGCTGGAGGCTACTGAGGGCAAGTGCCGGTATCTGACCAGCGATACGCAGAAAGCTGCAAGTGACGACCGGTTGGTGTTTGTGCATTCGCTCTTGACAGACGACATCCTGCAATCCTTTTTGCTTGTCAGTGGGACTTTTGTGTCCTTTGAAGACAATGCAGCGTATCTGAGGCTCAAAGGCCTCCTCCCTGCTTCGGTGGTCCAGCTGGACAAGGAGTCCTTGGTGCGGTTGAGTAGCACAACCGGAACGGACAGCTGTGGTCTGGCAGAGAGCACTGTAGTCAAACAGGCAGTTGCCCTGGCGATCCAAAGCCTTGAGACTGTTGCGGATGATGCGCAAGAAGACAATCCGATTTCTCTCAACACCATACTGGAAAATAGTCCCCAGTCCATGTTCACTATGCTGGACTGGGTGAGCCGGCCAAAGGCCCTTGTACGCGTCCAGGCCATCAGTGCATCCTCTGTCCTGTCCGCTCACAAGACATACGTGATGGTTGGCTTGACAGGCGAATTGGGTCAGAGTCTCTGCCGCTTTATGGTTCGTCATGGTGCTCGCTACATTGCTGTTGCTAGCCGGTATGTTTAAATTGTGTCGTATGTCTGTATAGTATCCATAACCTAATGATGCACAGCAATCCCAATGCGGCGACCTCCTGGCAAGCGGAGCTCCAGTCCATGGGCGCTACCGTACAGATCATGAAGCTGGATGTTACCGACCTCGGGGCCGTCGACAGATTCAAAATCGACCTTGCTGGCCGTCTTCCGCCGGTAGGGGGAGTCGTGAACGGGGCCATGGTCCTCTCCGACGGGCTTTTTGCCGACATGACCATCGAGGACTTTACCAAGGTGATGAGGCCCAAGGTGACTGGCTCCTACAATCTGAATTTGATCTTCAACGACCCCGACCTGGAGTTTTTCGTCATGTTCTCCTCCCTTACGGGAGTGCCGGGCAACAAGGGCCAGTCGAACTATACAGCTGCGAATATGGTAGGACAGATTTCCCTCCCACCTTGATATATGACAGAATAAAACTTTCTCTGACATATGTTAGTACATGGCCGGCCTAGCCGCCCAGCGCCGAAAGCGAGGTCTGGCCGCCACGGTGCTCGACATTGGCATGCTTTATGGGATCGGGTACATCAATCGCACCGATGGTGCTGAGATCTACCGCAACCTGCGCCGCCAGGGCTACTGGCCCATCTCTGAAAGGGACCTCCATGGTATGTTCGTCGAAGCAATTGCCGCTGGCCGTCCTGGATCGGGGACGAGCGTACAGCTAACCACCGGCCTGCAACGATTCGGCCGGCCGGGCGAGGAGCTTCTCCCGTGGCATGCGGACGCTCGCTTCTCGCATTACATGGTAGTAGACTCCTCTGGAGCGTCGACAGCGGCAGCCTCTGGGGGTGTGCAGAGCGTGCAGGAGTTACTCCGGGGGAGCCAGTCACTGGACGAGATCGCGCAGACGCTGCGGGATAGCTTTGCGACCCAGTTGGAGTCAATGCTGCATTTGGCGCCGGGGACGGTGAACATGGACTCGCCCATCATTGACCTGGGCGTCGATAGTCTTGTGGCTGTCGAGGTCCGCTCGTGGTTCCTGAAGAATGTCGAGAAAGACATGCCCGTGTTGAAGGTCCTGGGGGGTGGCTCCATTGCCTCTTGTATGCTCCTCCTCTTGTTCGATTCTTGCTTCGCATCCTACTGCCTTCTTGTATTTTATTGGACTGACGGGCGATAGTATCCGACGAGTTGGGTGCCCAGCTGTTCGCTGAACGTGCGCTGTCTAAACCGGTCGAAGCAAATGCCTTGGACGCACAATCCGTGCATGGCAGCTCGACGGAGCCGTCTTCTCGCAGTGACACCGCTCTGCCGGTCAGCTCTTCTAATACCTCTGATTCGTTTGAAGGCGATTGTGGAGACTGGGGGGATATACCTTCCTTCGAGCAGATTGAGCCCATGTCCTACAGCCAGGCACGTATGTGGTTTCCTCATCTGATGCTGGAGGACAAGACGGCCTACAACTGCACCTCCGCATATCGGCTGCGCGGAGCCTTGGATATACCTCGGTTTGAGCAGGCGCTTCACCTGGTAATGCGCAGACACCAGGTGTTCCGGACGTGGTTCTTCGTGGACGAGACGTCCGGCGAGCCCCTCCAGGCCGTCACCCGGTTCCCCACCTTTGCGTTACGAAAGATCCTGAACGCTGATGATGAAAGAGACGTCAATGAGGAGAGAGAGAAGATTGGCATGCACGTCTTTGACCTGGAGCATGGGGACGGATTCATGGCATCCCTTCTGGTTCATAGCGATGGCTATTACACTGTTATCTTCGGCTATCATCATATTCTACTGGACGGGGTCAGCTGGCAGCTCTTCCTACAGGATTTGGAGAAGCTCTACATGGCCCCAGGGAAGATGACACCCAACACAACCCACTTTATCGACTTTGCCGTCGCCCAGCGCAGTGACCTTGGCTCGCCCAATATGCTCAAGCGGCGAGAGTTTTGGAGATCGACGTTCGCAGACGGGCTGCCACCCTCCCTCCCTCTATTCCCCTTTGCCAAAGTCACTGCCCGTAGGCCCCTCGAACGCTACGAGGTCACCGAGCATTTCGTCGAGCTGGACCGGTCCCTCGTGGCCCGTATCAAAGCCGTCAGTGCGGACAACAAGGCCACAAGCTTCCATCTCTACCTTGCCGTCTTCCATGTCATGCTCCACCGGATCCTCAAATCCGACAATACCTGTATCGGGATCACGGATGCCAACCGTAACGCGGCCAATCACATGGATACTGTGGGGTTGCTTCTTGACACTCTGCCGTTGAGGCTCCGGCAGTCTGCCAATATCCAGACGTTCCAGGAACAGCTGCAGAACACCCGCAATGCGGTCTACGCGGCGCTGGGACAGTCCGGTGTGCCATTGGAGGTGATACTGCGCGAGATAGGCGCCGAGAGCTCCCCCACTGAGCCGCCCTTGTTCCAGGTGCTGGTCAATTACCGCATGGGCGCGATCAAACAAAAGACGATTGGCGACGTTCAGCTGGACTTTCTCTCCTACGAGGATGCCCGGCACCCGTTTGATTTCATTCTGACGATTGATGAGGACGAGGGCCGCGGCGGGCTGACCCTATCCGTGCAGGACTATCTTTACGACAAGGCCGGAGCTGATCTGATTCTACAGACGTACATCCATCTGCTTGAAGCGTTTGTGTCTACGCCCGGGGCAGCCATTCAAGAACCGTCTATCTACCCACCGGGCCTGGTGACGGAGGCCCTCCGACTCAGTCTGGGTGAGAGCGTGTCGCGTCCCTGGGAGGAGGAAACACTCTCGCACCGGGTTGATGAGATGGTACGCCGCTATCCGAGCGCTACTGCTGTCAAGGATGGCTCGGCAGCGTGGACATACGAGCAGCTGGCTCATCGGGTGGCGCGCATCGCGGCTTCCCTGATGGATCACGGCGCTGCCCGAGGTGCGCCCGTCGCTGTGTTCTGTGAGCGCTCAGCGGATATGATCGGCTGCCTTTTGGCCATCCTCAAGGTCGGAGCGGTCTATGTGCCATGCGACGTGAGGAACTCGGACGACCGCTTGTCCAGCATCGTCCGCGACTCAGCCGCAGCACTGCTCGTCTGTGACCGGGGAACGGCACCTCGAGTGCCGCGACTGGGTCTAGACCAGGATCATCAACCGCTAAGGGTATTGAATGTGTCTCTCCTGAGGGATCAGCAGACGCCACCCGTTCGGAACTACGCCTCGCGCCATGATCTGGCCTTCATCATGTTTACTAGCGGTTCGACAGGTAAGCCAAAGGGCATCAAGCTCACACACGCAAACTTCATGACGCATGTCGCTGCTGCCACCGCGAGGATGCGCTTGGGTCGGGAGGTTGTGCTGCAGCAGAGTGCCTTGGGCTACGACGCATCTCTCGCGCAGTTCTTCTACGCACTAGCCAACGGCGGCAGTCTGGTGATCTCCAGCAACCGGGCAGAGATCCACGAGCTGGCGTCAGTGATGCTCCGGGAGAGAGTCACCTTTACCCTCATGTCTCCGTCGGAATACACGGTGCTCCTGGAATACGGGACGGGGATTCTCTCGCAGTGCCGGGACTGGAGGGTCGCCATGTGCGGTGGCGAGGCCTTCCTGCCCCGGCTGATAGAGTCCTTCCGGGGTCCGAATCTCCAGGGCTTACAGGTGTTCAATGCTTACGGTAAGTTGAATATGCAGTTTGTAGGCGCATATTTGCTGACATTTACGTAGGACCTACCGAAATATCCGTTGTGTCAAACATAGGCCTGGTCGACTACCGCCGCGACACCATAGCAGCCCCAGCCTCCATCGGTACCGTTCTCGCCAATTACAGTGTCTACCTGGTCGATGAGGAACTGCACCCGGTGCCCCTGGGCTGGCCTGGCCAGATTGCCGTCGGCGGACCCGCGGTGAGTATGGGATACCTGCACGACGACGACCTGACCCGCGAGAGGTTCATCGTCAACGGTGCGCTGTCCGACGGCGCGGTCCACCTGACCGGCGACCTGGGCCAGATGTTGCCGGACGGCTCACTGGTTTATCAGGGACGCATTGAGTCGAACACCCAGATCAAGCTGCGGGGGATCCGCATCCAGCTGGCCGATATTGCCACGACAATCGTGGATGCATCGTCAGGGGTGGTCGCCAATGCGGCGGTGGGTACGAGAGGGGCCGGAGAGAGCCAGTTCCTGGTGGCCTATGTTGTTTTCGCGACGGAGAGGCAACCACACAACGTGGAGGTTTATGCGTCGCAGCTTCTGGCAAGCCTCCCGCTACCGCAATACATGAAGCCGGCAATGGCTGTCCGGGTCGATGCGCTGCCGCTCACGGCGAGCGGAAAGCTGGACTTCCGGGCCTTGAATGATATTCCCCTGGGACCTGGCAGCGACACTGAAACCAAGGAAGAAGTCAGTGGGTGGAGCGAGAACGAACGGCGGCTGAAAAAGGTTTGGGAGTCTACGCTCGGGGAGACCGGGATCACCATCACCAGAACGACGGATTTCTTCTCGGCCGGCGGCAACTCCTTGCTGCTCATCAAGTTGCAGGCATTGATCGACAAGGGATTCGGGACTCGTCTGCGGCTACCGGATCTCTTCCGCGCCAGTACCCTCAATGCAATGGCAGCCCGGTTGGATCGAGCCACCTCCCCTGTCCAAGAACCGCAAACGCCAGAACCAACCGAGGATTACTCCCGACATGACATCGACTGGGAAACGGAAACGGCTCTCCCCATCGAGCTACTCGCCACGGCACTCACGGGGACCCTGCAGTACCTCCTGCGCAATCCCGAGAAGATGGAGAAGCTCCAGCGGGAGATCCGGAGGTCGCTGCGCAGTGCAGAGGAGTCGCTCAGCATCCAGCACACTGCTAACCTGCCCTATCTAACTGCCGTCCTCCAGGAAGGATTACGGATGTGTCCGCCGGCTCCGTCGAACCGGCCGCGACTTGTTCCTGACGGCGGGGCACAAGTCTGTGGCAGCTGGGTCCCTGCCGGGGTAAGCTGGCTTCCACCTTACTTTGTCTTTCTGCCTAGGGTTGTCGACTGACTTGGCCTATGTTTGACGCAGGCGTCGGTAGGCATCCCCGTGTGGACGGCATTCCGATCCCCCCGCAACTTCGCGCAGCCAGACTCCTTCATCCCTGAGTGATGGATCGCGCCAGAGAAGGGCGGCATAGCTCTGCACCCGCACGATCCCACTGTCTTCCAGCCTTTTTGGCTACGGGCCCCGGGACTGCCTCGGTCGGCGACTGGGTTGGGCAGAGCTGCGCGTGATTCTGGCGAGTCTGGTCTGGCATTTCGATATGGCGAACCGGAGCCCGGAGAATCGCTGGGAGGACCAGGTGGCCTTTGTTATGTGGGAGAAAAAGCCTCTGTATCTGGGGTTGGCTCCAGTGCAGCATGATGGAGCGAATTGACCGAGTTATTGTTACGAGAATGAGTTGTAGCCAGGCTCATGCATTGGTTTCATAGGAGTTGACTTGATACCTGACGTTCGGCTTTGGGACTCCCAATTAGGGCAAAACCCACCGAACGAGTTCTAGATAAAAGAAAGTACAAAACAACGGGGAAAAGAAGGGAACAAATGAGAGAGAATAGGCATGTGCTGAGTACAACTGTACAAGGCCGAATCCGCCGATTGATTGTGCTTTGTGCCGAATTTAGATGAAGTGACCGATGCTTTCCCAGACTATTCGCAACTTCTCTGATACTTCATGCTGATCAAGTGGTCGAATGACCGGGAGATGCCCAGGGCATTCGGTGGGTTTTGCCAAAGGAGGTTAGAGTTGAAGGGGGACAAAGAATTCATTTATTACAGGCTCATTCGGTCAACTGTGCTTCTCCCTTTCCCACTGATATCTATCTATCTGTATGAAGCTTCAACCAAGAAGAATGGACCGGCCGTATGGTCTGACTATGTATGGCGCCACCGGCTACCTAGGGTCTCTGGTTGTGCACGTACCTGTGGGCTAATAGTCCGCAAACCCTTTGATGGGCTATTGCTGGCCACAGCAAGAAGAAGCTGATGACCCTTGTGGACTCCTTGAGCTAATCCCAATCCCATCACAAGTTGCCTCATGTCATGGTGGCCACCCAGACACCCTTTTAGTCTAGCACTATTGTATATTGATAGTGTTATACCTTCTTAAGAATAGATCTGGTCAGGCAGACAAGCCCAGATGATCACATGGTCCAGATGATAGGAATACTAAGAGGAAGAGAAGTAAAGAAGTATACTATCTTGCCATGGTACAAAACAGTCAACGCGCTCCTGGGGGCTGTATAACATATTTCTTGACTTTCTGATTAATTAGCCAGCTATCGATGCCTTAGCCGACAGCGCAACGTGAGAGTCCTTACTCACGTCAAAATGCCATTGCTCGACGTGGATCAATGCCTTGCAAGACTCCTTGCCATACGGCGTGTCCTTGGCACTCTGAAGGATGATCATGGTGAGTGTCAGATGTACGTCCCATGAGAGGGTGCCATTCTGGATTGCATAACGCATGACGACTATTACACTGACGACACTTGGTCGAAGTGCTGTCTTCAAAGAAGGGACGAGGCTCGTTCGGGTCCCAATTCTTCGCAGAAGTGCGAAGACATGGCATGCACCAGAACTTGCTTGCAAGCAATGTATCGCTGGGTTGACCCGGACTTAAAGTTGCCATTTCGGCTGAATGACATAGTGCCCGGCCCATGCCTGGGGCATTGAGTGCCCCTTGACGAGTGCCTTTTCCGAAACAAGTCTGTGAAAGCAGGAGTCTATCTGTCGAGCCATCTGCTTGTCAACCTTGAACGATTGATACCTGAACTCCATGGCGGAGAAGATATGGCTGATTCCATGCGGACGACTCGCCCTCATCGATGTCTCTGGCGACACCAGACCCACGGTGGGAGCAGGAGCAGGGCCCGGATAAAGCTATCATTATTCTATTACGACTTGCCTTCATCGATTGTGTGTCCATCGAAAACAAGGTTTCCGGCATGAGCCGGAGTGGGAGGCGGCAACACAACTCGGTCAAAATCTCCCCACAAAGCCACAACGTTGGAATGTAAGCAGTCCAGGAGGGCAGAACCTCAAAGAAGCGGTGATGGCAGTGCTGTCACACGCCGAACTGTGGTGTACTTTCGTGTCTGCCGGTAAACCGGCCTCGAGACGCGCATTGGCAGTGGGAAGCTTGTGTGTACATTCAAGATGAGTAATGAGTATGTGATGTTGACAAGTCCTGTATGGGCACATTGTCTTCAAATGCTGTTGATATTTTCTCGAACTTGACTCTATCATTGTAGCTGATACGTCGTCTATCGTCTGGGAATGGTGATAGGGTCACTGACGGTGTCTTTCCAGCTTGGGCTCTCACTGTTAGATAGAAAGAAATGGAGGACAAGGATACTCTTCTGTCCTCTTCATCTCGTATTGCTCAGGGATTCCGTCATGAGGAAAGGGTAGAATGTGTGACGTGTCCTTGGCCGTCACTAGCAGTCCAGAGATCTGGATTCTGCTTCTGACGGAGGAGGCTCATTTTCCTTGTTCATTCTATAACTTGACATCCCAGTCAGCCGAATTGATGAGGTTCATCGGGGGCAGCTGAGAGCAACAGCTGCAGCAATATGTTGCGGCCATTAAGGCCGTTGTTTTATACGCGTTGTAGATGCTATTCAAAAGCGATCCGGAAGATTAATATGTCATGGAGTAATGAGAAACATTCCTCCAGTGCCTTTTGGCAGTCTTCTCTGCGAAAGGAGTCCGGCCAACCATGAGACAAATAGATTTCCCAGAAATGTGAATGAAGAGAAGAAGAGCGTGTTGATGGTGTATGTCACATGGTTAGTGTCGTGATATTAGGCCACACTGATAATCAAGAGGATCCTATCATCAAGTTTGTATGGCAGATTACATTATTTTCATCCTTTGCTGAGTGCGATCTTAGATTTAGGGCTGTCACATGACTGGTACCTGCCTAATCAGGTAAGGCGTTGTTGGAAGGAGTAAACAATGCATCTTCCAGAAAATAAAATATATCTGCAAACCCTCTGCATGTTCCTCTCTTGGTCCATTGCTCTTAATCCATCTTTCTTAATCCATCTCTCTTGACGTGCTCATTGAAGAGTAGACCTCTCATATGAGTCATTGCGGCTCGGTGTGATTTCAGCCAGATCATTCTCTAAGAGCAAGCAGCTGTTTTCATACAGCAGTACATCCCCAGTCTGCTCGTCTTTATTGTGATTGCAATCTTTGCCTCTCAGAAAAGTCTCGTCTTTTTCCTTTGATTTACTTTGAGGAGAATTGATATCCCATAATGTTCGTTCGACCTGACAGTCCCATCGAGCTTCCAAACGGACAACTAGTCTGTGGTGCCCATCATCTTGTCATCTGTCCTTACTGCACTGTGGATTACAGCTTCATCGAGATTGAGGAGGACGAGCCAGGACAGCATGATTCGGACGAGGACGATACCAATGACCATTACCCATTCTCCGTGGCCGGCGTGGCGGCTCTGCGTCGTAACAGCGCTGGTGGGTTTACAGACATGTCCATAGGAAATGAGACACGTGTTGGCACTGGCAAAGTCATCCCAACCAAATTTCCCGTGCCCAGGGGATGCGACTCTCCTCATGCTCTCTTCCGTCCAGGCATCACTCCCGAAGCATCACCGCCCACAATCCGCTTTATCAATCCCAGCAAACCGTCTGAATTCCTTATCTTCACCGACGGAGCCTGTTTAAACAATGGCGCTGCTCATCCAAGAGGAGGCTGTGCTTTTGTATTTAAGCCCTCTACTGCTGACAGACCTGGCTATTTATCGTTTCAACTTGAGGAGAAAGGGCCGACAGGTGAGTCCCATAAGCACACTAGCAACCGTGCTGAGCTTCGGGCCGTCATTGGAGCATCCAGATTCCGCAGGTGGGATGGAGAAGGGTGCAAGAGCCTGGTCTTTGCAACGGATTCAGAGTACGTTGTTGAAGGTGCGACCAACTGGATTCAAGGCTGGATGCGCAGAGGGTGGAAGACGAGCACTGGCGAACCCGTCAAGAACAAAGACCTGTGGCAGTGCCTGCTTGGAGAGTGTGAAAGATGGGCTGACAATGGCGTAAAGATCAGCTTCTGGCGCATTCCACGGGAATTGAACAAGGAGGCTGACCGCTGGGCTAAAGATGCTGCCGCTAAGGAGGAGCAGCGTGCCGTATTCCGGGATATCTCTGGTATCTTGGTGTAAAGATCCAGCTGCTTCAGAACGCCATGTCCCTAGAACTAATCGAGTCAGCGCAAAATGCCATCCTCATATTGTGACTCGTCTAATGGTTTACACGAGAGATGGCCGAATGGGTCGCCAGAAGCAACTGTCTCTATGCGCAGCCAACGTATCCAAGTGCCAGAGAACGGCGAACTGCTGATACATGGATGTTGTACAAAACAGCGTACTTTCTACCGGAGAGGGCATCTACGGCGGACTGAATGTACAAACCGGCCAAAACAAAAAATTTTTGTCACCCACTTGTATTACCTATAGCCACTATTTCCACAAAGATGCTATCATAAAATAATATTAAACCATTAAGTTCCTACTATATTGAATACTTAGTATCGACATCAAATACTATAGTATCGATATCGAATACCATATACTAAGGATATCAAATACCATAGTATCGATATCGAATACTATATACTAAGGATATCGAATACCATATAGTATCAATATCGAATACTATATACTAAGGATATCGAATACCATATATATCATATAAAAATATTAATTTTCTATAACCATGCTTGATAGGCCCTAGGCATGTCATCTAGTAAGGTGGTGCGTGTGGTTGTTCTAGCATGGTGTGGCGGGAGGTAATCATGGTAATAAATTTATTTTGGCCGGTTTGTACATTCAGTCCGCCGTAGCATCCACTTCATTTCATTAACCTATACTTCCTCGATAGACGTACTTCTCCCTGGGACTCCAGACCCCAAGACCATGTACACATGTATAGCCCGATACTCCAACACGGAGCATGCCCTCTATCCCCCCTTCTGTCTCGCACGATTTACAAGTTCTCGGTAGCTAATACTCCTGCACTCATCAAACCAAACAATCAGCCACAATTCGGCAAACCCCTCGGTTTGCCCTCATCAGCTCATAATCAGATTGTATAAGACATCCATACTGAGCCCAGCCCCCTTCTGAGCACCGCATCCATATGATTCAGACATTGCTATCTCATCCTAGACAGGCCCATGTGTTTAGGCGGCATTTACTCCCTTTGTACATGGCGCTGCTACAACATCCACAGCCAACTGGCATCCTCGTAATGAATGCTGCATTACAATCTTCACAAGTTAATGCAGGGGTTAGAGACGAGTGTTCCATTGAAACTGCCCTCTTCGGAGCGCTACTGATCGGACTCCGGAGAACCCATAGCGGAAAGAGTTCGCAGAGCAGTGGGTTTCTCATTCGTTCCGCGGCATTTGGTGCTGGTCGGAAGAATCGATGTTATTAGAGACTAAGCAAGACTTGATGAGGTGTGCCATGCGTGCGAAACCTGCTGAGCAGCTGTGAGGAGCGCTCGGAGGTCAGGTGGTGGAGAGTGGGCTCGAGGAGTTCGGGGGAAGGGCTTTGCTTGAGCGGATGCCGTTCAGGGTGTCGTGAGATACGCTTACTTCTCGGTATGAACAGATGAGAAAGTCTTCAGAAATGATTAATCGAGGCTTGAAATCATAGCGAAAACATATTCAACTCAATTGATCTGTTCGTCAAACTACATAGGATTATGTACACAACGGTGTTGCAGTCCCCATAGAACTCGTGACGGAACCACCATCTCCTCAAAGCTCTCAAGCACACCTAGGAACCGGTTGGAAGGCACTGGGAATAGTAGCTGTTGTAGGAACTGCACGTGGCTCCGGTAGAGCAGGCCGTGGGACCAGACCATCCACTACCACCGCACTGGCCGTAGACCGATTGAACAGAAGTGGAGCCGGCCGCCGTTGTAGTTGTTGTGGTCGTAGCTTTGGTGGTCGTAGCCCTGGTTGTCGTGGACAATGTTGTGGAAGTAGTTGTTGTAGCTTTCGTGGTCGTCGCTGCACTGGTAGTTGGGGCACTTCCAGAGCCGGTCACAGGCGTTCCAGAAGCAGTGATGGTAGAACTGGACTGCACGACTGAGACAGCACCGGGAATGAGAGTCGGCCCCGGGACTACATATGTCGAAAGCGAGTTGTAGATATTGACCAGAATGCCCGGATCTGTGGGAGAGTAGAGCTCTGTGCCCTTTACGCCGGATGGTTGCGCGGTCCCTGATCCGGTAACCTGAAGGTTGAAACATTGAGGATAGTTCTGGGCTCCGTTTTGACTTCCAGCTCCATGCAAAGCGATCAGCTCATGTCGAAGGACATAGTAGCCCGGCGCAATCGTCGGGGGAATCTCCACAAGCCACGAGTTATTATCCGCGATCAATTGATCGTCGCCCCAGACCCCCGGTGGGCTTGAGTCATCCACCAGTCCAACACCATCAATCTTGAAGAATTCCAAAGTCGTCTTGTCTACAGCCTCACAGCTGGAACCACACGAGGCCATGTAGTTAATGACCTGTACGAAGTTAATGTCATAACCAATTGTTCGATGAACATCTTGGCCTAGCTCTCATTACGGGCCCGTTATTGAGCGGAGGCCCGGAACAGTTTCGGGCCAGAGTGAAGGAAGTCATACCGGTCCATGGTGAGAGTCTGGCCAAGTTGTCCATTGAATGGATATTTTGTCCCCTGCAGCAACCACAGCATGCCCGCGCGCGTTCGTGGCATTGAGGTGACAGATGATATCGTCCGTACCGTACGCATCTGGCGAGATGAAGCCATTTGACGTGTTGGGGGTCTGCCACGCTACCACCACCGGCGGATCCGAATTGTAGGGATCAGAATCAATATTCCATCCGCGGTACGAAACACCGTTGATCACGATGTTCGTAACGTGACCATGGGATGCGGCCTGTGTGGTAAAGAGAAGTGCTGTAAGCAGCTGAGTGGATTGAACGTGTCTCATATTGAATGCTGGCAGGTGCCTTGTAGAATCAGTAGAAGTAATAAACAAAGAGTGAAATAGATTGCTGCCGGTCAAAGGGATAGAAGAATTTGACCACTGAGTTGGCTGCGAGGAGAGTGGCTTTATATCATGAAACCGATCATTTTAGCCGGCATATACAGCAGGTGAGACTGAACATTGTATTCATTCCAAGAACGGACCGTGACATGCTGCCGTGTCAGAAGGGAATCAATTCCTCCAGCTGCCCAGTAGAATAGACCGTCTAGGCGCCTTGTTGAGCGGGATAGATTGCATACCAGACATGTAGCATGACACGAGGCCTAAACGCTGCAGGTGAAAATTGCCGGTGAATAATGCAACATATGTCAATTAATATATCGCCGGGAACTCGGATCGTCCAGGGTAGACTGCACCATAAGAATGACAGAATAGACACGAGGACCGTCCACGTCAGCGCCGTAGCTCATGGACAACGGTAGGGGTGTTGAAGTTATGTCCTGAAGATAGGTGGATATAGAGCATGATGCATGCCTAGTCCGATTCCCCCACGGAGAAACGTCCTTGCAGCTGTCGGCTTTTCGTGCATTTACTCTTCGCACTCTGCAGATACCTTGTTGTGTCCGAATCAAGAAAGGAAAAGTTCGACCAATGCCGAGACCACCCCGCAAATTGTATTGCCGGATATGCGGTATCCCTTGCCGGCAGGCCTGAAGAAACTTCCCCTGTTTCATCCCATTGTCACGATCACATGAACAAGGATTTTGCGGGGATCAGAGGTTATTGCGCAATATAGGCTATATAACAGGGTTGCATGATCTTCATCATCGAGTGTGTTGGGATGGTTCACTTCGGTTGTCGTATTCCACAAATGACGAGGCCTTCTACGCCGTGGCAACTCGTGGATGATACTTTAACGCTGGATTAGAGTCATCGGACCAGTGTTGAAGTGCCCAAAGTTTGCAGAAGTCTCTCAAGGTTCAGCCTATGAAAAAAACTTATTTCCAGGAGACTGTCGAGCATCCCCATCATAGCGCAATCCTTAATCAATTTGCGGGTTGTAGCCATGACCCGAAACCCTCTTTAGTGAATCCGCAGTCACAGCTGGTATGTTAGTGCCGCCTATCCATGCCATCAGATTGCCAGGGCCTATGATTTCACTCCTTCAAAGAGCCATGGCATGACCTGTGTGATGAGGCAAGCACAACGCAAGGATTTGCCGCATGTCCTGGGCCGGGATGTGCCTTGGTGGTCACGGAGGGAAGTGCGCAGCCGAGGTCGGATTCATTGCTGGAATGCAGATGCTGTAAAGTAATGAGACACAGTCCTAGAGGTACAGTCAAGTTTTTTGAGGGTCTTGGGCGTTTTTTTCTCAATCCAGCACTAGGAAGGGCAGACTCTTAAGGCGCTGATGTGATGCGTCTGAGATGAAGCGTTGTTAATTTCAGGTATGCCGCCATCTCAAAGAAGAGGTCTGCGCGCTATCACTTCTTAGCTTATTTCTGGGTATTACCTTGCTCAGAGTAAATCAAAGCACGCCGAAATATCGAGTTTCAATGGCAAACAATCGAAGGTAGGTCTGGTTTGGTGTCCTCCCTCGAACGATATAAAACTGAAGTCATGGAAACATGACGACTCTCACCTTTCACTGAGCAAACAATGCTATCATCAAGCTCCTGAACACAGTCTCATGTGGAGTGTGCTTTCGCAGAGCCTTGCTTCTCTTTGTTTTGATGATTTGCAATTGACACCAATCCCAGTTTATTGTCAGTGTTCACAGGAGGCATGGACATATCGCAATCCAACTGCGGGAATGATGCTGCGTAAACACCTTCGATCACATACTCGCAGCACGCAATGGAACTCCAAACTGTGTGAGGATAATCGAAGGAAGGGTTGACCCTTTCCTGACGCATGGATTTCTGCGATCTTGTGTTCTTGACTGGACAATAAGGCTGAGTTGTCCACCATTAAGCGAGCGCTAAATACCGGTGGAGCGTCCTCTAAATGGCTGCCTGGAGAGCCTGATAGCCTGAATGCCTGAGCGCGTGACGATCTCCGTTCTTAGTGCCAGTAAGCCTCCTCGTTGTTTGCGACAAAGTTCGTTGGAGATCTTCCTGATCTATTTCTCCTCTTGTTCTTCCAAATAACTTGCTTCTGATGATCTAGATTCCCTCACATGGCTGAAAATATAGCAAACAACTCTGCGGCGCCCTCTGCAGAGCCAGCTGCTGCGTCTAGTGATGGTTTTCCTTCCATCAGCGCGACCGAGGGGACAGAAGTTCCCAGGAACGATGACGTCATCACATTAGCGGATCGGGAGAAAGCAGCCCGTCTTATTCAGGTACATCTTCTGTTTAGCTGCAATAAGCAGCATCGGGTTTTCTTTTTCTCCAAATGCATGCTGTACATGTTTAACCTGATGGTGTAGAGGACTTATCGCGGATATCGAACGCGACGTGAACTACATGGGTTGGGCCTGAATGCATCTGCGCGATGGTCCGAGGTAATGCCCCTTTGAGAATCATGTTTTGGCCAGTCTGCTTACTCCTTGCTGTTAGGCCTTAAAGGAAGCAAGATGGCACCAGCTCTACCGTCCCTCCATTTCGCCAGCCGGCGCAGGCGCAGATGCCTCCAAACAAGTGCACCAAAAATGGGAAAGAGTCGTCAACGTCGCTATGCAAGCCGGCAGTGATGACGGCAGGTTCAGGAACGAGACCAACTCTTCAAAGCTGCACCCAGCTAGTCCAATGGCTACAGGACTGTGCTCCGAAACTGCGCCGGCGAATGCTTCTTCCACTCCTCCTAGATCGCGATTTCGCCGCTCATTTCCCATTCTCCACCACGAAGTGCCATCTCAGAAGATGGCGAAGATGATGGACCAACGGTACTTTCTCGAAATGGTCGATCTCAAGCATCGCCATGGCAGCAATCTGCGCAAGTATCACAATTATTGGAAAAACTGTCCCTCAACCCAGAACTTTTTCTACTGGCTTGATTATGGCGAGGGGAAAGACTTGGATTTGCCTGAGTGTCCCCGTGAGAAGCTGGAGCATCAGCAGGTGCGCTATCTCAGCCGAGACGAGCGGCTGAATTATCTGGTCACGGTGGACCAGGCAGGTCTCTTCCGCTGGGCAAAGAACAACGAGCTTGTGTGCACGGATAGTACACGCTTTAAGGATAGTCTCAAGGGTATTGTGTCGATTGATGAGGATGCGATGCAATTTAGAGGTCATTCCGAGTCTGGATATCCGGTGGTTGCGTATGCATCAAGCTCGTCTTCCATATCAAGTCTGTCGTCGTCTGATGAAGACTCAGCGGATGATAGTCCCGGCGAACAACTCAACCAAGGTTATGAGGAAGCGAAAGGGATCAACAAACTAGTCCATATCACCCCGTCGGTGATGCGCAACCATTTTGCTCGCAAACCCGCAAAGAGAAAAGACATGTGGTTATTTGTGAGGCGACTCTCTTCTATCATCAGGCACTCAGAGCGAGCCATGACTGACCGTGACACAGGTCGCGGACACATCATTTCGTCTCTACATCGGTATCAAGGAAAAGGGAGCATTCCAACATTCGTCATTTCTACGGGGTGCGCGCGTTGCTGCTGCAGGTTTGATCAAAATCTGGAACGGCCAGCTGCGCAGTGTAACACCTTTAAGGTAAATTAATGTTCCTCTTTTCCCTCTTGACAGATGACATTACTGCCAGGCATCAAGTACTTACTTACATTCCAGTGGCCATTACCGTCCACCCTCGGCCAATTTTCGCGCCTTTGTTCACGCCTTGCAGGATCAAGGTGTAGACATGTCCCATGTCTCTATAACAAAATCGTACGCCATCCTTGCAGGCATGGAGGGATACACTCGGACGAAGCACAAATTGCGAGCCCTGCACGAGACGCTGGATGATTCTAAAGAGAAACTTCTCCACGGCCGACAGAACAATAGACACGTTGGGACGGATGCGCAGGTGTCGGACGAAAAAGCCATCCATAAAGATCAGACCGAATGTTCTGCAACGGCAGTTAATAAAGAACGCTTGAGTGTGAACGATAAGGAAAGCGATGGTCGAGATTTGCCTGCAAGATTGAAGATCCACCAGACATCTGCTTCGCAGGATTCGACAGGTCCCAGCGATGAACCCGCTACTATGCCTGATGACGTTTGATAAATGATACCCAGAATGCGTAGATATCTGATTGTTCGAACCGCCAATGAGAATTGACTCTGGCTCACCAGCCAAGGAGGCATCGGCCGCTGTCATCTCAATGAAAATGCACGATTCTGTCTTGTCTTTCCTTCCAATGTAGGCGATTTTGATGTTGTATGGTTCATTGACAAATGCACCCTCGAGGAAAATCAGGCAGTCGATGCCATACGACCAACCTGCAGTTTTCTACGTCAACGTCAACGAAAAAGACCAAGTCGACCGTTATACGAGCCCAGATAAGAGTCAAGCAATAGGAAGGGGATCCCAGGTGAGGCACCACATATTTTCGACCTCGGTCAGTGCATGGAAAGATGATCCATGCTACGGATCAGATTTTCTAGCCCTTCGGCCTTGAATTCGGATCCTGCAGCGGACTCGCTAGCTGGAACTGGAACGTGATGCACAACGTAGTCGGCAGACAGAGACGAAATATCCGTGGCAGTCCAAAGAGTGGTATTCAGTTGTTCGAAAATCACCGTCACCTTTGTGGGTATGAGCGACTCGTCGAGGTTGCTCGCCTTGAGCACAAGCTCAATCGTTCGAAGAAATGCTGTGCACAACCTGCCCCAACCAAGACTCATATGCCAGAGACCCACCACACAGCTCTCCAAGATCAGACTCCATTTCGGCGCCTGAGGTTCCAGCTGCGATATTGAATGAACCCCCGCCAGGCAGAAATAGTGAAGGAACACAATTGGAATCGACTTCCACCCGTGAGATTGTTTGTACAGCAGGATGAGAGACCCAACAGAGTCCAGGGCTCGAGACTTTACAGTCCAGGGATCGAACCGCGTCAGATTCGATTCATCATTGCGTGTCACCTTCGAATATAGAATAAAGATATCGCCTAAGAATACAAGGGTCGCTTGGAAGTACAAACTAGTAGTGGATGTTATTACCACTTTCTTGGAATGTGGCTGAAGGACTCACTGCAAGCATAGTATATGTGGGGTTGTGTTGGATTGGGGCATCACACATGACGGCAGGCTGGTCATCCAATCGCATAGCTTTTGATGTAGCTGATGGCCGTACTGCCAATCGTCGCTTGCAATGCCGGTGTTTGAAAATTTAATGCCCGCTATAGCAATCTCATGGACGATCATCACGAGGGCGCTACGGTAGCAGGCCGCGGTGTAGTAGAAAGGCTGTTGAACGGGAGTTTTGAAAGGGTAGGGGCTCCACTCGACGCCTTCATCCAGTACTGCCGCCTCGTCCAGGGAGAAGCATACAGCCGGTGGTCGTTCCCACACTGGCATCTTCCTGTAAACCTGCGCAGCAAGACTACAGGCATGTTAGTCCGTGCTAGAGAGGCACTGAACGCGGTCCGGAATATCTCACGCTTGTACATCGAATACGGCCCATGCGACCAGCTGATGGCATCTTGATATTGGACCTAGTTCATCCCTGTTCACATGGCTGTAGAGATACGCCGGTGACTTGCAGTGTAGCTCTAGTTTGTGGCATAGTTTTGCTCCGTGGAGAATGTGTTTCGTTCCCAGTCTGTCAATGCCCAGAGTACAACAAAGCAGGCCAATCAAGATACTGGACTGCGCAGTTGGAAGGTTCAGCTGGTCCTTTTCAATCTGCCAGAGGCGTTGAATCTCGGCGTATAACTTTTTGCCCAGAGACTTTTCCTCTTGTCGATCGGTTATCCGGTCCAAGCTGTAGGAGCAGCTCTGCATCAAAGTTAGCAGACGGATATGATGCTGGAGCGATCGACATTACACAGCCAAAAAAGAGAAGGGCGTGGACCAACAGCGGAGAACAGAATCTCTTGGACCCACTCGCTAAGTCCTTGAGAAACATATGCTGATCAACAAGTTGCCATGTCGGATTTTCCCACGCAAAATACAGCGAAAGTAGATGACTTGCGACCTCATCGTCCACAAGAGAAGTCCAAGCTCGAATGCCCTTGATCCGGATTTGCGGTTCTTGGCATAAGCGCGGAATTTTATTGCCATTGTGCGTCGCCCATGCCATACGCATGCGATGCAAAGACAGTCCTGGATTTGGCGGAGAAAGCTGTTGCTCAAATGGCGATTTCGAGCTCAGGAACGAAGAGAATATTTCCGGTGAAGCTCGAAAGTATTTCTGCCACAATTTTAGCATGGCCAGGCATGGGGAATAGGAAGTGACTAACATCGAACGTCTCCTCAATTGAAGTGAGACCTTCTTTTCGACTTTTCTCGTAGATCTCTCGCAGCAGTGATTCGTAAACCCTGATCTTCACTCTGGCAGATTCAATCTCAAGCTGCTGTCTTTCGCGTTTGGAACTAGAATAAGTACAGGCAATTTTCAGTAGCCGACACTGTGCACAAATTGGTTTCGAGCCGTCACACTTGGTCTTGCGCTCATGACATGTTACACAGGCGCGCGGTGTGCGGTGGCGGCTAATTGGGATGATGCCCAAACGCGGAATGGGAAGCTTAGTCGCAGGCGAAAGCGCTGTAGGTTGGCTGCGTACTACTATGACAGAGCGTTGTGGTTGTTGTGGTTGTTGCCCGCTGGAGCTCGAGGGACTTGAGAGCCAATCGACTGGCTCTTGTGAACTACTGTTGGTGTCTGTTGAATCCATAGTTCGAGATACCTAAGCAAGAGCATGTTCGGTCGACCGAGTAGAAGTCAGATATTTTGACCAGCGGTTTTTAGAGCGATTGATTGGGATAATCGGGAAACGAATGTGATTCCGTCACGGTGGCGGCTTCATATTAGACAGTGCGTAGTCGATAATTCGAATCAAATCAACATTGTCTTTGATATTTTTTTTTCCAAATGATTGTCGCCTCATTGGGGATCGCGACGGCGATGTAGGTAGGTAGTAGCTTGTAAAATGCAAAATGGACACTAGACGACCACGGTCGGAAATAATTGAATTAATTGAGAAAAGCCAAGCCTAACTCCAATACTCCAATACTCCAATTATTGCATCATTCCTCAAATCTCAGTGCGATTCATTGGACCGGAATTAGCAACATTGACCATGTACGTACCTAGTGGTTTGGTGCGGTCCACTCTCAAAGTCAACGGTCAAGTCTCAAGTGGAGTGGGTGAAAATTGGAGGAGGAACCCTAGAAGTCTGGAACGCTTCCTGCCCCTGACGACGGACGACGGACGAGTCGCAGGTGGTACTACAAAAGAGTCTTCAGTTCGATTCCCGCCTGACCCACCATCTTCAGTCATTATTTATTAACTCTTGCATGCTAGCACTAGCACAACTGTCATGATCGTCCACTTTGTTACTATGCTAATAAAATGGCTCTCACTGGAGTCTTACCGGCACCTGTATTCCACCTAACAGAGCTCAAGACCTGAACTGTCTCTCTCATCTGGGAATGTTCATCTGGATTGCCTTCCATCTTCTGGTTATACTTAGAGAACTATGCCTTTCATTCAACCTGAATCTTAAGGTCACTGCTGGATTCCAAGCTGGGATGCCAAACAAGCACACTGTGCAGACCCCACAGAGATTTGTTTGCTCTGCTACCAACACTTTGCAGCCTCTCCTTTTGTTTGATTTCGATCTTCGACAACACATTCTCCTCACTTGATCTCGAGTTTCAACCAACCTCCATAACACCACCTACCCACTAGCTTCGATAGGCCTCACCTGTCAATCGACTTCAGGTTTCTGTTTGCTCTGGTGAGTTCGAGAGAGAAGACCATGGTAGTCCTCAGATATCTGTGGCTCATGGATGCCCCCTCGGCAATATGAGTGATAGCATGGTATTAGAAGTAGAGCGTCAAAGGCTAACAACTGCAATCAGAGACGATGGCTGTGCCTTTCACTGATGAACAAGTACCACATGAAGACATTGAAGTCTCAGTCGCCAGTGACTTCACTATCCACATTAACGAATTCGACCCCGCAACCAGGCAAGACGAACGCTTCGGTAACGACGCTGGCCAGGCGGGGGCCAACAGGCTCGTGCGAACGGCGTCCGTCAAAGTTCAAAAGGGCATTCTCGTAGAACGCAGTCAGTATTTTAGAGCCATGTTTGATGGCCGCTGGGGTCCCAAAAAGGACAGTGTCATCCTGAATGAAGACACTGTTCGAAGTATGGAGCTCTGGCTTCGTGAGTTTCACTCCACAACCGACGCTTTGCCCAAGCAGACTATCTCGGTCGAAGAAGTTTGGCACACTATCATGGCTGGGGACAAGTACGGCTCCGATCTTCGAGAATTAAAGAGTTGGTTCGTCGCTTGGTATACGGAGATGAGGAATGAGAGTGGGAAGAAGTTCTTCGAGGAATTTGGGCCCAATTGCTCTTTCCCTGCTATGCCTTCAATCACGCTGTGGGTTTCCAGGACTTGACTAGATTCATCACTTACAATGAGCATCGGCATATCATGGAAGTTAACCCCACTCATCATCTGCAAATGCACCTGCGCCCTCGGGTTATCCGTAAGTCTCTAGCAGTCTTTGCCATGAAGTTTTTTTCCGGCGTAATAGTGTCGGATTAAACTTGAAGTCGTCGTGCTGATGAAAGTATCCTCGCAGAACAGCTGAATGCCGCGAAAGGTCGCCTTCGCACGATTCTACACCAAGCATTGTTCAACCGTGTCAATCAGATTGTCGATGTCGCAACATGCGCCTGCAAAGAGCGAACCGTGTTTGATTACCTCAAGGAACTTCAACGCATCGAGGTCTCGCCGCTGGACATGAGCAGCACCAAAGCAAGTGTTGCTGACATGCTTGACCGATTGGGACAATATGACGGGGCAAAAACTCGCGCTCATGCTGTCTCTTCAAATGATACTTCGGGTATTCAATCACGTCAAAGTCCGTGTTTTGAGTGCAGGCTTGACGGGAAGGTCATCGTCCAACGTGCGATCTCGCGGGTTGCTAGTTATTTTGATGGTCTATGCCTGGACTGCATGGATCGTACCAAGGGTCTTAGGGTCGAGGGAAATAAAGACGATGACTATTGGTCTCATAACGCATGGAAGGATTCCTATGACAGGGACTGCCGCATATCACACAACGAGCCCACCTGGTATTTCAGTTTCATGGGACGTAAGGAGAAGCGCGGCCTCATTGCCGAGTAGGCGTCAGCCAACATACAGTCACCGTCCTGGATCCGCGCAGCATGCATATCGCTGAGGCTGGGTTACAGGGGAGATTTCCTTTATCCAAAGTGTACACAGTTGTCTCTGCGACCAATTATAGCTGTCTCCTGTTTTGTTGACTGGGTAATGCCGAATCACGTGCACGATTGTCTGCACCAGAAAAACATGAGGCAATCCCTCACCGTCTTCAATGATTTCTCTGGATGAGTTCGTCCCCCAAGTCATTCCTGGTGCCCCGCGTGTTCCGAGGGGCGATCTCCCAACAACTTGGAAGAGTCTCGACCATTCTGTCCTCCAGGGCCGAGGGAAGAGTCGCTTCGGCCTGTCGCCAATCAAATCAGCACTGCGGGGCACCCAAAGCAAGAATAATACAACCTAAGATTGCAATCCAGATTCTGTCAGAGCGGCTGCTAGCCTGTTGGTCTCCAAAACGACTGCCCCAGAAAAAGCAGAACGAAATCCCTTGTCCTTGCCATATTCCCAAATAGTTCCAATATTGCAAGTCGCATTCCGTTCGGAGCTGGAGATATGGCCATCCCTCCAGCCGGTTGAGAGAGCACAACCTGAATTATGGTCTCTTCAGGCCTTCATCAGCTCCCACCATCCGACGATGAGCGAGAACGGATTAGAGAGTTGTCAAGGTGAGTTCTTAAACTGTCATCCTTGTTCTAACTTCTAAGTTATCAAAGCTCCCATGCCGCATTTTGGCTGGTTCGCTGATCACTCATCCTTCCGTCGCCGATCGTTTACCAAAAGCGCAAAAGCACAACATCACTGACAGTTCATTTCAATTTCCAACAGATATTATTGTACCATTGGTCGAGGACTCCGATCGCACACGAAAGATGAGTCAACAGAGCGTGAGCAGAGCGAATCTGCCCAGCTGGACGTCGTATGCCTTTCGTCGGATATAACACTCACGGCTCTGGCACAACTTGGCGTTCACCGGTTCGGTTGCAATAGATCCTTCGTCTCAATTATCGATGGTGAAAATCAGCATATCATCGCGGAAGCCACTGCGTCAATCTCCCTGCGGGATAAGGATCATCACTCCCCAGACGATGGAATTTATCTCGGTGTCCGAACGCTGGACCTGGTTTGGGGAGTCTGCCCTCATGCCATAGCTTTGTTCACGGGGCGAGATTCATCAGGCGTAACCGAGACGAGCAAACATGAGCGCGGATCGGACACACTACATTGTCCGCAACTTTGCCAAAGAAGAAAGGTTCAAGGACAGGCCTTATGTAGTCAACTGGCCTCATATGCGCTTCTACGCCGAAGTACCTCTTCACAGTCCCTCAGGCTACGTGCTTGGTTCATACTGCGTTGTAGACAACCAGCCCCGTGCCGAGTTTGGCAATGATGAAGTTGATGCTCTGCGGGAGATAGCTGATGCGGTAGCGCAGCACCTCGAAAACGTTCGGATAGTGAATTGCCATCGTCGGGCAGAGAATTTGGTGAAGGGATTGACTAAGTTCGTCAAGGATCATGCGGACTTTGATCCCGCAGACGCTTCAAGCCCTGCTGTGGTGCCAAATACAAATTCAAACGAGAAATCTATCGAGGGTGTGATTTGACGAAGGGATCTCATCCTGTTTCTACCGGGACAAGAGTCTAGCCGACGCTTTGAGCACAGAACAATATTCCTCGACAGACTTTACCGATCAAACATCACCGATATTTCCTCAATCCGAGCAATCTGAGGCAACTTCTTTCTTTCCGCCCAATCCGGGAATATCATCAGCCACCCCGTCGGATGAAACGGAGATAGCAGACGCGCTCGTTCCCGAGGAGTCGAGCACGATTGACGACGGCCAGAAAAGTCTCCCGCGGGTGTCTGTGACAAATGAAAGTGTGGCTATGTCCGAACGCGTCGCTATGGTCTTTTCCCGGGCCAGCGTTGTCCTCAGGGACTCTATGGATCTCGATGGAGTGCTTTTTCTCGATGCGTGCCGAAGCAATTCTGGAGTGTCAGTCTTTACCCTCTGTTGATCAGGCTCATCTAACTCTCAATAGGGCATCAGCTGGAGAGGCTGGAAACTGGGAGCCACTACCCAAAACCGCAAACCCTGAATTTCTTGTTGATTCATTGCCTACTCCCCTCGACCTGCCAGGCGTGGGATCTCTGTCAAAGGAATCGCAAAGGTTGTGTGAGCTGTTGGGTTATGCTTCCAGCGGATCAGAGTCGAACCTCCTAGAACTGGAGGGCGGGTTGACTTTGACGGAAGATCTGCTGAACGCCATGATCGCTTCATTTCCTGCTGGCCAAATCTTGAACCTAGATGCCGGGGCCGATTGTGATGATTACCTGTCGCCGAAGGTCAAGTCTCATGACCAGAATTGCGAAACCGCCCACGCTGCTATGAACATCATTCGGCATATCTCACGTCGACTGGCCAAGTACCTCCCAGGCGCGAATTCCGTGCTCTTCTTCCCCCTGTGGGACTGGAACAAATCGCGATGGCTGGCAGGCACGCTGGTCTGGACACGCACCAGCGACCGTGCCCTGGGCATGGAAGAGCTACATTACTTCAGAGCCTTTGGCGATTCCATCATTTCGGAGGTTTCTCGGATAGTGTGGGCCTTTACCGAAAAATCAAAATCTGATTTTATATCTTCTCTCAGCCACGAGCTTCGCTCTCCGCTGCATGGAATCCTAGCAAGTGCTGAACTATTGCACGCGTCTCCGCTTGAGCCCACGCAGCGTGACATGACGAAGATGGTTGAGACGTGTGGTCTCACTCTATTAGACACGATGAACCATCTGTGAGTGATATCAAGCTTTCCAAGCTTTCTCCAACGCGAAATCAACTTCGCTAATCGACACATAGCCTGGATTTCTCGAAAATTAACAATCTAACGACATTGAAGAGCTCCAATCCAGATGCTTCGCAGACCGATCTGACAAATCTCACCACCGTCTTCAGCCTTGATGTTCTGGTTGAGGAGATTGCGGACATCCTATACACGGGAAGAAGAGCGCCTGAGATGGTTACGCATCTTGCGGGTAGAGTTCCCTCTATGACTGCCCATTCTGACCTGATGGGCCGGCAGGCCTCCAGTGACGAGATGACTGTTGTAATACGAATCGAAGAGCTTCATACCTGGAGAGTACAGTCAGTGGCTGGTGCGTGGGGAAGGATTCTTATGAATCTCCTTGGCAACTCTATGAAATGGACCAAAGTCGGATTCGTCGAAATATGCCTGTCGAAGGCGAAGATGCAGTCTGATACGCGCACCGTTCTTGCGCATCTATCTGTCACCGACACGGGCCGTGGTATTGCGCCGGATTTTCTCAAACATCAGCTGTTCTCTCCCTTTGCCCAGGAAGATTCCCTGGCAGAAGGTGTCGGGCTTGGACTCAGTATTGTCCACCGGCTCGTTACATCACTGGGGGGTCACATCAATGTGCAGAGTGAATTGGGCATTGGCACCCAGGTTGATGTTTACGTCCCGGTTCGAGTACTTGAGCCCGGCGCTGCTGAATCTAGGGACGGTTTGATTTCCTTGCAGTCACAAACGTCAAGCGGTCCAGTCCAGGTCTGCTTGATCAATTTCCACAGGTATCCGGCCTTGAGAGAAGTCCCTACCGGCATCCTTAGTCCAGAAGCCAAGAGAAAACTTTCTATTCAGAGCTCTCTTGGCAAAATCTTCATGGCGCAGCCTGGCTGGCAAGTCACTTTGGCAGAATCTGTTGAAAAAGCGCACGGGGATGTTGCGGTCATGGAGGAAGCAACCTTCAAGGAAGTTCTGGTGGATGGTCGGGTCCCCTCTGGAATCTTTGTAAAAACAGGCTTGATGTTTTTTATCGTCCTCTGCGGCAGAATGCCACTCTTTACCAGCGAAAATCTGTCCGGGAATGTTATCTACATACCTCAGCCCCTCAGGCCTCGGAAAATCGAAGAAGCGATGAAGGTCATTCTCGATCATCTTGAAACATGCGTGCATGATGCTACGTCTACTTCCGAGACTGGTTTTGCATTATCAGTTCGCTCTCAGATGTCTGAAGCAGAAGCTAGTTATTCAGACACGTCGAAAAGCTCACAAGTCGTAATCTCAGAGGTCGCAGTGGAGACGACATTAGCTGATCCACTTCCTGAGTCCTTGGTAATTGCATCGTCCAAACGGCCAGACGATGTAAATGTTCTAATCGTGGATGACAATGACATCAACCTCAAGGTAAGATTGTGCATCTTCATTTTCGATGTCTACTTCTGCATTGCAATGTCCTGACATATCTCTATTCACTAGATTCTCGTGACATTCCTGCGTAAGATCGGATGCAGCTACGATTCCGCCTCTAATGGCCTAATCGCGTTGGATAAATACAAGGAGTCTGACCGGAGATTTGATTTCGTCTTGATGGGTAAGCACATCATCCCTCATAATTTCATGGTAAAGTATCTGATATCCCTTTCTCAGACCTATCAATGCCAGTCATGGACGGCTTAGTTGCGACGCGAAAGATTCGAGAGTACGAAAAGGAACAAGGCCTCATACCCTCTCGAATAATGGCCATTACTGGGGTCGCTTCTGCTTCTATGCAGCAACAGGCTCTCGCGGCCGGAACTGATGAGTACTTGGTCAAACCAGTTTCACTTCACGATCTTAAGAAAGTAATGAAGCTTGCATGATACTATTCCCATGGTGTTTTGGAGTTATCACTTTGGGCTTTGTTCTGAAAAGGAACAGACTGCATTTCTTCTTTTACTGTTTTAGCTCTCTGGCAAGCATCTGAGCAAGTTTTTACGGACAGTCAGATGGCGTTCGATACCATCAATAGTCCAAGATTCATCATACCAGTCCGATGGTGCGTGATTCGTTTCTGCATTTTGAGACTTGGCAACGAACCTCCTTTGTTTGCTCCTCTCTTTCCTGCCCAATTCGCACGGTTAGACTAGCACATGGGACCCTAGGATCTGGAGTTGATATCACCAGACCTCAAATAGGAAGGTCAGATGTGATCCATGCAGATGGTGGAGCGTACTTGTCGAATGTCCCCATTCAGATATGAGTTTTTGGCGATCGAGCCTCGTGGCGACAGCGTCTACATAGTAGTGACACTCACGCTAACAGTCCCTTGCTTCCCAGTCTCACCGATGATCGACATATTGAGTGTTAGTGTTACACAGTGGAGGGGCATGGGCCATTCTTAAATATGCGATTGATCCCTTGATAGATTGAAATCCAGTGCATAGGCACTTTTGTCTTCGTGCGACGTTGAAGATGTTCCTTCTTATCGTTGTCGCCGCCAGCAGTTCGTTGGTGCTGCTTCTCTATAAATTCCTGATTGTTCCATACTTCCTGTCACCTCTTTCGAAGATCCCCAATGCGCATTTCACCGCTCCTATCTCAGATTACTGGATTGAAAGAAAGCGGCGATCTGGGAAGGAGGTTCTGACCATCTACAACCTTCATCGCAAGCATGGGTCTGTCGTGCGCCTGGGACCCAATGAGCTGAGCGTCAATTCACTCCGAGGGCTTCATACCATCTATACCAGTGCCTTCGAGAAACATTTCTTCTACCGCGATGCTTTTGTCAATTTTCTTACGGATAATCTTGTGGGCATGTTACCCAACGATTCTCATGCGCGACAGAAGCGCATGCTGAGCAAGATCTACTCCAAGTCATATCTGCGGGAGTCGGTGGATCTGCGCAATATTTCGCCAATCATTCTTTGGCAGAGGCTTCTCCCTATTCTGCAAGAAATTGCAGAGAAAGGAGAGGCGATCAACGTCTTGCCGCTGTTTCAGGCCGTGGGGATGGATTTTACCTCTGCGTATCTGTTTGGCACGGCCAATAGCACGACTTTTCTTTTCGATCTTCCAGGATGGGAAAAATGGCTGGTGGAGTACGAAAGATTCAAGTACTTGAGCTTGAAACAGCGGTATATGGGCTTCATCGAAAGCTGGTGTTTGTCTCTCTGCCGCAGAGTGAAATGCAACGAGCATCCTAATGAAGTGCCGGTGGCCACAAATGCGGTCGTGTACAGCCAGCTCCGCCAGGGTCTGGAGAAGCATCCAGATCAGCGGCCTCTAGAGTTGTCAATTGCATCAGAACTTCTCGATCATCTCGTTGCTGGACACGAGACCACAGGAATCACCTTCGTGTATATGATGTGGGAGCTCTCTCAGCGGCCCCGGCTGCAAGCTGAACTTCGTCAAGAACTGCTCACGTTAACGCCACCTTTGAGACATTCATTTCTGGAGTCGAGTAATGAGGGCCTCCCAATTCTACCATCACCAGCCGCTATAGACTCTCTCTCTTTACTGGATGCCATTGTCAGAGAAACACTTCGATTGCACTCGCCTGCGCCTGCCCCGTTACCAAGAGTCACCCCTTTCTCACCAGAAGGTATAGCAATTGAAGGATACGATCGCATCCCCGGGGGAGTCAAAGTTAGTTCATCCGCATATACTCTGCACCGTATTAGCGAGGTTTACCCTCAGCCTTTCGAGTGGCTGCCAGAGCGCTGGCTAGGACCAGGCCCTGGAAAAATTCACGATATGCGGAGACTCTTTTGGCCGTTTGGAAGTGGCGGAAGAATGTGTCTGGGTAGTAATTTTGCTTTGCAAGGTACAGATCCCGTTCCTCTCTCTGCCCTTTCCTTGCAGCAAAGTCGTGAATGCAAGGCTGACTGAATCTGCTGGCGGTTGAAGAGATCAAACTTGTCATGGCTGCAGTTTACACCAACTATACCACGTCTATCGTCGATGATGAAGGCATTGAACAGGATCATGCTTTTATTTCATTGCCCAAGGGACGGAAGCTGATATTGAAATTTACTCCTGTGAAGCTGTGAATCCTCAGATTTCATCCACCAAGACTTCTTGAGATCTGCAACATCCATGGATCAAAGCACCTGGGCCATCCCCTTCGGACCATCACACGGAGTTGGCTCCACAGACACTGAATCGCTTGAATGAAGCATATTTAGCGTAATGCCAGTAATAAACTTTCCATCCGATAAACTTTCAGGCAGCTCAACGGTTGAACCAGCCCAAGGTTCCCGGACCCCAACCTTGTACCTTAGATTGTGGCCAATAACCAGTACAGGATGCCAACGTTTCTACACAACGTACCCAACAGCCAATCGAGCGGTCGCCAGTGCCTTTGCTAATCTTTTATGGCTGGCGAGGAACCACTCACTTCCTTGACGATGTATATCAAAATAGTTATAGCCATGTCTTGGGGGATTCTCCTCAGTGGCCACGACAGCATTTGAATTGGGTGGGTAGTGCTATGCCTTGATTATAGGCATTCCCGTCCAGCTTAGAAGTTGTTGTTGTTGAATAGACTCTCCTTTGCTGCTTAGTCCAGACCACAAGACACAAACCGGCCATATGCGAGCCTTTGGACCTAGGAAATCTTTTGTGTACAGTGAATATTGCTGAACAAGCAGCTTTGCTATGAAAATCGCATCAGACTGATTTTATTTGGGTATAAACAACAGCATATATATAAAGATTTAAATCTAGATACAATCATCATGATATCCAATCTATGATTCTAGTTTCCTCTCCCAAGTTGCTACCATGACGCCTGCATCGTGGCATGTCTTCTTCCCCATTGAGTTTCCTTAATACCCTTAAGCGGGAACATTCTCCTGAATTGTCTTGGGGTGGTACTCCGTGAAATTGTCCGGCCAGAGGAACATCTTTTCTTCCTTCGAAGGAGTAGCTGCGACGAATTGAGGAACCTTGTCGACTTCATTAGTAAATGCCTTCAAGCAGAAATGGTTCGAGGGCTTGAGACATACAGATTGCTTGCTGGAAACCCTCCTCCACATGTTGGCACGTGGGTTGAACCGAGCTGGAGTTCCCTCGCCCCTGGTCTTTTCCTGGTCTTCTTTCATGATCGACTCCATCTCCCGCTTGATGTCCGCGAATGTTTCAAAAGGAATGTACGAAATATTGTTTTCCTGGCAATACTCCTCGAGGCGAAGGCCCTTGCGCGCGAAGAGAACATCGGCTTCACGGGCAGCAGGAAGATCAGACACACCGTCGCCAATGAAAACGATCAGGGGGATTTGGCCATCAATGCAATACTTGGCGGCCTCGGCGCGACCTTCCTGGACCGAAAGGGCCTTGTCATGGCCAAGCTCTGTATCATGTCTCCAGATTGGTTTCCATTCTGAACCGTCCGCTTTGATATCAGCGTCATTTGCAACGATCTGGATTGACGACTTCGCAGATTGATCAGCAAACTTCATTCAATCATTGGATAGTTGGGTAATGACTTACTGCCTGTTCTCCCAGAAACGTGTCCAGCACTCTGCGCAAGATGGGCTTGAGTCCTGCGCTGATCACGTTGAAATCGATGCTGTTCGCAATGCAGAACTCGTGAAACTCCTGAAATCCAGGGTCGATTTCGAGTTCCTTTTCCATGACATCAAACCCGTCTTCAAACGGGACTCGCAGAGATCCCCACATCTCCTCGGACACATCACGGAATGAGCGCTCGCCGGTCTTGATCTGTTCGTCTAGTATTTGCCGGCGCTTCGTGCCGCATCCCAGGTTGTCGAAGAGAATATGGCCAGTGTCTTGCATAAAGATGGTGCCATCGAAGTCTGAGACAAGTATAAGATCGACAGGGACCAAAGCTTGTGCTGAACTGCTGGAGCTTGCGTACCTGAAAAACAGACAATCTTTCTTGTTGTGCTAGGCATGTTTCTTGTTTTAGTCTGGCAAGCAACTGGGAACAAAGTCTTGGGATTGGTGGATGGAAGTCACAACGAATTGATTGCAGATATCTGGGGCCATCATCTTGGTCAAATATGTCCTCGAAGTGGCGACGAAAAGTCGCCAGAACAGGATAACAGGATATTGATCACGCAAAAGAAAATGACGTCGACGGCTCTCTCTCCTAAACATTTTAGCGGCTTGGCTCAATTGGTCGATCAGATATGAATGAGTGGATATTCAATAGACTGAATCTGGATCATGCTGCTGGAGGGTCAAAGAGTCCAGTCTCATAGACTTAACAGATGGTGGATGGTGGAGACAATTTTTTGGCGGAGTCCCTCGTCAATGCCTGATTGGCCAATGTTCGATAATCGCTTATCGGGACCCGCCCACGTGCCCGGTGTGCCTTTCTTGATCAGGTTAGATTCGGGCTGCCGGAACGATCATTAACCGCATTGGAGAGCCGAAACAGGAAACGTTCAGGAGAGTATTGAAGCCATTGTGGCAGCTTTGACGTCATTGGAACTTGTCTCACTGATGCCCCATTTTCGGTTTGTCCAATCAGATCTCTGCTTGGTGTTGATCATCTGTTGAGAAAAATGGAAGACTTTTGTTGTGTGCTGTCATCAACCCAATGTCGTCAGTGTCGTCAGTGTCGTCAATGGAAACAAGAATAGAAACAATATTTCCGACCCCATTAGTGGTGCAAGAGGCGCACTGATATGGCTGGAATCACACCAAGAACAGGAATATTGTTACACAGCCGGTGGAAGAGTATCCAGATCAGTAGATGAGTACAGATCCCTCGCATTCAGCAATCAATCAATTAAACTATGTACAATCCCAATCTTCGATCTCGACTCTGAACCGGCAACACTTTCATCTGCTCAAGGGCAAATAGGAAATGCAGGGCTTGATGGAGTGACTTTACCACCATAAATGACTTGATCACCTGGATTGGCAAAGACCGTCTCCCTTCCTTCAACAGTGGAACAACCATTACCGACATTCGCAACAAAGAGATCTGGATAGGCACTCTCAAAAGATGCTGGACTGCCAGCACCTCCACTGATAACCACATCGGCGCAATTCATGTACAACTCGCGGTTGCCGATCAAGTTGTACCAAGTCCAAGCAAAGAGGGCTTGGCCGTTAGCGACATCCCCAGGTATCTTGAAGTTATACCTGGACACAAGGGGACATCCACCTTCCATGGACTGGATGACTTTGAATGTCTTGCCATTGTCGTAGCTCAGAGAGAGCTGGCAAGAGCCACCGCCATGAGTTGCGGAGCCGCTTAGAGTCATGTTGTAGGTCTGACCAGCGGTATACTGTGCGGTTGCACGCCAGGGAGTATTGGTCTGGTATCCTTTGCAGGGGAAATTCGAGCCTGTCACTTGTTAGACATGCACTGATTCAGCCTGATATGGTCAATGTATGAGGTACCATCGCTATCAAGAGGACTGGTCATCGAATAGTCGATATCAGTTGTCTGTGGGTCGAATCGACTGCGAAGGGGGTAAGGCCAACTCATTTCCATATGAGCTGCTGCCAGGCTGGTAGTGAGCAAACCAAGCACGACCTTGCTGAACATTATTGCTAGGCGATAGATTCTTTGTCTTCAGTTGGATGCTGTTTGAGAGACTTGGTGATTGATGCACATCGCTATCGTCGATTGCTCTGTTCTTATACCTTTGGCCCTCACCAAGCTCATGAGGGTAATCTTTCGGGAATCCTGAAGATGGAGACTCCCTCCAGGTTACATCTCGACTGTTGCACATCTCAGTCCCATTGAGACCGTTGACAAAGCCATGCCTGCGGCGTTCAGGGGCAGAAGGAATGCAGGCACATGGCATGGGAATTGTAACTAAAAAGCTCTACTTGCCTATGACTGGGTTACATGGGCCTCCCATTCTCCATTGAGCAGTTTCAGTGTGATATACCCGTCACTTCATTCTTTCATCCGGAGGACGATCACAATTTGCTCAGTTAGGGCCTCCGTTCGCGTAGCGCAATCAACTCTTCGCTATGAGTTGAGACTCTCCAGCCCCATGGGTTACAGTGACAGCCTAAGATGGGCGGGTCCGAGTGGCCCTGGTTGATGCTCGCTTTGAGATGAAGACGAAGCTGCAGAGATTATCACGCGTGTCTGATTGGATTCGATGACTTTGGTCAATCTACATAAACAGCGGCTTAAGACGAAAGAGGAATGTGCTCTCTGTTCCTGACATATATCTCGCATCTATCTGCGACTATCCCCAGGCGAACTGAGATGAGTCTCCACAAGGTATAGCAAGATTCGGCAATTTCAAGTTCTGCAGAGCGATTAATCATTGATCGCGTGAAGCGACAAGCCAATCCCAGGAGGTTCCTAGTCTCCCATAACTGTTCAATCACATTGAGAAATTTGTGAGGGGAAGATACTTGGCGTCCTGGTCTAATTTCTTTTTGGCCAGGGTCTGAAGCAAGTGCCGACTACTTTAAGTCTATACAACATTATAATCCTACTGTTACACCTTGTTCGAGAGATTGCAGTTCATCTCTCATCTCTATCGCTCTGCCTTGAATAGACTACGTATGATATTTGAACGAGTGCTTCAGAAACAAGAGTATGCACTCTCTTACGTCCTCGTCACGGCCAGATGTTTGTGGGGTTCCTTCAATGTCACTCTTGAGAACTAACAAGAACAGTCCGAAATTAGATTCATGAGAAATAGCAGGTATAGGAACACAGGCTATCGTTTCAAGGCGCTGATGAGCTTCAAGTTCTCCCTCGGCTCCACGGACCTGGCCTATCATCAATCAAGTCAATCCAAGGTGAGTGCAAGTCATGGATGAAAAACAAATGGTGGTTACAACATCTATCGTATTCATGAAGTATATGGGAAAACCACAGCTTGACTGGTTAGCGATATCCATATCTTGGTCCATTTCGCAGACTCCAATCCATAAGCATGGAAACCCCAGTACAAAATCAGTCTCAAGAAACTGACCGCATTTTGACTGCACCACTGGGCATTTTAGATGATCATTCATAGTCTGTTGGCGAAATTCCCGTTACAGTAATGATTAACATGAAACAGAGATCGTCCATGTGTTTGTAGCCTTACTAATGTACTCTGTTCATGGCCCCATCTGAGCCTCTCTCTTGCTCCAGGCTGTGTGCATGCGCATAGTCGTCGAGACAACTGTTTCGAGGATTGATGACAAGAGTAGGCTCCTGTTTACAAGGCTATTATTATCAGGAGCAGAATTCATTGGCATATGACTGACAAACATGTTCATGGCAATAACCTAGAACTGGGGCCAGCCATCCACCATAATGCTGATCAACAGCCAAGCAGAGGCCAAGAATGCAGATTCTTCTGTCGCGAGATCCATAATAGGGGACTCAATTATGTAGAAATTCTGGTTTCGGACTCATTTATAACTGATCAATACTGCCTTTAGTTCTGCCTTGAGGCTGTGTTTGTCCGCACTGTCTTCGATCATAAGAATGGGCGTATCGAGGATCACCCGTTTTGGTTTGTGATCTTATTTCTTGCTGTTTGTCCTCCAGTTTTTGAGCTGTCTTACTGTGCTGACTAGGTCTAAAAGATTGAGACTCGTTGATATGACAATATGAGGCGACAATTTTGGAAGAGCCAGCATCTTTTCACCACCAAATCTGCTTTGCTCTCTCTCTTGCAAATCCTCGCAAGTTCGGCTCGAAGTACAGCGCACGATGAACCAACTGCAACCACAACAGTGATCGTTTCAGCCACTGAAACCTATTATCCATCATCCACCTCTACGCCCGTCCCGATCATAAGCCCCGATCCCTGGGTGATTCCGTTGGTCGGACTGTCCGAAGATGTTACAACACCTTGGGGTGCCAATGTCACGACTGGGAATGGCACAGTGAATGCGTATACCATATCTGTTGGGGAAGGCGACAGCGACAGTGACGGTGGGGAGTACGGTACCCAACTACTGAACCGAACACAGTACGCTTTGATGGACGCCCAGTTCTTAGGAGACCTCAACGGCAACCATGTCAATCTCTCCGTCTCCCAGAACGACCATCCCATACTCAATCTGGGAAACAGCTCTCATCTGACGGTCACCACCAGCGGTAAAGATGAAAATATTCTCATCAACACGGTCCCTTTTGGCTTGAACCTAGGCCATAAAGGCGAATGGAATGGTTCACTCGCAGTAGGCGGGCTCTACGACGCCAATCGTCTTACCGACGATGCGACATGTTGGATCTCCCTTGCAGAGACCATGAACAACAACGGTACCTTTCTGCAGACCGCCAAGCAGACCCTCTCCGCCGTCATTGTACGCGTCTGGAAGTATAATCCTAGTCCTAGTGGCACCAACACGAGCATCAACGCCAAGGTGAAACGGTCCGGTCCCTTCTCGGTCTCCGACGAGGCTGAACCCAGCATCGTGTACCCTGCTCGGTTGGATCTGACCAGCGACACGCTGATCCTGCCACGGGACTGGTGCGGCCGCAACGTCACGCTGGAAATCAACATGTTTCCGAACCGAGTCGGGAGTGTCTCTAGTTCGATTCTGATCGGTATCCCCGGGAACCTAACCGACAGCAGCAGCCGGTGCAGCTTCGAGCAGGATACTGAGGAGATTGTTCTCGGTCGTCCTTTCTTTCAGGCGGCCTATCTTTATGTTGAGGTAACCGGCGAGGTGAGGATCCTTCCTGCCAATCAATACGATCTTCCACCCAAGCCAATTCCGTTCGACGCAACTGCGAGACCCGTTCTGCCTGACCGCCGCACCTCAAGGTATAGCCCTGGTGCTGCGGGTGGGACTCTGGTCAAAGGCAGCAGGGCTGACCGAAACTTGCCTGTTGAGACGGCGGTCAATCGTGCTCTTGCCGTTTTGCTGGTACTTGCTGGTTTCGCGTTTTTGCTTTGAATAGACACATAAAGTTATGTAGTTGCCTATGATACCCATCGATTATGTCCTTGCGAAGAGGATCTCTCACTTTCGGTAATTATTATGTTTTTTTTTCTCTCCCAGGTACAGCAATACTTGCACTGACTTCAGCCGAGATGAGGCTAAGAACATGTAAACTGCATGCTCTAGTCGAAGCACGTCAGGCAGAGTCTAATGCAACACAATAATCAATTATTTCAACATGCGCAAAGCAAGAGTCGATGAGTCTCCCAGAGACGCACTGTATAATCTGTTGATATATTGGAAGAAAAAGCGACAAGACTACAACGGCGCATCACGAATGGACAAGTGCAAATGCATTAATGACATGGTGTGCCTTCCCCAAACCAATGAGAATATTAGATTAGAAGCAGAATATCTGGTCGGTCATCTTCGAAACTGGTCCTGGCTTCTGGAATCCCATCGCAGCCAGCGTCTTCTTGGTAGCGCTCACCATGCCTGGAGGCCCACAGAGGAGAACCTTGGTGTCAGGCGAAGGCGCGAATAAACGCTCGCTGAGGACCTCCTGGTTGACAAATCCGCTTCCATACGCCCAATCCTCCGGAGCAGTGTCAAGCATATACCACAACTTGAAATTCTTGGGGTATTTGCGTGCAAACTGCTCGAGTTCATCCCGCAGCAAGATGTCTGCCTCGGTTCTATTGGCGTAGATAAGGCTGATCTCCGTCGTATCACGATCGTTCTCGCAGATAGCACGGATAAGCTGGTACATAGGTGTGATTCCTGTTCCCCCGGCTACCATTCCCAGCTTCTTGCAGAACCCTGGGCTGTAACGCATCGCTCCTTTGGGGCCTCTGAACTCAACCTCGTCACCCACTTGCAGGTTTGCTAGGTACTTTCCACTGAGCATACCGTCCGGATAGCATTTCACGACTAATTCCAGTCTTCCTCGGTCTAGATTGTTCGAGACGGGCGTATACGACCGGCTCACGGTAGCACCATCGATAATAGCGCGAATGGCAACGTGCTGGCCGATAGGAAGACCTATCACTCCGTTGCTATCAGGTAAGCCAAAGACAAAGCGGTATACGTTTGAAGATAAGTGATCCTTCTGGACTAGAGGCAGGCGCTGAAACTCCTTCGGGTCAAGGAACCCTTTGAGTAGGTGCGGGTCAGCCTTAGGCACCTTGCGTGCCTTGATATGTGGAGGATACCGCATGAATCCCGACTCGATCTTGGTGAGTTTGGCGGCTTGACGTGCGATAACACCACCTGCTGCTGCACAAATCAGAGTAGCCGCGATGAATCCATTGGCGAAGCCTCCGCGCGGGAGCCTTAGACCGCTTAAATGCTGAGAGAGATATCTCTGAAGCGTCCCCGAGGCGTCAAACGCATGGAGCGAACCGCGACGGTAGACATAGACCAAGGAGGCGACGGCTCCCAGGAAACTGGTGACCGCTCCTACGTGTCGGGCTGGTGATGAAGAAGGAATCTCGACGGAGTTCTGAACGATGACGCGAACTTTCTTTGGAGCGACATATTCTTTCCCGCCCTGAAGGCTTCCGATCAGGAATTCTTGCAGAATCTCGCGCGAATCTTCTGAATGACCGACGTCTTCAAATGCTTCTGTCGCATCTGAGCCGGCAACTTCAATGAGAACATCTGCGCCGCCCGGATGGTCTTGCTGGTATTTTGTCACATCGTACACTGTCAAGTTTCAGCAAATGAAGACTTCTTGTTTTATTTTTTTGCGCACTCCTGAGGGTCATACGACTTACCTTGGCCGTGGATCACAATCCAATTGTCGTCCTTGTGGTTATGCAGTGCAACTTCCTTCAATGTGTACTCAGGTAAATCAACAGCAGGGCTTTTCTGAGCTCCACTGACATCTGTCATCGCTGGAACGGACATTGCGAAGGGTATCAAGGATCAAAGGGAAACGCTTCAAGTAAACATGAGTAATGTCGATTCGGAGATGGCAGGCAGCTCTCGGGTTTTATAAACCATGTCGACGTTAGCAACCATCGAGCGAAAGCATCCGCCAGTGAACAGACAGATAAAGACCATTATTCTTGCTCAACCACTCCGTACTCCGTAGTCTATCTAGTACGTACTGACTACTGACGATTCTTCTGCTGATTCAGTGGGAAATGAAAGCTAATGATCTCTAGTATCCACTCGTCCTCCTGCCTCCACCGGCGCAAACTTCCCTTGCAATTCTAGCGCACCGCACTAATGTTTTCAAATCGGCATCTTTGCCTCGGTACAAGCACACTTTGGTCTCGCTTTTGTCTTGGATCGGCCCGAACATGGATGGTTTATTCTGAGAATGCTGGACTGCTCGGTATGCCTTAACCCAGGCTGAGAATGAAATCATTGTTGGATATTGGTCGGGTTACCGAATGGTACAACTTCTCACTGAAAGAACGGGCTGTGCATCGCTCTCAATCTTCCAAACAGCAAACGGACAACATCGGCATCCTGATGCCACTCAACCAGTTGAATTGAAGCATACTGGCCCGTGATCATTCCTCCAAATCGCCCGCTAAACGTCTGTTACCATTGAAACTGTTGTACTTGTACATGTCTCCTCTGCATAAGCATAAATCTCTGGTTAGTGGCGGGTCTTCAATGTCGATCGCTCAATTAGAGCTGGATTTAATCTTAAAAATCCAACACAGAGCTTGAAAGAGCCGAGGCACCCCTTGAAATAGTTACCTGCTCTGGTATATTGTCGCTGACGAATTCAGAGCATCGGACTATTCGAGAGACTCGAGACGGACTCGCCGATTCCGTTGAATCCCTAGTACACGTCCCTTATTCAGGAGGTGGATACACTCTACAGTGATGCTCTAGTTCATCCTGCTGCCGTTCGGTTTTTATCCGTGTGGCATCTTATCTGGAGCCATCCTGCATAGATTGTCGTACACCCCCTATAAATGATTGAGGATGGCCATCCCTCCAGATTTTCGGTTCGTGGCCGACAACATCGCTCCAAGTCGTTTTGCTGTGGAGTCTGTACATTAGTTTACGACAGGATGTCGACGACAACAAAGCTCTTCCACCTTTTGGGTGAATCCATCGCGACTGCGAAAGAGATCCAGTTTGAGTCGACAGCGACATATGATGACCTGAGGCATCTGATTGCGGCGCACTTCGCCATTGTTGATCCCGATGGTAAGGTCCCTCTGAAACTTACGCGAGCTCAACATAAACAAGGATAAGCTGACCCTTGCAGGCATCGGCTTCCAATCGCAGGAATCTATACTCCATGATGTGCCCGAGATCACCGCAAGTGGAGATATCATCGGCATCGCAATCGATGGGAAACCGGTGCGCGAGATACCAGGCCCCAAGGGCCTTCCATTTATTGGGAACTTCTTTGAAGTCTATCCCGACCATCTGGGCAATCACCAGCGCCTTTTCGAACAGTATGGGCCGATCTTTAAGACAACCAACATGGGTCGCACCGTGTACCATACCAATGATCCACAGCTCTCATCAATTATTTTCTCCGAGACAGACTTCTTCACAAAGAAAATCAATGAAGCGCACCCTCTGTATCCGATCAAGAATCAGGAAGCCGGTGTCTTTTTGGGAGATACTGATACTCCGGAGTGGAGGGCAGCACATAAATTTCTGCCACCAGCACTTGGCCCTAAGGCCGTGCGTCATTATGCCCCAATGATGCAGGAAACAATTGAAGATGCTTTTAATGTCTTCGATGCTCTAGATGAGAAAGAGGAGGCATGGAATGTCTATCAGTACATGCTCAAGCTTGGATCGCAGGCTGTTGGCAAGTTGGTCCTTGGAATTGATTTTAAACACTTCTTGTCTATTGATGCACCTCCGCATGAGCTCGTCTATCGCATAGCGGAGTCATTGGAGCTGAATAAGAAAGTGACTGCATGGGGTGATTGGTATGCCAAGTTACCGTTCGGTGACCCGCAACGCTTGAGAAATGCCAGAGGCCGTATCATCGATATGGTCAATGAGTCCATTCAAAACGCTGCTCGCGGAGGCATTGAAGATCTTCCTCTACAGGATGCGGCGTTGAAAGCATCCAACATGGTTGGTACGTAATAGCTTCTTACACCTTGGATGAACGCACTGGTTGATTTCTCTAGACTATGCTATCCGAGCTACCGACAACAAGGGCGAAAAGCTGCCCAAGACCAGTCTAATGCAGGCATTGGTGGTAGCGACGGGAGCCGGCTTTACAACGACGAGTTCATTATTATCATGGCTCATCTACGGCATTGTCACCTACCCTGGGGTGCAGGAGAAGTTGTTGCAAGAGCTGATCGATAATGGCATTGATGCCGACACGCAACTTACTGCGGACCTGACGGATCGCCTAACCTTCATGGACAAGTTTATCAAGGAGACCCAGCGTCGGCATAACCCTTCATATCAGCCTGCGCGAACCGCCAAAATAGATCTTATTCTCCCTGGTGGCTATAAGCTTCCGCAAGATTCGGTCGTCATTGGCGCTCTGCACCATCTCCACAACAATCCAGAAGTGTGGAGCAATCCTGTGCGGTTCGATCCTGATCGTTGGGACACAGAAGCAGTCAAGAACAGACACAAGGCGGCCTATATTCCTTTCGCCACTGGTCCTCGCATGTGTATCGGGTTCAACTTTGCTTTGCAAGAAGTCAAAGTCTTCCTGCCTAAGCTGGTGTACCGATACAAGTTCACCAGGGAGAATGACGGGCATATTGAGTATGATCCCATGTTCCAACTGATTCGACCGAACAACCTATATGTTCGCGCTGAGAGGCGTGTGAAATGGCCGCCAAGATCAGACAACCCGGGTCCTATGGCTGCATTGTGATGTCAACCTTTCTACCATGTTGTTTAGACATTTGCTGCCTCTGTCAGGCTTAGTCCCTTGATTACAAGCTTCCGCGGTATAGACTAGCGTTTCATTCTATGAAAAAGAATTTACACATGGAGCTTTGCCTCTAGGAGAGACCTTCCGCGTACGACTAACTATCAATACGGAAAATCTGTTTGAGCAGCATCTGTAAAAAAAAATGTAGAAACATGACACTCCGCAATCGCCTTATGATCTGTCAACACCAGACCTTGCCATGGACAGTGCAGTCAATAGATCAAATCCGAGTGTTCCTAAATACCATCTAACAAAAGTTCTGGGCACTCTCGTTGGAGTAAACATGGTCAACATTGCAAGATGGGTTGCCGCCGGGGACATAGAGCGGCGTGGCTAGAAGTCGTCATTGTTACCAACAACAGCCAAAGATGGCAAATTCCTAAGGGGGCAACCTACTGTCAACAGTCAAATTCGCACTGGGATTTCGCACGATCGGCAAGCTGCCCGTCGGGGTCAGGCTCATTTCGCAGTTGATCTGGTCCTGGCCTCCATCGGTGGTGTTACTGCCCGTCCAGATATCGATGTGATAGATACTAGAGTTCCATTCATCTGCACATCGAGAGCAATGATCCTCGAACCGCAGGTACTTGTGTAGATACGGGGCGAAGATGATTTCGCACTGCGTGAACTCGCCAGGGGCCGAGGCGAAGGTCAGAGGATCGTTGAAAGTTCCAACACCGCCGGCTATGCGGCCACGGCCACAATCGTAGGCGATATCATGGCCCGCGGGTTCATTGTCAGGGAATCCATAGAATGTATAGGTGACCGCAGGGACGATGTCGCATGCTTGAACCGATGTAAGAGCCAGGGAGGCCACGGCCGTTATCATCAGACGATTTCTCATGGTCGGTGTGTCACTGTATGGCTATATTTATCTTGGGTTCCCCTTGAATGCAGAGACATCAGTCCCCTATGGATATGCCAATTTTTATATCTTTGGCCGTGTTATCGTGCCATGGTCTTTGTCTTGCTGGTTCGAAGTATCGCGGACTGTCATTCCTCAGTGACGTAGAGTCATTCCTTTGTTGAGATTTTCCGGATGCTTAGTACACATGAGTAAGACGGACAGTATCAGACCAGTCCTACATGCAAATAGTGTGAAATATAGGGATGTCCTATCGAGATGGTTGTTGATGTTTCAATTTTCCAGATGGATCAAGCCATCTCGGCCGATTTAACCAGAAAAGGAAGCGGGCGATCGGCGATGGTGATGGCTGCCTAAAGCTTTTTCCTTGGCATAAAACGATCGTCTTGGCGATGGAGAGAAAGGTTCAATTTTTCAACTCTGACCATTTGAATGACCAATCTGCTCACATGGCCTCCACAGACTCTGTTCCGGCCAGATCTGATGGTCTGCACAGAAAAATCCTCGGCGAGCTGGGCCTTGTGTCACTATGGCATTCCTCACTAGACGTCAAGCTTCTCTGTGCACAGCGCTTCATCCGACTCTTCGCCTATGGAGGTTCAACTCTGATCTTAGCTTCATATCTGTCTGCCTTGGGTATCTCAGATGACCGTATTGGCTTATTCATGACCTTGACTCTGGCTGGGGATGTCGCAATCAGCTTTTTCCTCACGCTCTTCGCGGATGCAATGGGCCGCAAAGCAGTCCTGGCTTTGGGGTCTGCGCTCATGGTCTGCAGTGGTATCGTCTTTGGTCTATTTGGCAATTACTGGATTCTCCTAGCCGCTGCAGTACTCGGTGTCATCAGTCCCAGGTAAGTGCTGACCTGGTTCTGGGACGATGTCCTGTTCATCTTGTTCACGCTCCTGGATTTGGTAGTGGTAACGAGATCGGTCCTTTTCGAGCTGTTGAGGAATCTACACTGGCTCATCTTACTGCCCATGAGCATCTGAGCGATATCTTCGTCTGGTACTCTCTGATCGGTAACGCAGGCACCGCCCTCGGAATGATGGTGTGCGGTTGGATCATCAACCTTCTGCAAACTACCAGAGGGTGGCATTACCTCCACGCATGCCAGGTTGTTTTTTTCGCATATGCCGGGGTTGGTGCAGTCAAGTTTCTGCTTTCCATCAGCCTAAGTCACAAGGTTGAAGCCGTCAAAAAGGACAAGAATGGTGCTACTGCCTCTCAACAGCAACAGCGAGAAGCCGACGGTCCAGAAACCCAGCCTCTCCTGGGCGAAAGAGCCAATAGCGAGAACAATCGGAAGAAATCGTTCTTCTCCCTTTTCGGCAGTAGTGATCTCATCTCTTTGGTCGTCAGACTCTTCGTCTTATTCGGTCTGGACTCGTTCGCCTCAGGGTTGGCCTCATTGTGCGTATTAGTTGCACCATAAAGATGACAACACACATCGAGTTGACCGTACTCCACAGATCCTGGATGACATACTTCTTCAAGCGCAAATTCTCTTTGCCCGAGGGAGAGCTCGGCTCGATCTTCTTTACCACCAGCCTAATCTCCGCCGCATCTGTGCTGGTCGCGTCCTCCATAGCCAAACGCATCGGCAATGTCAAGGTTCGCTGTTCGCTTTTAATTGCATTCTTCCATTGCCGCTCAGTTTTCTGACTATATCACAGACCATGGTCTTCACCCACCTGCCATCCGCCATCTGTCTGGCGCTCATCCCAGTTCCCTCCGCTCTACCGGCAGCCTTGGCCTTTTTGATCCTCCGTGCCTGTTCACAGAACATGGATGTTGCGCCACGCTCTGCCTTCTTGGCCGCTGCTCTTCCGCCCGAAAAGCGCACTGCTATCATGGGCGCCATCAACGTCGTCAAGACATGCAGTCAGAGCTTAGGGCCGCTCATCACCGGTGTCATGGCCGATCATAGTCTTTTCGGTGCTTCCTTCACGCTTGCAGGTATCCTGAAAGCGACCTATGATATTGGTATGCTGATAAGCTTTGCGGGGAGAGAGCCTGCGCGACGGAAGGCCTCGAATCAGCCCGGAGAGAGCGCTTAGATGTCTGGTTGCGAAAACGTAGCCTTTAGCTCTGGGCTGTTTCTATGCGAATTACAACACTTAGCTGGGCAGTTCCATGTGGTATCTCAGATCATCCTACTGCAATGCATTTTCTTATCCGTTGTACAGATGGAAACTCTCAGGAAACTCCTGGGATCATAGTGTTGACAACAAAAGTCCTGACGAAGTTCTCATTGTCATATCACATCTTCATATTCCATATGCGAATAGGTTATATACCAAGGACGAGCTGTGATTATTGAAAATCTCATCTTCATTAAATACAGTATGCAGGCACAGACTTCTTCACAAAATCATCTTGAATTGTGGATCCCTATCATCGTTACATCCTGCATACTGTGCATATTTGCCCTGCGACTTGTCTTTGTTGATTTTGGCGCAGTATAAGACATTCAATAGGATCCTGGAAGACAAGATCAGTTGGTCTGCTTTAAATCGCTATAGACAGAGGTGTTGCACTTACATGACCCATGCGAATATAAGCAGGCCGAGAATGATTGTGTGACCTCGATGGTACAGTGGCTTATCCTTGTCGGGATAGTTGAATGCTGATAGAAAACGCGCATGTTAGTTCAGGACCTTGACTCCAGCAAGCAAGAGCAGGGAAAGAGGAACAGAAGACTCACTGGCAACAAACCCTCCACAATTTGCAATTGCCAACTGCATTGCCGACGTAGTGGCTCTTTTGTAATGCCCAGCGGAGTTGTTGGAATTCCAAACCAGGATGCACGGGACGCTGCTGTACATCCCCGTGGCCATGAGGAAGGTCATCCCATACTTGACTTTGGCGGACTCGATGTTGGCAATTGCTCCGTAACCAGCAATCGCAATCGGCAGCGTAAACAACATGATAACACCACGAAGTTGCAACCGGTCTGAGATGAGAGCCACAACGACTGGACCGAAAAAAGGCATGCGGTCAGCAACTGAGTGAACCTGAATCGATTGATGATCAAAGAGCCCACCTGTGATTACAGCTGCGACTGCGTAGGGAATAACAGTCCAAAGCTGCACCTTGTTCGCATCGTTCGCAAAGCCGCTTTCCTGAATGATGGTAGGTAGCTAGATTCCTGTCATGAGCAAGGATATTTATTTCTTTGGTGGTAGTCAAGAGTCGACTCACAAAAAGGCCGAAAGAATATAACCCAGACAAGATAGCAAAGTACGCTGTTGCCGACAGCCACATTTTCAAGTCCAGTACACCTCGTACAACCTCGGACCACCTCAAGGCCTCCTGTTCAGCCTCAAGAGTTCTATTGTGTAACGTCAGCAGGAATTCAATTTGGAAGTCGATATCAGGAGGACATGCGGCTTCTGGGTTGGAAATTTGGCGAAAGTGTCGACATACCCTTCTGGCACAGATGGACTATCGAGTAGCATTCTTTCACGGGCGAATTGTCGTTCTTCGACGGTCAACAAAGTTGCCGTTTCTAGATTGTTGGGAAGGCAGAGGTAACTGAGAGCGCCACATGCGAAAGTCTAGAAGGCATCAGAAATAGCACGGATGTTTTTGTTCGAAGAATTAACTTACCAAAAGACCCTCGATGATCATGATCCAGCGCCATCCTTCAAGACCACCTCGTGGTCCAACTTCAGCCAATCCCCGAGCCAAAAGTCCTATTATCAAGAATGAGGTACTTCGCGTCAGTAATCACCACTTGAAAGGATGGTCCAGAAGGAGTCTAGGTTGTACCTCCAAAAGCCCCCGATAATGATGCTGCCGTGTAGAATAGGCCGATGCGAAGGGCTAATTCGGAACGTTTGTAGAAGAAAGACAGGTAGAGTACCTGACGGAGTCTTAGTCCTCGCTCATTGAAACACTCACAGCCCGCATCAGAGAGGAGGGTCAGAGATAAGCTTCACATACCATGCCAGGCAACAGTCCTCCCTCTGCTACTCCGAGTATGGCACGAACGGCGACAAAGCCCGCAAAATTACGCACAAAGCCCAGGCACATGGTGATGATTCCCCAGACCATTGTGAGTGTAGGTAGCCAAATCTTCGGTGACGCCTTCTTGATTATCAAATTGCTCGGGAGCTCGCTACCGGCACCCGCTCAGCAAATAATCAGAAGCTTTGAATCATCGAAGCTCACCTGCAGATATATGTGAGATAGAAGACTGTAAGACCTATGTCGTACTGATGACCAGTAATATTTAGATCGTGTTGAAGACCAAGAATCTTTGCGTTTCCCACGTTTGTCCTGAAAGAATCATTTGGGTCAATCTTCAATGAAGTGAAGCTGGTACTGAAGGAAGAGATATTCTGTTCACTTACCTGTCAAGGAATGAACATAAAAAAAGAAGAGCCAGAACAGGAAGAATCCTATCGCGGGATATTTTTAGCTATCTAATACCCATAGACGTCGGATGCGGACCAACCTCGTGTCCAGCTTGAAAAGAATACTCCGAGTCAGCTTTTGTCGGTAGACATCGTCGACAGCCATGTCATCTAATGACTTATGTTTAACATCTTCCAATGTCTCATGTCTTGGCTTGATTGTATCCATGACTATATGTATGGACAAACTGGCCTTCAGAAGCAATTGACCATTAGCGAAACAAGAGAATGAAAACAATCAAGATCATCAGAAGAGCACCATGTAGCAGGGGGTTGGGTTAAATATTCGATTGAAGAACGGCAGAAAGACGCGAGGAGTACTTCAATTTCGGCCATCATTTCTGTAGCCGATGGTGAGAAACCACACAGACTTTGGTGGCTGTTTGTATCCCCCGCATTTTCTTCCCCAGACCAAGAAAACCCGGGGTTGCTTAGTTTTGGGCTCGGAAGCTTGGCGTGGGAGTCTTGGGGCCCTGGGGGCATTGATTCGCTCTGTGATAATCAGGTGTCTGTATTTCTGGTAAAATACCGCTTGTAATTATGTATTATTCCGCTGTCGTTGCCGGACTCACCCGGCACCGCCCGGAGTCCAGTTTTGGCACCGAGGCATCGGTCAACAGATTGGTCGGATAAATGGCCGATATCGAGATCATGGCATATCGAGGAGAATTCCTCGCTCATAAAACCAAGATCTCGCCTTATCTTGAATTTTGCAACATACAGTACTAGATTGGCGGTGCTCGAAGGGATCGAGAAGATATGTCGAAATTATCCAGCAGCCTCAAGGCTCTGATCAACGCCCCGGGTGCACGGCCAAATACTGTCCCTGCCCCTCGCAATATACGCTCCGTCTACCAGAAGATCCAGCAGAGCGCTCTAGCAAACAATGTGTCCTCACCGTCATGGCTGGCATTGTCGGTTCGTCACCCTTCCTCACTTGCTCCTTATATGAATCTCCCCAGCGAATTGTCCTGAAGTCGCTTTGACTGATCCTGTTATGCTCAACCAACAGACAGCCGCCACGATGACTATGAATTCTCCCGATTCCCTCGCGGTCTTGTTTCAATTGGTTGCGTCGGCTCAAACAGAGGAGGAAAGCGTAGCTACAGCAGAGCTGATGCGCGAGGTGGGGCTGAAATGCATCAGTTTCAACGGCATCCCGCGGACGATCAACTGCCTCAATGCTTTCAAAGCGAGCTTGCCCGAATCCGTCAGCAAGAAACTATCGCGTACTCCGACCCGAGCTCCAGATCCCGGGAATATTAGTGACATTGGTAATCGCGGCCGAGCGTTGTGGGACTCCATCTACCGACCCTTTGAAACCAAGCTAGTCAACAAATTGGCGGATTCGCATCCTGATCTGCCCGTTCACATTCTGAACAGCCATTATGGAGCCCTCTTGTCGGATCCTGCTGGGCGGACTACTGGCGCTAACGCTGGCCGAATCGTGACGTCTATTGTCGCGATTTCATGCTTGCGTGCGCAGTCTGGTGTGGGACCGCAAGTGACATCGCATGTGTTTGGTCTGCGAAAGGCAATCGAAGATGGAACGTGGGCTCATGATGTTGAAACTGAGCAAGGTGCCCGGTGGCTGGCAAGTGACGAGGGTAATACCTGGATACTGGCCAGCGTGGATGATATTGTTCAATCGATCAGCGAGGGCGCGGGGTCAAATTTCGCGCCGCTCAGGACCTCTAAGCTGTGATTATGTGGATAGACTTGCATGACTCTTGGTGTATATTTTTATATAGAGACATCTTCCTTCGCATTGACTATATATAGCCACTGCTCAATCCCCTCGGAATCGACCTTGTGCATTCATTCCATGCAAAGCACGTCACCCTGTCAAGTCTTCCTGGAGGATGGCAATGGTAGCAACACCCGCTTCCTTGTTCAAGATTCTAGAAAATGTTTCATAAAATTCTATACATGATGTCTACACGAAAGCGTTATTTACACGGCAGCCAGCATTGATCATGTGCAATTCCCAAAAGTATGTACAATTTCCAAAAGTTGTTGAGAGCGTTTCATTCCATGATCTCCAATTGCTCTGCAACAGCAAACTTCGCCCCTGTCTTGCTTCGGACTTCTTCAACTTCTACCCCTGGGGCGAGCTCTGTCAGCAGGAGCTCCCCTTTACTTCGATTAACCTGGAAAACACACTAGATAGCCACGGTCAGTCGAGCGATAGAGACTGCGGTCGCCTACGGGTCAATAGACTTACGAGGTCTGTGATGATCGTACTGACGCAGTTTGCGCCTGTCAAAGGCAGGCTACATTCGGCGACGATCTTGGGAGATCCGTCCTTGGCGGTATGGCTAGTAGCGACAACGATCTTGGTTTGGTCTGGATTAGAGATCAAGTCCATAGCACCTCCCATTCCCTTGAAGACCTTTCCGGGAATCATGTAGTTCGCTAGATCGCCTTTGGCGCTCACTTGCAGGGCCTGCTTATCATTAGCCCATGTACTGTATCCGTTTACAAGCGTACTGTTCCTCACTCACCCCAAGGATGGATACATCAACATGTCCACCTCGAATCATGCCGAACGATTCAGTGCTGTCGAACGTAGCTGCACCTGGCATGAGGGTGACAGTCTCTTTGCCAGCGTTGATGATGTCCCTGGAAGCTGTTTATTTCAAGCATACACTATGTCCAATGGATAGAACTTACGGGTCGACTTCATCTTCAGTGGGATACGGTCCCTAGTCATAAACATTAGTTGATGTTGTTTGGCCAGGTCTGAAGGCTACCCCACCATGCCCAGAATACCATTTTCTGATTGCACCCAAACTTTCACGCCTTCTGGTAAGAATGACGGAGCCAGCGTGGGAATTCCTGGACGAGGGTCAGCGCTTGAGGGGCTCGAGAAGAGTCAGGTACTTACCAACACCCAGATTAACGTAATATCCTTGCTTTAGCTCTTTTGCGGCTCTCCTGGCGATTCGGTTTCTCTGGACCATAGCAGGGTCGCTTGAGGACTTACCCGCATCCTCATTTTCGGGAGACCGTAATTTCTTGATTTCGATGTGCTTCTCTGCCGTAGCAGGAATAACTCGGTCCACGAAGATGCCCGGCAGGTCGACATCATTAGGGTCAATGGAACCAACCGGGACGATGTTTTCCGCTTCCACTATAGTAAGAGTGGCAGCTTTCGCCATGATCGGACCAAATGCCTTCGTTGTATACCTGAAGAAAGTCCCATTGTTCAGCAAGTCGACTAAGACATTAGCGGATTACGATCTTACCTGAAAACACAGTTTCCTGCCTCATCTGCTTTCCAGGCACGAAGGATAGCTACATCGCCAGTGAGGGCTGTCTCCATCAAATAAGTTTTGCCATTGAATATCCTCGTCTCTCGCGGCGTGCCGCGCTCCAATGCTTTTCCAGACTCATCTAGCCGGATGGGTATTTCTCCGGCTTGGAGTAGCGTGTCTGCGAAATAAAGTAGAGTCAGAACGGTAGATTCAGTATATAGAAACTTTCGACAGAAAAATACATACGCGCCCCTGTAGGAGTGAAGAATGCCGGAATCCCAGCTCCTCCGGCACGTAATCGCTCGGCTAACGTTCCTTGGGGACACAACTCAATAGCGATCTTCCCGGTCAAATACTTCTTCTCCAAAGCCTTGTTGTTCCCGAGATAAGATAGGATCAACCGATTTACTTGTCCAGCTTGAGTAAGTGTAGAAAGTCCTCCTCTTCCAGGAGCTCCAGCGTTGTTCGAAACTGCTGTCAGGGAATGCAGATTTTCAACGCCTCTGCGATTGATCGCCGATATAAGTGTATCTAATTAATGTCAATTCAATTGTTAAACCCATCTCCTCGTTGAGAGATACATACCTGCGACTCCGCAAAGGCCAAATCCTGAGCTCAGGATTGTAGACCCGCTCTTGAGGTCCGCGACAGCCTCATCTGCATCTTTGAATAATTTTGAAGCGCCACGCTCGATCTTGGGCGCAAGTGTCTGTTGCTGCTGAGTAGCAGTTGAATATCGTACATGGCGAAAGTTTGTTGTTCGAAGAACAGGTCGCACACATGCTTTATGACATGTCCCTAACTGAAACCATGGACGGGTAACAGTAAATGTTCTCCGCGTTGAAGCTATGATTGCTGAAACCCGCAAAGTCGCCATTCCTCGTCAACACTAAGCGAAGTATGCCACCCAGAATCGAGAAATAGAGCCGTGAGTCACTTATATGGGGTGAAAGAGAATTGAGATCTTCTAACAAACATTCTCTGCTTTGAGAGAGCATTTAAGACATCTCATAGGAAAATCGAAAATCGAAAAGTGACACACCATTCGGCAATCGGAGCTACTTCTGGGCACCGACAGGAGGCCAAGACCCACATCTCCGTAACCACGCTCGACATTATTTGCAGCGCACAGGACAATCGGTACCTAAGGTATTTGTGATTGGAATTTTGGAGTTATTGGTCGAAAACCAAGTCGGCTGCATTGGCAAAGTCGAACCAATCCCAGTTCATCAGATCATCCAGTGGGACGTCAGGAATATTCATGCCGAATGCCGAGTCAGCCCTGTTCACTGCATCGATAATTTGGTGATCAGACATCGCGGAGAATTGTAGCGTCTCCGGCCATAACGTAGCGGGATCCATTGGTGGTTGGGTTACTGAAGGTACGGGGCAGTAATCGTTCAACGTAGAGGAGGGCTGTAAGGACTCTACCGGGACTGCTTCGGTATTTTTTTGAGAAGTGGAGCCCACATGAGCACGTCTAACAAGCTCTCGTAGCAGTCGTCCATACAAGACAGAGGCACCTTCTCTGTGAGCTGGGGTGGCCCCAATCCGTTCGAGGACATCAGCCGTTTCCTCTATCAAATGTCGCACGCTCGGTGCCAAACTGGACCTGCTGTCCGCTGGCATCACACTTAGGCTAAGCGCAGAGCATGCAGCGAAGGCAATCATGATCACAGTATTGTTGGGCATGGACTTCAGCCGCGATTCTCCTTGAATCGCTGCCCGCATGACATTCAATGCAGAAGAGAGGCCAGCAGCGCGAAAAAACCGCTTGACTTCGAGTGGTGCTGTGGGATGGTTGATTACGCCACCATATGTAGACAGTTGCGTGTGTGTTACCAATATCTCAACATATGGCGGAAGGCAGCGGGCTTTCGCGTGCTATATTAGCACGGAATTGCTATCTGAAGCTGATTCGGACCAGATTTATAATAGACTTACAGGGTCCACCTATCTCAAGAGCCCAAGCCGCGTACCATTGATCGTAGAAGTCTTCGATAAGTTTCTTAATCCTAGACACGAGTGAGCCTTCTTCAAAAGCCATAAAATCGTAGAGGAATGACCGTACGACTGAGCAGCTTCAGATCCAGTGTCCCCAAGTCGGCAATTGTCGCACCGCGATTTCACTTTTTTCAAGAGTTCATCCTGCCGTGTAGTGATGTTAGCTGTCTGCAAGCAACCAAGCATGAGAAGATATTTCGAGCGGATATCTTACTAAATTCCTCCGGAGAACTGCCATAGAGTTCATAGATCCATCCCGAGAATCGGCAATATCAGAGATATGCCATCTGTCACAATTTTCAACGAGAGCAGTCGGAGGGACTGTATAGCTTCGTCCGCGGGCCAAACAGACACTGCAATTTACGGATTAGCCGAACTCGCCGTATGCATATCTTCGAATATGAGCTTCTGCACCTACCCACGCTCGAGGACAAATAACGCGATCCAAGTCCTCTCGCGTCTGCGTAACAATCTTCGGCCCCATTCCGAAGCCGGATCAACAGCTTCGAATCCATCCATGTGCAAGGCTCTCTTTGCATCAATGCAATCAGCCTTCGCAAGCCTGTTCTGGAGAGTACTATCAAAACCTGTTGGGGGTGTCACTATCTTGTTGAGAGAAAGGTCCAACGCAACGGTCAAAGCCATTGCAATATAGGAGCATGTGTCATCGTCGCCAGAACTGTTCCCCGGGGTCATCCATGGAATGTTTACCATGAAGGCCAAAACGATTTCTACCGATCGATGACGCTGAGCAATGACCTTATGAGCCAGTGATGTACAGTGCCTCGTTAGTCTCTTGGATAAGGCTGCTGCAGAAGGGTTAAACCGGGCAGCTGCAGCCAATATTGATGTGAAAAGAAAGGCGGACTGCGAGCGTACGAATGACGCTGTATGCACAGTCGGATCCAGTCCCCACCGCGTGTGGGCTAAATTCTCATAGAAGCTATTGTCGAACTGGTGAATTTACCGACAAAATTACAGTGGGTCTATAGGTTGACTTACAAAGAAAAAAGTGATTCTGCCTCGAGCAAAGTAGTCAGGCCCAGTTCAATAGGGTCCATGTCCGGGCCGAGGTCTAGGTTCGCTCTGACAGGGACGAAAAACGATCTGACATTTGGCACGTCCTCGTTGTGGCTACTATCCAATCTGATAGACGGTTGTGACACAGATGAAGGTGACAATTTGGGTGCGTTACTGCATTCGGCGGGCGAAAATTGGAGGTCAGAGGCTCTGGCGAGAAGTTGCAATGGATTCTCCGCGTCATCCAAGGCTAGATTGTCACCAGCAGTGGCATCTTGCGGAGGAGATCTCGTATGTGACTGGTCAGGGTCGTCTGATATCTCCTCGACCTCACTCGGTGCAGATTGCCCCTGTGTCCTGCTAAGGAGATCTTGCAGATTTGAAATAAGTTTTCGAGCAGCATCAGATCCCGCTGCATCAGTCTTGGGGCGCTTGATCGCCTCCTCTATTTGGTGTAACGCTTTTTCTAGTCCTTTGCGTTTGCTACAAGCAGATGTGAGCATGTATGATTGTAATAGAAATAAGCATAGGGAGCGGTGACTCTGACTTCTTCACACCTTTTTGTCTGCCAAGATGGTGACTGGGTACGATGCATTCCAGATTTGCTTGCTTGCATCTATCACAGCGGATATCCTTGTGGCTGCGCTTGCATCGTATTTTGCTTCTTCGGCAATTCAAACATGCAGCCTGTCGCCCATGCGGCGTTTTGTTTGACTGCGATGGATCCATCGCTTTACATTCCGAGGCACGATTACCTCTATCTCAGAGCATTTCAGAGCAAATCCCCAACTTCCGTATGCTCATTTACCAAGCATGATATTGATAGGAACTCTGTCAAGGGAAATTCAAGTGGCTGTCCATATTCACAAACAATGTATGTCATAAGATATAGAATGCACTGACATGTGTTGGTGTATCGGAATTGATCAGCAATCATATTTGATTGAAAAATTATATAGTCTATCGGTGCCTGGATTTTCCGAGGTCCAAGAAACCCCCATTCGCTAAAGAAGCCATGACAGGGATACAAGTAATGCAATGCAAGATGAATTACAATTAAAAAAAAAAGTTCTACAATATTCCTCCGTCAAAGCAAAAGGGGTGAAATGAGGGCAAAAGAAGGCTGAGGCGGAATGAAAAAACAAAGCCGAACGCGGGGGTCGAACCCGCAACCTTGAGATTAAGAGTCTCACGCTCTACCGATTGAGCTAGCCCGGCTGGGCTATATTTCGACCAGACATACCGTGTCTTATAGCCATTTCAAATGCTGGTTATGTGGCGAAACAACCATTGCCACATCTGATGCATACCATAAGAGAATGACTCCCCTAGAGCGCGTCAATACTCATCAAACTGGTGGTCAAAATTCTCACTCAGCATGCGTCACACGGTCAATAACAGTGACTGGACGAGTTAAAAAAAAAATGTGACCGACGCAGGGATCGAACCTGCAATCTCTTGATCCGAAGTCAAGCGCCTTACCATTAGGCCAGCCGGCCCTGTGATTGGATGAGTCAAAAACTTGACCATCAACAGCGAGACTCATCTAGCCGCTGCTGACATCTTTCTTTACATGGGTCATCTGTGGATGTAATAACTCCCACTTACTTCGTTTTCGAGAATTAGGACGAACGGATTTCTCAACACTCCCAACTGTCCTCCTTGTATTATTAAATATTACATATCGTTGTACGTGACATCCTAATCACCTTCCCACTGACAGGGGGCTTTTAAAGCAAGATATTTTGAACATCAGTAGGGGAAAGTGAAAGCGACTTTTGATCCAGGGGTCATGTGTCTAGCTTGCCAAACATGGTTCTCAGATAGCAGAATTTTCATCATTTACTTCCCTCATACAGAAGGTATAAAGCATGTCACACATGTCAGACTATGAAGTTCGGGGCTGACTAGGTGGTTCTGTCGCCTGTGTGTTATGATCAGCGGGAAGAGCACCGCTAGCCATTGATGGATTTTCAGGTATGGGCTGATTGGAGGCTTGCTGTTGTCGGGCTTGTCTGTTTGGCGGTATTGAAGGGGGAACTTGCAGCGTCTGCCCTGGCGTCGGAATATAGGTCATTTCTGGACCAGGGGCAGCACTGTCTCCGCGATTGCTTCCCGAATCGGAGTGGACGTCTGACATGACACTCCGTGGCGGGGATACGCTAAGCAAAGGAGCGGTGGCAGCAACAGGCCGCTTGGAGGGTCTTCCAACCTTGACTGGAGCAGGACCCAGCATAGGTGGATAACTGAATCCGAAACCCCACCGAAGCCACAGGCCAACTTTTCTCCAGAGTCCCAATTGCTTCCATTTCTCTTCAAGCACCTGCGCCTCCTCGGCAGTACGAGCCTGAAAGCCTTTGCGGCAGAACAGAAGGAGCAGACAGGAGACGATAGGTGCGAGCATGCACCAGGAAATTGGGAATCCTCGGCGAGCCTGCCAACCTCTCATCAAGCGTCGAAACTGAAACCAATTCTCGATGAGGCCGATGATGAGCCATACTCCGAACCATCCCAGAAGGCAGACAAGCAGAATACCAAGGGGAGAGATACCCCCGTAATAATAGCCGTCATAGAACCAGTTGCCGCCGTCACTAGGATCATCGTACGAGTAGCTGCTACCGCTATTAGAGCTGCTGTCATAGCACCCGTACTCTCGGTACATGGTGTAGGGCTTGTAGGAGTTACTGAGCATGCTCAGACTCGATGCAGGCACTTGTGTAGGATCAATGAATGCAAGAGCCTTGGTGTATGTGGTTGGTTGAAAGGGTTGGCTATCGTCAACGGAGTAGCTGGTTGACATCGATGTCGCGGGTAAAGCATCTTCAATGGCGTAGGGAACATTGACCGGAATTGCGGTGGTCAGGGTCCACTGCGACGAGCAGGATGTTGGCGCTGTGTATACCATGTTCACATAGTAATGCGTGATGATATTTGAGTCATAGTAGTTGTAGTAGTTGTAGGTCGACTCGGTCCCTGCACCAGATGGATACAGCACTTGAACAACTGTGACAGCATCGCCATAACTGTCGCTTGTCACAGAAGTTGTTGTTGAAATGGCTGCAGGCATCGGCGACGCTGTCGGCGATATTTCATCAATGAGAGTCCTTGTTGTGGTCTTGTAGCTATAATCATAAGTGTAGACATCCTGCTCATACACTTTGGTGACTATCCACGGGGCAGCGAAGGCGAAAGAAGATTGATGCAAAATGAGGGACAGAAATGCAAGTACAAACGAGTGCGAAGGTGCCATCATCTTGGCTGTGCCTGGGAACTGCGCTCCCAGAAGGTCAAACGAGAGAACAGGACTGACTGAGAAAAGAATCAAACAGAAGGAGAGAAAATCCGATCGAGGAAATCCACCCATCTCATTTTTGGAGAAAATACATCGCGCCACACATGGGCACTGCCTGAACAACAGGCTCACCAGATTGAGGCTCTCGCTTTTTGCTAAGGGGTCCAGGGTGTCTACTCTCTAACTCTCTGCGGCATAAGCCGCTCGGTGTATGCCTTTGCGGGTGGACATGGTCGAAACTAGGATATCTTCCCAGGCGTGGTAATTGGACGAACCTTAGAAAAGGGACAAGAAAAAAAGGCCGGGCTGATCATGGTGTACAGTTAGCTCAATTTTTTCCTCATCCGGCCAGTCAGTGAGTGGCCAACTAGCGAGGTTCTTGAAACTAGACTAGAGAAAGTCTGAGGAAATGAGGAAGAGGACGACTTAACCAGATATGTACCACCAAGCAGTCTTACCAGGTATATAATTAGAGAGAGAGTCTAAGTGTCTAACCGTACTTTAAGGCCCTACACTAGGATCAATTAGGTACTAGTAAGGTAACATCGCTAGGAAAAGGGACCTAGAAAGGGTCTAGACACATGGACTCACTTGCTTCTCATTGGGAGGAAATTGACACAATCACCAAGGGCTCTTTTAAGCGACTCAGTCATTGCTTGGCAAATTGCATTCATATTATCCCCTTTAAGCCAGTAAACTTAGAATACTACCTTGTCTCACTGCTTACGGGCATACTCCGTACTAAGGCAGAAAATACGTACCTAGAAAGGTACCCGGGAGACAGCCATGACTCCATAACTCTGTTGATATTTTGGTGACACTGGAGTACTTTTCCCTTTCCTTTGGTCGAAATACTTGCTCGGTACTCTCCCATAGAGGGACGCAGACGCAGGTGTGAGCGTGGCAGTAAGTCCTTTGAAAGAGACGATCAACGCCACTCTCATTTTGATGTGAGTAGACGGTATCTATCTAGTGCCCCGGCGTGTCGTGTACCCCAGGTCTACTCGTACCTAGCCCTTAAACGCAGAGAAAACCTAAAGCTGGACAGTGATTGATTGCTAGATATAGACAACAAGAGGGATGGACTTTGAACTTGCTGATGTTATTTTCAGGTCAGCCTACGTTCTTGAATGCCTTGATCAATAATGAGAGTTAAGGTCATGTTGGCTCTATGCAACCGGGTTGTATCCCAGGAGACATTAGGATACATAAGGAAAATGAAGTACCGGCAGGATAAGATGTGAAGCTAGAGTTTGGCGACGGCATAAGAAGAAAATAATTGCGAAAAATCGAAACCAGTATTCAGTATCACCGAAGCCTACGCCAAACAAGATGGACCCCAGAAGAAGTTGAACATGAGACTGCGACAGCAAATGCAGGAGGGCTTGTATAGAAAGCGAGAACGACGGATAATCAAAACTAGGGGGCATAACTTCGTCAATATCCATCGGAAGAAAACAGGGCAAAGCAAGTCTGACAGATGCCACAAGCAGACGGCGACATTCAGTTGTCGCTTGTAACATGTAAAGTGATCAGCCAGCTGTCGGCGGTGCGCTAGAGGGTAACAAAAGAAAGACAAGCATTACTTTCAGCTTGCAGCTCTGAGAGCACGTAGCCTCGCTCCCAACCCGTCCTCAAGCTCCGAATCGGCTTGCTTCTGCTCTTTGACGTCTTCCTTGGGAGCTGTATCAGCATCCAAGGCTAAGCGCATGTCCACACCCGCGTCGTCTGCAAGCTGTTCCATGAGACGATCAACTTCGGTCTCGCCCTCGGCACCATACTCTTGCATAGAGACACCTTGAGCGACATCCTCTATCGCACTACTAGCGATTTTGAAATCTTCCGATCGCGCTAAGAAGTTATTTGCATGAGACACCAGGTTTTCAAGATTGACACTCTTCGACGCCGCATCCAAGCCTCTTGAGGCCAGAGCAAGTGTTCGGGATGTATCGCGAGTACTCTGGGCGGCTTTAAGTTCATTTATTATGACGTCTGCCCGCGCAGCCTCGGCTCTGAGGGCTACTTGTCTTCGTTTCTCTCGTACGGCAGAGGCAGCGTGGATGCGGGCAATTTGAAACTCGCGATTCTTCATAGCCTTGTCGGCCTTTGCCTTTTCTGACTTGAATGTTGCTTCAGCGCGAGCAGCTTCCTTCTTAAGCCGATTCGAGTGCAACTGTAAATGGGGAAAATTCGTCAGATATTTTTTTTCTGTTTCCTAACAGTTGAGAGCATAGCACTTGAGAGTACTCCGCGCAGGTGGGAATCCAGGAGCTCACCTTGACATTGGTGCGGGCTTCGAAGATAGGATCCTTCCGAACCATTTTGGCTGAGATCCAAGTACAGAACAAAATTGTTAAAATCAGGAGAGATGAAATCGCTATCAAGTATCCAGAATGCGAAGTGACAAATCGAAGCTGAATAGACAGATTCGTTGGAGGCGGCAAAGCGGGAGGCAACAATGCAGCCGTGATTCCAAGTTCTCGATTAGGATAGGTGGGGATATCGTTGATACGACTGTCAAAGCTGCGTGGCAACGTCATCCCAATCTCCGAAGTAGGTGACAATCTACGAGAATCCTCCCAAAAATTCGACCTCCAGAAATCAAGTAGCTACTGTTTCTTAAAGCAAGTGCAGGTTACAGAAAAACGAAATGATCTCTTACTGTATGAAGCGTGATCGAACTTACGACATGAAAGAGGATCATTTTGAGGAACAGCAAAACGACCAGCATCTCAGTTGCCAGTTGCTCTCGATTGAAAAGATACACTATATTACATCCCAGAAATTCACCGGTCCTTACCCATCAGCAGAGACGTCAACGTCTCGCTCAATCTCTTTGAACTCCATGAACTCCGTGGACTCCTGTGGCGGTTACCCAAAGTATCACGCCGCGCACCTCGCTCCAATTTCGCACCAAAGAGAATCTGTCTTCGACCTCTCGTTCGCTCAAAATGATCTATCGCCCAAGCGATGGTCAACAACGACTCCCAGTTCAGTCGGCCCGCGTCATCACCGGCGGACCAGGTTCCCCGAGAGACACTTTCACTAACAGCCAGCTGCAATGCCCTGCCCGTCGCATCGCGAAGTGGACGCGCCAAGGCTGGGTTGCAAGCTAGAAGTCTGGTAAGAAGTCTCATTCGGAAGACCGTGGGCCGGCTCGATGCCTTCGAGGGGGACAGGCTCGGAGTCGAAATTAACCATAGAATCAAATGGAAATGCTGATAGATCTCCCGTGTCGAGAATGTCAAAGGAGAACCCGTCTTCAATGACCGAAGAATCTGGCTCAGTGGATGAATCACCGTTGAATAGGCGGCGGAAGTCATCGTCAGAAAGAGGAGCTGCAACGTCACTTGCAGCGTCATGTTCAACGCCAGAGCCGAGGTCAAAGAGGGGGAGGGCACTTCCAGGTCCTTCGAGTCCGCCAACTGACACTGCAGGTCGCACAACACCGCTGCAGGATGTTGTGTCACGTCGGAGGACTCAGCCAGACTGGAAGGCTGTAGAGTTGGCGAGTAATCGGTGATTGAGGGAGTAGGAAATGGAATTCGTTCAAGAGGAAGTTCATCACCCTCTTGCTTGAATAAGGTAGGTGTGAGAGTTGGGGATGCTGTGGCAGGAGAACCTGGCTTGGGAGTGCTGCTACGAGAGCCTCGAACCTCAGCAGTTAACTGGGCGAGTTGTTGACTCAACCGATTGTTCTCAGCCTCCATCTGCGATAGACGCTGGAGGAGGAATTGATTTTGCTGTTCCATCTGGATCTTCTCGTTTTCCAATTTCTCCATTTCGAGTCTCTTGCGCTCGCGAGATGTCTGTGCCGCCGCACGGTTTCGAAGAACGCGCTCGATGCGGCGCTGTTCCTTTTCATCATCTGTCTTGGCTCGTTTTCTTCATGAAATGTAAGCCATTTGTCCCAACTGATTTCGTCGGACGCGATAGAACATACCTTGGAGGCAAGTTGGTCTTTGGAACTGGTAGCTCCTGTCCCCATGACTTCCGTTTCTTGGGTGGCTTCTTCTCTTCAGTTTTCGTCTCCTGCACCTTGGTTTCTGGCGCCTTCAACGACGTATCCGCAGGCGAGACTGTGAGCAACGGGATAGCCGATGCTGGTGTACCAGGCAAGGACTCTACTACTGAAGTGTAGTTGTCTTCCATCTTGTAAGCGTGATGAGTTGATCCGGTAGACAAGATCACAGGTATTTGCAGCTCTCTGCGAGTATCTCAGGAAAGATGATACAGAGACCACGCCTTGTATGGGATGAAGTAACCTGATGACGACGTCCACTTGCCCGGTTTACGAAAGCAAAAGCCACGTTGTCATAACGGTCAAACCCGGAGCGAGGCGCCGGAGGTCTGTTGATGTGGTGGAATAAGGTAGTGGGAACGACCAGAGGGAACAAAAGGACAAGTGTTCAGAAGTTGGTTGAACTGGTTCAGTTGTGATGGGGAAAGGTGACCCTTTAAAAAGGCCAGCGTGGTCAGTTCTGTCAGCAAGGGGGCGGAGTTGCCCCCGTCAGCATAATAACAGTAATGTTTCACAAAATTACGAGAATCCCACACCTTAAGGGCTCACCGGCGTGCAATCACGCCCATAATGACGGTATTAGAAGTGTAATGCGAGCAATGTACGGAGTACAGAGTATGGTACTTCTCTAATCTGGCCCGACGGTTCTTCTCTGGGCCCCTCTCGCTATCCCTGGAAATGCAGCCCCTCTACGGAGTATCTACTCCGTAAGCTTCTCCATCCCAGAGTCAAGCGTCTCAACACCTGAAACACCCAAAGTTCCACCAGGCGCAGCCAGAACTCCTGTGAGGCTGTGAATCTGGAATTAGTCCATCAGGCGCTACTTGACACAGACACTCTATAGAGTTGGACTAATTGAATGTAGACCTAGGCAGTTTCTAGATAAATGCCACATGAAACACTACTTGAATACTTGATAGTTGATGCCCCTGGTGAATGTGGTTACCCACCTAGGTACGGAGTAATTAGTACCTAGTAGTTAATGGTATGGGGTAAATTAGTGGCAACCCCGCTGCGGATTATGAAGCGTTAGATAGAAAAGGTAACTACTCCATATAATAGATTTGATAGCCATTAGGATTTAGGGATTCTTATTAGGGCACTTCTATTAATATCAGGCTTATACTATTAGTATTGACTGTGCCACTTTATTATTCATAGAGGATAATTTTCCAATAATAATATCCCATAGACAGATCACGAAAGGAGAACTGTAGAGAACTAGATAGATTTATCTACTAGATACTGTATATTAGTACTATGAGATATGTATCTGCAGTATAGGCTCTCCAAACCTCAGAAAGAGAATTATCATTCACTGCTTTGAATATCCAGACTATTCTGTAGATATTCTGTAGTTTAAGTGCTTTAATGTTTGTCTTATTCTGCTTCATGAGGGGCCTCGAAATTGCAAGCTCAATAAATAAAGCCCCTGCCTATCTGGACTTTGAGCAAAGGGCCAAGCTACTAGTGTTGCTCGAGGATAGTGTATCCCCCCTTGACACTGAAATTCCAACAGGATTGATTCTTGATTATGCCAGAGCAACTTGCGACAAGGAAGTCCAGGAGCCCAATGCTCGAAGTATCTACCACATGCTGGGATATCATCGAAGGACATGTACGATGTCTGAGGCTATTGACCTCAGTGGATGAGCGTCACTGTCTCAGCCTTATTATCAACCCCTAGATAGATATTCCAAGTACGTAGCTGGTCGGCTATGAATGCAGTGTTACAGAACAGATTGAAATTAGTACTGCAGAATATTCATGTGGCCACTCTCTTGCGCTAAGCACAGTCAATATGCTTCCGGCCATGAGAATTCCAGGGAATGCCCACATTTTGTTCGTTAGTCAATCATGAGAATTTACAGGGGATGAGAGGAGTATGAGGAACAGTACTCTGCATGGTACTAATGGGGTTGCATCATGGAGCATTCCATTATGAATTTCTCAACGCGATAAGGACAGGTGATGGCGAAGGCACTATCCAATGCATATTCTATTGCCTACATGGTTTTCATCCTGACAGTGGAAAATTCTGTTCTCCTTTATCAGTACTACTCTCTTAGGAAGAGCAACGGTAGCATTAATGATCAGATTTCCTAGCGCCCTGGGAATATATGCAAAAGGTCGGTTTTCTGAACACCTCAACGCCCATCACAGTCACAGAAACTCATGAACAGAAAACATGGCAAGACAGCATAGAACCGTTTCGAGACGGTTCATCAGAGTCAATGCCTTTGGCTAAAACGTAACATCCATCGTGTCATCGCCAGCGTCAAGAGCACCCTGCTTTTCCGGGTCGGGCACAACTACGCCGCGCCCTCTACCTGCCAACAATTCCCGTCTCACCTCGGGGCCGATATCCTTGTGCCCCCGAACCAACAACAGGTCAAGAAGAGCCTCGCGCTGATCTTCAGTGATATCATTGCGGTAACGTTGGGCAAATACCAATAATGACTGGTGCCAAAGAACAGGGAGCTTATACGCTTTGGTAGCAGCCCCAGACGGTCCATCGGTCATCATCGAGTCCTCGGCATTGTCGCTAGCGCGGAAGCGCAGAAAATGGAAAACGAGAGCGTCAATTACCTTATATGGGAGCGCGTACTTCTTCTCGAGGAATACACGGATGAAGACATTCACCGCACCGGTGCTTTCGAGAGATTTGAGAGACTGTTCCGCGGCCAGGTCGCACATGCGAAGTAGAGCAGCCGCAGAGTGCAATACTGGGATAGATACACGTGCAATGACAGAGGAGACGATGTGCGCCTCCCGCAGAGTGCAAGTACCACTTGATATCAGCGGGAACAGCAGACCTTTGAAGAAGCAAGCTGGTTTGTACAGCGCTTTCTTCAGAGCATTGTAGGTGTGGACATTTAGCTTCTTTGTTTCGTGAATCTCCTCCCGAACACGGTCAAGCAGCACTGTCGATATGAACTCCTGTGCAACGGCTGGCTTCGATGAAATGAAAATCCTAGTTCCGGCATAAACAGCGTTGGCTGTCCACGACTCGGGGCGAGTGATAGAAAGAAGAGTTGGCCAATTGGGGACAGAGGGGAGAATCTTAAAGGGTTTGGGAAGAGGCCCGGACTTGTAGCGAGACAGTATCATACCGACCCTGGTAAAGTAAAGCTCGTAAGCACAATGAGCATGCGAATGGATGAGACGGATGTACTCACTTTTCGTAAACTTCAATAGCTTTTGCGGGTATCTGAACGGCGTCTTCGGGCAATCCTCCACCTTGAATCATAGGTCCACCATTGCCGGACTGCTTCGCTTCATGCTCAGCGATCTTCTCCAATATGAGATCGGCCAGGTTGGTGCTCCGACCACCTGTATCGGTTCCTCGAGGATTGAATATAGGATCTTCGTCGCCACCCGGAACAAATTTGTGAAACATATCAAGGTCATTTGGATCAACCTCCTAAGGCAATATTGTTAAGCGAAGGGAAGTTATATTTCTTTGAGCAGAGACCACCTACCACTTCCTCGATCTCCTCTTCTTCATCGCCCCACTGATCTTCGCGAAACTTCTCATCATCGTCTGATAAAGCTTCATCGTCTTCAAATCTCGACTCAAAATCAAAGGCTGAATTAGTTGCCATATTCGCTGCACCCATAGCAGCTTTGTGCTCGGCGGCATCTTCTTCTGCCAGTTCTTGCCCAATCTGCAAGATCTTTCTCGTCATCTTAGCGTCAATGTAACGCTCGCCATCTTCACCATCCTCATCTTGCCGCCCTTGACGCTTGCTCTTCTTGCTGGATTGAGTTCGTAGATGGCCCGAGGTTATGATATCCTCGGCCAGAGGATTGTGCCTGCGGGCTGCAGCTGCAGCTCGAGAGGATGTTGCTTTGGGCATGGTGTGCTTTCACTTTCCGAATTCAAGAAATGTTAGTTATTGCTCCTAGAGCCATTAAGGGTAGACTGAATTACCTTGTACCCAAGCGAAGAGGGAAATATATTGAAGCTGAAAAGCGACGTCTAGAACTCTTATTTTTTTCTCACTTGGATGCGATCCAATGGAAAGTGTGTGTAAATTTCAAGATCATGTGACTTGGTGACTTTTTCTGCCAGACAGTTGGAGATTTTTCCCATTATTAAGGTACCTTATGAGAGGTGGGCACCTATGTAGGTAGTTACAGAGTACCTACATTTTGGGAATTAGAGCTTACCGCCTGCTAATACTTCACTTTAAATGGTCAGTTATGCCACCGCCCCGTGCCCCGCTCCACAGAAACAAGGTTGAATAATGACTTTGGTTTTGCCGGAGTTTTGATCTTGACCGCTTTCAGATAATATACTCCAAACCTCTGCTCTTCAATCTCGCCCTTGTTGAATACTGGAAAGACGGGATTTTATTTCTTCTTGGTGACAAGGACCTATTATTAGTCTACCAAGACTATCATACTAAGGCGCCTTGCTCTACATCATCTGCTTTGGGTCCTTCGAACCTGAACTTGTGGGAGACTCGTTCTATCACACCTTGCGAGCGGAATCGGAGATCCATCAGGATCTTGAATCCATTAAGTACTGAAAGCAGAGCTGTGAGTTGAGAATCCAATTGGCTTGAATTGCTCTTACACGGTTACACCCCATGGAGTTATTTATCTTTGCAAAGTCAACCATGATTCAGTATTTCCCTTGCATTGCAGCATATCAATGGTCTAACGCGCGGATGTTCGCTGATAGGTTCCTACCTAACTTCTACATGACCCGTATCACATTCTCCCGAATCCTAACCGATTTCGGACGCGATATATAGACTGTCCCTTCAAGCCTATTCTCAAGTCTTCTACCTCTCGCTCCCACGCAACAAGGTTCTCGCGACAGCTCTTCGTCTCACGCAGGCCGCAATCAGACATACGGATAATGTATTGAGTTGTGGTTATTTGACTTGAGCCGCGCACAGTGCGCCTGTTGTTGCCATTCGTCAGGTCACATTTTCTCGTAAACCAGCATTGACGTCCGCATGGCGTCTATACAGCCGGCAGGGTCGTCTGGCCCTTCGTCCAACATCAATTCTCCGATTTTACCTCCAGGGACCACACCTTTCTTTAGTGGTGCAATCACAGACCAGAACGCACGATCCTCGCCTGCCCCTCCCAGCAATGCATCAGTGCAAGCCGATGG